ATTGGGATATAGAATCCACCGTGGCACAGGCACTTACTTTATCATGCCACAGGTATCCACAAGGACTTAACTCTCTGGCCATGGCGAACATTGAAATGCCTTTYGTATTATGATATAAACATGTGTCCAACTCCAGCATGGGTCCCTCAAACTTCAGTAAAGTTGAGATATGAAAGAACAGGAGGCCATGTCGGGGAAGAGGAGTGCAGGGATGACAGCAGGAATATGGTAGGGCTAAMAGGGGGCTAACATCTCTAAATTAGTTCAGGTACTGTTGGAAGTTTCTTAGTTTTGTTTCTGATTGCTAATCAGCAGAAGATAGGAATTACTTGGGTAACTCACACGTGCAAGGATTTTTAAGTTAAGAGATCTTAACTGTATCAATGTGACATATCTAAAGATAATTAGATTCTACAAATTTCATAGGCTTGAGGTATTAGGCATTCATGTTTCATTTCAAAAAGTGAGTTAAGACACTAAAGCATTTTGCACATTATTTCCCATAATCTTGTAAGTTACGTAACTTGATGATAAGAAATGTTTGTACATTTACAAATGTGGCGYTGCCTAAGAAATTAGAGCATGTGCAGAGCACCATCTAGTGCAGGGTAGCACTAGCAGGGAAGGCTTTTGCTGCCACGTGTGGCCGGTGTGCTTGGCTAACTTCATAYCTACTGTCACGTTTCAGCAAGTGCCAGCCCGGCGGCCCCTGTGGCAGGACAATTTTACACCGTTTGCACAGGACACCGTGGGTTGAAACCTGGAACTCTGGCCAGCAAAACTGGAAGCACCRACGTGCAGGCAACCACTGGTGAGACCCATGTACTTCGAAGGGGAACTCGCTCACCTGCCTGCCCGCACGTCGCGCGATTCGCTCAGTACAAGAATTCAGTCCAGCCTGGCCCTAAGATTGCCTGGACACTGATTCCCTCAATGGATTTAGAGACCTAATGGCTATTTTAGGTGTCTTTGCTCAACATTTAGCTTCCTGAGGGCTTTGTTCAGCTTCTGCAGAACCTCAGAGCTACCCACGATCCTTGAGGCTCGGGTTCACCAGCTGTGTGTGCAAACCACGGCCAAGGGCACGGATTGAAGATCTGACCGACACCAAGAGGGGAAGAAAGCAACGAAGGAAGGAGCTTGAGATTCCATAGGCAACAGGTAAAAGGAACATAAACATCCATACTTATGGGTAGCTGAGGAAAGCGGGAAAAATCATAAGCTACAGTTTGGGKTTTTTTTTTGTTTAATGCTAGGGCTATAGTTTTCTTTCATAAGCAAACAAATAAATGAGCTTGACCCTGGGCTTGTGCAATCCATACTTGGATAACAGTGCTCTGGTTTTGATGCAATGTGTTTAACATTAGGGGAGCATCAAGGAGGACTGTCCTAGTTGGCTGAAGCTGGATTTCAAACTAAGGTTAAGACAAGCCTCGGGGACAGAGAAAAGATGATTTTGGATGAGCGTTGTTTTCAGYAAAATTCTAATGAAGCATCAAAGAGCAACTATTAAAGTATTATGTTTTTTCTGCAGAAAATGATAACTTCTTGCCCTCTCGGCATACAAACAGATGGATTTTGCCTGAATGTTTGAAGCCTTGCTGTTTTCCCACTTCTCAGGCATACTCTGAGGAAACAGCAGTTATAGGCTGACATTCACTTTCCAAGTAGTCCTAGTTTTGAGTAGCTCTATGTTTTGTTTTCTAAGTCAATCTGTTAATAGTTGAAAAAAACAAAACAAGACATTTCTAAACTCATGCTTTTGACAATTTAGTTGCTGGATACTTTTCTGGATACTTCTTTCAATCTTTCTACTCTTCCACAACTGCCAAAGAGCACTTAAGACTACTGGGGGGAAAAAAAAGGTACAAAAAGTTATATTTTTTCATTCTTTTTGTCTTTGAGCTCCTCAGGAGCAAATCAAAGGCACGTGACAGGAATACTCAAAGATCAAGGAGGCTGTGGTTAGAGTCTCCTTTCTGGGAGGAATCATTTTGCTAACAGTGGAAATAAACAAGTGGCTGTGACAGAACAACRTGTTTTAGTTTGGAAAGAGGTTCAAGAGCTGGTGTTAGGAGTAACAGTCTGGTGGGGAGAGGTTGTCTCTGACTAGAAACTACCTAGAAAGGTGTAGACCAGTTTGCGGTACATGATTTCTGTGTCACAACACACTGGACCTTCCAGAGAAGACAAATTGTGTTGCTTCTAAGGCCCTTTCACCAAGAGGCATTTCTGTTACACATTACTGGTAGCTAGGGTTATGTTGCTTAATAATCTTGACTGAAAACCCATGTTCCTAGTTATTTCCTTGATCGTTCTTCTGCTAGGTTATGTGACTTAYATCAAGTGGTATATACTGTTATTCAGCTATTTTGGAGTTATGTAGTTCTGTCTAATACTTGAACAAATAAACTTCTGGCCTTTGTTCTGCTACCTCGTAAAAAGGTTCCTTGAGAACATGTTCATACCTGCCGAGGAAATAAATTAATACTAGCAGACCATGCCAGGCAGAGAAAAGAATCCTTGTGGTTTCTCTTCCAAGCTCTTTTCCAGTAGCCATTTAAGCTTGCTCTTGGAAAATAAAATTTTTTGTTTATTTAAGAACAATTATATTACCCTTTTGAATTACAAGACTTTTCTTATGTTTTTCATGCAGCCAAAAAGAATTATGACATAAAGAAAGGCTATAGAAACATAATGAAAATTAATATTGTATTTGTATATTGCTAACAGTATGCTAGATGCTCTTCAGACACGTAGGATGACAAGGCCTTGTTCTGAAGTGCATGTAGTCCAAATAAATAAAATATAAATGCACTTCAACATGTACAAAGAAAGACTTGTTCCTCTTTTTTTGTGTGATTCTCAAGAGAGAAAGGGAGTCAAMCTTTATTCCTTGCAACTTTTACATTAAAATATGAGAAAAGTGTCCTACCTTGGTTGAAAGGTTCCATTAGCATTCTCACAAGAAAGAGGATGGATTTATACTGCAGCTAACAAAGTAAACATTGCATACTTTTTCAGCACAATCTGTATAGGTTTAGTAAGAGTTTTTTTCATGTGCTAGAGATCCAGCTTTGCTGTGCTTAAATCTCCCATATTTACATTAAGTGCAACACGATCTGGCTTGATAGTCTCCAAATAGATGAGCTAATCTTTCCATTTTCCTGTGAAAAACCAAGGGTGTTTTTACAATCTCTACATAATGTCATTGGTGTTTTTGCAGAGAGCTAAATGTTTCGCTTCTCAGAGTAGCAAAATAATTTGAACATTGCCATGGGAAATACCAAAGCCGAGCAGCTTCCTTGAAGCAATTACAACTGCTGGTATCCAGGATTTTTCAAAAATCCAAATGTGAACATCTGAAAGTCCAGGATAACTGGCTCATTACCAAAAAAATGGAAGTCATAATTAGTGACCATCTAAAAAGGTTTGATGGAAATGATGGGACCAGCTTCAGGAATGTTCTGCACAGACAGAGACAATGGACTTTTATGTGTAGGATTCAGTTGATCCTTGTCTGGTCTTCGTTCCTTCAGTTCCCTGTCTCATGCTTTACACATCATATGTATATGATGTACACATTGAATGCATCAAACAAATCAGAGGAATTTATAGGCAACTCGTTTCTTCTAAAGCACTGATTTCTTTTTTTAAAAATAGAGTATATTCCAAGCACTGRGCAAGGCAACCTTAAGGTTCTTTTCACAATGATTTTGGGTGTATTCATACAATTCATCATAATTTTTAAGGCAGGAGAGAGACTTCCATTAGTGAGCAAAAAGTTTATATAAAAATAATATATTGATGGAAAAAAATACAGAGTAGTATGAGCCATTTGGCTGCCTCCACTGCAAACAGAGGGAGCTGAAAAGTGAATGATGGGAAAGAAAGGGAAAAAATCAATAAGGCTTCTTTTGTTAAGAAATAAAAGGTCTTGTAGTTACTGCACAAGCCAGAAATTCTGTATGCTAACAAAGAAGCCCTTACTCCTAGGTGAACTCCTGACTTTTAAAAAATTCCAGTACATTAAGTACTACTATTCATGTCTACATAGCCTAGGCCAGATTTGCTTCTGATTTACACCCGACAAACTATCATTTGCCAGGGAATTATTCCAAATTTATAGAGGTGTAGATGAGAAGTGAAAGTCTGTCCCTCCGTTCAAATTGGCATCGATTGGCTGCGAGAGCAACCAGAAGAACCCTGTGAAACACTCAGACAAGGTTAGGTTCGAAGCCTGCAGGTCTGACCTTCATGGCGACGGACTTGAGGGAATACCACCAGCCGTGCCACGTGTACCAGACGACGCCGTTATCCGTCCCCGCCGCGTAGGGCCCGCGGTAGTACAACCCGTTCAGGTTGGCCGAGTGACACCTGGCGGGACGAGAAAGGAGACCGCGCGTAAGAGCGGGGTGGAAACGGCCGCAGCGTCTGTGCGAGCCCGGGACCAGCGTGTGGGTGAGGGCCCCTCTGACAGCGGCAGGAACTTGTGTTTGGGAGCTTCRGTGCCCCCGCACAATAACCCCTGAATTAGGGCACCACTGCAAGTGAGGGAAAGGTTCTTTTTGTTCTCCACGCGCTTTCTCTGCCATATCCAGGGCTCTGCGTCTCGCCGCTGATCTCTCTCAGTAGARAGTGTTTGCTGAGCTGGTCGGGTCACGTGGAGCAGCACGGCACGCGGGCAGCAAAACTCTGGGAAAGAAAGTGTCCCGGGAAAGAAGGGTACCATGGGGGGATAAGGGCAGTCATTCCCTTTGGTGTTTCCTGTGAGCATGTCTGAATACCACCAACAGTTTGCCTGTTAAACTCTTGGCTGCTATTTACAGGTAGATTTAATCTCACAGCTCTTTAAGCATAATATACCAATTCACTGAGTCACCAGAGCTGGYGTTTTATTTGGCTAAAAGTACATTCTCTTTTGGCTCTTTAATACAGGGAAACAGAAATACTATTACAGTGAATTAAACATAGCAGTAATTGTAAAAACAAACAAACAAACAAAAACTCTGCAAAATCCCCAAATTTGACTAGGTATCAGTAGAGCCTTGATGGTCATTTGCTTTTTTTTATGAGAAAGAAGAAAGTTGAGATGTGATCATATGGAGAACAAAACAGCTGTTTCTTTTGCAGCATCTTGTAATGAATCAGCTTATCTGCCAACTGAGTATTTTGGTTTAGTGCTGTTAATACCTAGCTGTCAAGCACTGCAATGGATTTCAAATACAGACTTCAGAAAATATTCAAACAGAAAACAGTCCAAATGAAACTTATGGATATTATTATTGGCAAGTCTCTTTGGCTTTGCTTACACTTGCTGAATTCAAGAAAAGAAATAGAGAAACTGACAAAAGCCTCATAGGAAAATCCTCATGTATATGGACCAGTTCATTGCTTGCAGTTTTTAAAGCTGAGTTTTGGTTGCGTGTTAGATGAAAGGTTAAATCTGCAGATATCAAAATTGATTTTAGTGTTGAGAAGGATCAGCTTATGTCGGAATCACTTTGGCCTTCAAACTTTCTGTTGAGCAGGCACACCGTTCAGTCTGCGTAAAAACACACCTGCTTAGACAAATCCTAATTGGTAGGAGGTATCTAGATCAACTAAGTCCCTTCTTTACCTTCTTCTGATGACAACAGGCAAAAGTTGATTTTGTCAGTAAAATGAACTGGTAACAACTCTTAAATTAGAAACACAAATAGCAAAAAAGTATACATTTTTTTGTAATGGACTGAATGCTGTTTCAAGACGTGCAAACGAAATAACTGGCATGTAGCTACGGCACAGTGTTTTGAAGCAGCAGTCACTACTGCCAAGGGAATAAACACCTCAAACTTAGCCGAGGCGTTCGGCTTTCCTTTCTCTCCGATCAGCTCTCGGTGACGATAACGYTGCCCTGCAGCAGCTTCAGGAGCACGGCCCCCTCTGGGCCATGCTCGGGCGGGCAGTTCATGCAACTTGKACCTTAGCTGTGTGACGGACGCGGGGAGATGGGGCTGCTTCGCCGGGAACCACCTGAGTGCCCTCCTCACTTGCTGCCTGCATGACACCCCGCGGYAGGGATGCTCTAAAAAGCATCCCTGGGGAAATCTCCCCCAGAGCTTTCTGCACAGCAGAATGCAAAGGGAGGACACTTTTTCTGCAGAAGTTCAGGCGACCAAGGGCTGAGCTGGAGCAAGGAGACCCGAGCTGTTTCCATGTGGCTTCGCTTGCATCATGTCCCCTGGGAATCGTATTATCTGCACATTTCATTAGTCCACATAGCATGGAACAGCCTATAAAAAATGCTTCATAGCTGGGAGCTCCTATACAAACCAGCCAAGAGCACTAACTCCCTTTATGTTTGCTAATCTGTGCATGACAAACACATGTTCTGAGCGCTTTCTTCTCACTGTGCCTGCCAGTTCTCTTCTTGTAGGATTTCAGCAAACTGAATTTTCCTAGTGTTTTGCAATATTCAGTTCTGTAGCAGGCTTAACATTAMAAGAAAGTCAGTGGAATTAGCATTAGCAACTTGCTTTTTGTTGCCTCAACAGACCGTCACTTTAACAGGAAGGAGCCCAGTGGCAGCTGACTATCTTTAGTAGGTACGGAGCAGCAACGACAAGGTATTAATGAGGTCTGCCATAAAAGGAGTGGATTCTTTTGTCTTGGCCAATCCCTAAATGCAAATATATATGTATATATATACATAAAGAGAGAAAAGATTCATAGCTGATTAAAAGTGATTGTTAATTCACTGTTCATGAACTTGTCGGCAAGGTGTCGACAGTTCATACTACTTCATATGTGTCACAGTTTCATACTACTTGAGGTTTGGATATTCCTCTAAATCCATAAAAGCTGTGATTTCAGGGGAAAAAAGGCTCTCCATCACTGTTCCCTTTCCCTTTTGTGCTGTCGCTGTCATGAGGACTAGAAAAACCTTAGTCTACTTGCATTTATTTTTTCTGTATATCTCAAAGATTCTGCTGACCTGCCACCCCTAGCATAYATTAAAAATAGTAAATCAATTGTAAAACAAACTGAGATACATCACATTAGCTAAGCTGCTCAAAGRCTGCTTATGGAAACTGAATTTAGGAAATGGATTGTTCAAAAACAAGAAAGAAAGGATGACACAATAGAGAAATAATGGAGCTGATGCAGCCTGGCAGCTCTTGCCAAGTCAACTGAGATCATGGTGACAGAGTAATATGAGTCTCTGAGTTGCATGTTTTATCTCTATTATGCAGCTATATTGCACAGCTTCTCTGCATGGCTTGTATTTATCTAATTAATAAAGGAGACCAACCTACCTGTCTGTGGCAATGTTAAGGCTATCAGGCTTTATAAGTAGGATTTTAAAGTCCTTTTGTTGCATCCCTTCARAGAAATCTCCCCAACCCAGCTGTGGTCACTGACAGGAAGCAAGTAGATGCATTCCCATCTTGATATAGAAGGAATAACAAGAATGAAATGCTGTGAACTGAGGTAAAATAARTGTCCACACCACTTCAGGCTCATTAACCCAGCACTAGTTTAACTTGTCAGTTCTTCTGCAGTCCTGTCATATCTGGTCTAGTATAATGTAGGAGAAATGCAAGAATGAGGTACAAGAAGGCTATAACTGCAAACTCTCTATGACCTACTTGTGTAAAGACTGGTTACCCTAAAGAGGCAGAATTTTCTCCTCTTCATAGCCTGATAACAAAGAGGGAGTTTAATGAAGCCAAAGCCTGTAGCAAATATCACAAATCAGCTTGAAAGGAGTAGTAGGTGCTGTCTGTTTTAAGGCGAGACTCAGTTATACCAGAAGTGAGATGTCTGGAAGGGGCCAAGGGCAGACTGGAAATACAGTACAGGATGCCAATCCCATCTTCCACCGTATGTAATTTCTGTGTGACTATATATGAAGTAGAATAGTTACTAATACTGTCACAAATTCAAAATACCTGTTAAACCACCAGCCAGCCTTTTCCTCTTCAGCACAGTTGCCTTCATAGTTGTCATTGTCCCTGTCTCGAGTACTGAATTTCATTCCTCGATGATCAGCCCACCACTTAACTTCAGGGTGAAAACCCCCAGTAAGGGAATCCCCAGCTGTACCCGAATATTCACCACAGCTCATCTCATATGAACGCTAATGAAGAAGGTGAAGAAAAATAAAACAAAAAAGAAGAGTCAATATATTGCTTTAACCCTTAAAACGTCAGAGAGTGGATCTGCAAGAGTGAAACTAAACTCTTCCATTTGCTGCTATTTACATACTCAGAAATGCGATATCACTTTAATACTGTATATCAGATAATGAACAGGTGCCAAGATGTTTTCCAGAGATAAACTTAATCTATTAGTAACATAAAAAGAAAAAATGGCAGATTAGTTTGCAGTATTTACACATCTAAATGTCATGTACTATTATCAGTGGTAATATCAACAAAAATATCTGCTTTGTAAAATTAGAGAATCTGCATATATAGAGAGACTGTCCATAAAAATACATTTTTGCTAAAACCTCTAGTCAATATTGAACATTTTATTACCTCTTCACCTGCAACTCTGAATCTTGTATATTGTGCATAACGTCGTTCTCCTTCAAAATCAGTTAGATCAATTCTTAAAGTATAATTCCCTTGAGAAATAACAAAAATATTTTTGTTAAACTAGCTCATCTCACTAATTTGCAGAAGAGTATTATAATAAAAGATTAAAAGGCTAATTATATGTCTTTATCATGAATATTATCTCGATTGTCACTGCATATTTTACATTATAAAATCTTCTTTCTTTATCCTTATTAARGTCTATCTTTCTATGCTTTGATTTCATGGGTCTAATTCATTTTAGTGTATGTTAATATTATTCCAATACACAATTTCCAGTGTAGATGAAGAAAAGGTTTTTATAGTCTTTATGTAGCAGTAGTAATAAAAAGGTCATGGCATTGATTTCCACAAAGGTTAGCTGGCTATGTTTATGGGTAGATTTTAATACACAGTAATTCACAGCAAAGCAGAGGTTATGTTAGAATGAGTKGCTACTAGAAAGATGAAAGCAGCCTAATCAAGAGGATGGGCCTGGATTTACCTTCACCTTATACCCTACACAGTCCTGGCCAAAGAAATGATGCCTCATACTCTCTGAGCTGACTGCAAGGGTGCAGACAACTCTGTTAAGGTACCCTGCTGTCTACTAGTCCCCATTCTGCAAGTGTTCCTGCAAACCATCAGCGCAGGGAGGGTTTTGAATCTTTTCTTGAGAAAAAGAAAAAAATACATATATATTTTTATTTTTATAAGAATAATATTTTTTTTCTTCTCCTGCAACCTTTGGAAAGGCCCATACAGACTAACAGCAGGATTATTGTTAGTTGTTGTTGTTGTTGTTTGGGATTGCTGCTAATGAAACAAGATTTATGCTAATGGAAAGGATTAAAAAAAAAAAAAGCAAAGGAAAAGAAACAGATTACAGCTTCTAGATCTGGGTTTCAGGTCTATGGTCTATACAATGTATAGATCTATAGGGCAAACTAGCTGAGAAGGACTGTAATTATGATACAAATCTTACCTTGACTGGTCAAATAATGAAGTTTTTTATTTCCAAGCCAAAATTCACCATTTGCTGAAGCAAAATTTCCAAAGCCTTCTTCATAGTCAGCCCAGACTCTGAAAGAGAGTGTAAATTACTGATTTATCAAAAAGGAGAGTTTGTTGGGATATTTGCCCAACCATAGGATCATATATCATAGGAGAACTCAGCTTGGAAGGGACCTCAGAAGGTCTAGTCCAACCTCCTGCTCAAGCAGGGCCAGCTGCAGGATGAGAGGCACTTGCTCAGGGCTGTATCCAATGGGGTCCTGGAAATCTCCAAGGATGGAGACTGCAAAACCTCCCTGGGCAACCTGCTCCACTGCTTGACTGCTCTTAGGATGAAATGATGAATTTCTTGCAGCTGGATATATGATTTGTTAATTGCAGCACTAGCAAGCTTTCTCAGCCTTTAATTATTGATTAAGGCTAATATTTTTTGAACACAGACTTGGGCGTAGTTGCAAAATTATGTGTATACCGAAAACCTCAAAACTTTTCTCTGTCTACAGTGGCTTTGAGAGACTTTCTCAGTGGTTTTGGCTTCATGACATGTCTGACTGGGATTGATCCTCTGTTTCCTTGGGGAGAATGAACCATGCTTTAACCAATGGGTGAAAGCACTAGGCTGTGAACAGACAGTTATAACAGAAAGCAGCTTCCTTCCTGGCAGCTCTAGCAAGGCAGAGRACTGGGCAGTGTGGTGTGGTAGCAGTTGTAAACTGCTAGAGAAGCATCACAAGAGTTTGTCTGATCATACTCCTAATGACTCCATTTACAAAACAAGATTAGCAAAGCCTTCTCTTGGGCAGATTGCAGCTGTTCACCATCCTCTCTAGGGAGCAATTTTCTCTCTATTTCATAAGGGAAAATAAATTTAGTTATACTAATAGTTATAGTGTAAATTTAGTTATAGTAATTACAAACACCGCTAAGATAAAGACCCACAGAAGGATGGAGATACCTAGAAAGARAAACTGAGGTTCTAAAAACCTCCTTGTTGCACCTGTAAATATTAAAATCTCAGAGGATCAAAGTTTCACTTCTGGACGTTCCTCCAAATGTCCAGAGTCTTGGCAAAGGTGGGTGGTCACACAGGCACTTAGGAAGCACACAAAGCAAGTGCTCCTGGAATCTTTTTACCACAAGCTACAAACCACTCTGTAATGGGGTTCTCAGAGTCAATTGCTGATGGTATTTTATTTATGTCAAGTACATTGCTTACATCCTTACATTTTCACTGTTTGTGAAAGTCAATGTGGTCCTTTACTTGTCATAAAGAGGCCTTTTCCAAAGACTGTTAATACATTTGACAATAAGGTGCTCTCTTGTAAAATGGAGCAGCAAACAAAGAGTGGCAGCAACATCTCCCCACTCCAAGGATATCATAGGGCCCCGTCTTTCTGTCTTGAAGTGCACACGCTGGAACAGTTTCAACACAACTTGACTGCTGAAAAGAGTTGAAAATTAGATCTTAAAGTACCTTAACTTGACCTACAAGACTTGATTTGGACCACACAAGCAGTATTTAGTAGAACCAGAAGCGACACCAGTCTGGATTTTTACTACCTTTTATCTGAGATAGTTGCTTACTCCTATAATTCTAAAGTTAATATTTAACTTAGCTCCACCCAGTTTCCATTTTTTCTACCCCATTTCCAATTCTCCTGATCAAGTCTAGTACCTACCTATTGAAATTCTGGCTGCCATCCGAACGTCTTTGAAAAACGGTCCAGCCACCCCCGTCAGACATATCACAGAAAGCAAGGAACTCGTTGGGACTCTGGACAGGTTTCATCTTATAAAATCCACTTTGCTTGTGTCCRTCATTGTAGATTTCTGCACAGTCTGCTCACAAAACACCCATTGGACACAGTTCTTTTAGTCCTACGCTTACTGGCAATAACAGAAATCACATCATGTCATATAATAGTCACAAATGAACAAGGCTAAGAAAAGGAAATACTTCTGCAAATGTATTTTTATGACTTTTTGGCATTCACTTGTATTTCTATTGCTTTACAACTTTATTAAACTGCAGATATTTTGGAATTTCTTTAAAATAAACTTTTTTTTCAGTCTTTAAGTAGTACTATTTCCATTTTCATTTAGAAAAGTAAAATAATTCCCCTGGCTTAAATGGAGTCACTTCTAATATATGATGGTATAAACCACATTAAAATCCTGGTATGATTAAACAGCTTCTTTGCATATGAAACACCCAGAACCTACAAAAATATACGTGGACTTCTGTGGTCACCAGCTCACAGAACTGCCACGAACCAGAGTTTGGAATCACCAAGTTAGAAAAAGGTTAGAAAAATGATAGACCTGAGACTCTGCTGCCCCTTGTACCAAACAGGTGCAATTATAAATAGAAGGCTACCCCTCCAAAAAGTAAAATCTATGACTAAAATGTTATCTTTTTGGKTTGGGCCTGTTTTTCAATCTGTCGAATTGGTGTTAATGAATATTTATCACTTAGAGCAAAGAGAAAATTCGGAGCCTGTGAACAGCAAGGTAATTGTATAATACTTCTCCTCTAGGATTTAACTAAGAAATGAGAAGAGTTCTTTGTTTATATGTAATCTACCATCAAGCAGTCATACAGGAAACACGTATAATTTTCAGCATTTTTGTTTTTCCTGGCAAAGGTAGCACTGATTAACTGCAAGATTTTCCTGAAACCTCTATGAACAYTATGTTGGCTGAACTTCCAGGCCAGTTTGGAACTTCCTGAACTATTTTATTTCTCCTCAGTGAAAGCCTCAGTGAAGATTAGACATAAAAAGTAAACAATTTATACTGAAAACAAGGAGCTATGCCAGGATTTCAACCAGCAATCCTAGGAAAAAAAAATTCTAAGTAACACCTAACCAGTCTTCTTGGAGGATGCTGGACTGGTTTAGAGGAAATAGCTTTTCTTGGGACCACAGATCGACTGGGAGGTTAGCAAAATCCTTAAACATGTTCTGACTTCTAGCAGGTGTCCATACTGTGGAGTCCCTCCCTCACTATCTAGACCCGAATTATCCAGCTGTGTTGACATGAAAATGCTACAGCAGGGGAAGATGAAATGAAATGGTGTAACAGCAGCACAGAAAAACATTTTCAAGGAAATTTCAAGGAAAAGGAAAAAAAAAAAGAAAAAAACCTAACAGAAAACAGAAACAACAACTTCAGTCTGTCATTTAGAATTTKGTTTAAAAAAACAACTTTAGGCACAGGCGGTTTGCAGAGAAAAGACAAAGATCTTTCAGCTAAATGTGGTTTTAATAATATTTCCAGTAACGGATGACTCAGCCATAATACTAAAGAAAAGTTTTCCAGAACACTGAATACATAAATAAACTACAAATAAAACTCAAATTTAAAGTGCAACTTACAATTGCTTTTAATTCTATTTTAATGATGCTTTATTATTTTAACGATGCTTTATTATATATGATGCCTTGTTATATGTTGTGATTTATTCCAGAAGCATAGACACCACAAGCAAATTGAAACAATATGATTCAAAACGATAAAAGTTTATTCTCTAGCACCAGAGAGCTGAAACCTGCACAAACCTCCATGCATCAGTCAGACTTCTAAGGCTGTATTTTGAATCCAGCCATTAGTCTGGATGATGTCTTACAATATTTTTTAAAATCCTGGGTCTCACTCCAGCTCCCATGGGCAAGCACACTTAGCCCTCCTTCATTGCAGAGGCACCARGGCACCACCAAAATGCTGGTGAGAATATAGAGAAAAAACCTAGGAACTCTTAYGTTCCACGTTGAACCAAACTCGGCCAAAATGGTACAACATTAAGAGTATGATTAAAATGAAAGGCAGGTAATATATGCTTGCTTATATGCATCAATATMAAAAATTTTTAATATCTCTTGAGCTATTAGCCATTTGACATAAAATTGTGTCATACACAGCCAACATATGGCATGTAAGCATATTAAAAGGCTGAACAATTAGTGTGTGCTGTATACATTTCACTCCTAGGAGTGTATAACCTTGACTGTTTTCAAAATGTTTCTGTTTGAAGAACACAGGAGGTTTATGGTACTTGTAAATAAAATTTTCTACTTCATCTGAAGCCTTTGCAGTCAATTTGTTCAGCTGCTTTATCATATTTTTAGTCAAATTATCTGGAAGGTAACCAAGAGTTATTAGGCCTAATATATTTTCCATCACAACAGCAGGTTAAGAAATCACATTTGATAGATTATGAAAAATAGAATATTAGAAATTTCTCAGATGGAAATGCTTCAAAGCCTGAGGTGCCCTATATCTGATTAACTCTTGAGCACTCTTTGTTTTTCTAATAGAAGTCAGTTTTTTCATTGTGCCAAACCACAAAAGCCACMTTTTCTCTTTGATACTGGGAGAAACATCATCTTGAACATTCTTACCGCCTGCAGCTGAGGAGAAGACTGCGGGATAGGTGATTTCCCCAAATCTTTTGGGGCTTTATCAGCCAAAAACACAACCTTAGAATCTAGCCAGAGACTGACAGACGAGAAACACAGATCATACAACTGCTGTGCAATATGGTCCCATTATGATGTCTTATTTAAAGGGAAAAAAGATAAAAGCAAAGTGTTTTATCACATTCTAATCCATTTGGACTTTCYAGACCACTGTACAGACAAAGCTCTTTGTAGCAAGCACTGTCTAATTTTCAGATATCCCATGTATTGTGATTAGTATATTAGATTTCTATGTCTAACCTTCACTGAAGAGAAGTGCTCTCTGTATTTTGACTGAGATAATATCTGCTGGTATTGTAGGAATGTGAGTGTACACAATGGGTGTTAATACAATATCTGAAACTTTCAGAGAAATGGTTGCCCCTAAACTGAGAGTGCTACATAGGAATTTAAYCACGCTGAAGTTTTCTTAAAGTGGTCATGAGCCAGGTGAAACAGAACTGGGGGATCACCACGAGGTTTCTGAGCAAGGAAGTCAGCTTGAAAAGAAGTATAAAAGAAACATGAAAATGTGTGTAACCCCTGCTTCCTCTGTCAGGGGGCACGTGTGGCTGTAACCTTGTGAATGTTTGTATTAAAAGGTTCTGAGATTAGTTGCAGGAGAGTGTTTAGAAATTTGTAACTGTTTATTAACATTTTGCAAATGCCCAGYTTTGTTTTATTTGTTGTATTGCTGATAATGATTCTGATTCTATTGTACACCAACATTTAATTATTTGCTATTAATAAATGAATAAACTGCTTTGATCCTGATTTGATTTATACCATGTGAGCTGAACAGCTTCACCCTGTGACAGTGTAACAGCTGAGCACTGTATTTTAAACAAACAATTTTCTATGAGCTTTTAAAATAATGTCAATAGGCCTAATTGTGTTAAAGCTTCTGGGTATCCTTACAATGAATGGAAATGAATGGAAATGAAAAGAATGGATTCACTACTAACCTGAATACTGTCTTTTTCCTCCCAAGTCAATGACATTGTTTTCATCTCCTTCATCACTGTACTGAATCTCTTTCTTCTCTAGAAGCTGAATAATTCTCAACTGCTGCTGTTTCACACGATGCTCCAGAAGTCTCACCTGAGCCTGAAGCTGCAAGTGCTCCTGAAAACAGTTCTGTAGATCCTACAGAGGAAAATTCGCCGGACTGTAGAATCCACTTTTTTTGGGGGGGGGTCAAATGTGGCAAAAACATACTATAAATAAAACTTAACATGCTAGAACATTTCTGTCACAATTTCCTACAAATATTATGTTGATTTCCACCTCAGTTGCTATCTCTATTTAAAAATAGTTATTAAGTTACAGTGTACAGTCCACAGYATACCTTACTTTGTGATGAGACCTTCTCTTTAAAGGCTAGACTAAAACCTCTCACTATAAATACCCACTAGGGGCTATGGCGGAGACCACATAGATTCCTTATTCTCTRTCACCTCATCATGGCCAGAAATTTACTGTCTTGTGGAAGATAACTAATATTGTGAAGGCTCTAAAATGTCATGAGTTCTAAAGAAATGCAAACCACACTCACACATATTCAACTCCAGTGTTCATTTTTCAAATGCTTTTAGATTGCTGACTTCTTATGATAAGAATCTAAATATCCTCAACATAAACACTCTAAAGCTTAACACATCATTTTTTAACATGGTGAAATAAACAGACTCTAAAAAGCTGCAAATGTTCCTGAAAATTAAGAACTAAAAGCGTAAAGACAGTGTTGTGCTTCAACTTGTACACAAATTTAGTTATGCCGAGCAAGTGAAAAATGTGTTTATTCCCATGTGTTAATAATTTGAACACACTTCACTCTTTTACAAACAGTATACAATGCAGCAGAAGTGGAATAACTGTTCTAAATCATGACATGCTGCATGTACACTAAGAAACCAAATAACCCTTTTTGTTTAAATGATTATGGTAACCTAACCAAAGGAACACAACCCAATCTAGAGAACTTAAAAAAAAAACAGGGTGTACGTTTTCAAATAGGTATTAAGTATATTTGATTTGAAGATGGTGGGAAAGCCCTTAGCGCTTTAAAATACATCTTCCAAATGTGACATTAGGTTTTGAGCCAGTAACATTTTACCTACAGCTTTACACAAGCAAACAAAGTTCAGCAGCTGCAGTACCTGCAGTAAAAGCAAGCTGCCTGGTGATCCTTTGGGACTCAGACATTTATGACCGAATATGCAACAACTCTAAATTAGTTAAACCTCACCCATAGTGCCACATTTTTTACATGGCCTAAGGATGGAGACCTGTACCGACTATTGTGCATACGTAGACGAGCTGGTAGAGCACTGCCCTAGGCCACTGAGTGAACCCTGGAGAGAGCTAAAGCAGCCTGTGGATGTGCAGCAGTCAGGGTCAYGTTCCCGGTACCAATCGCAGGACAATCAGCCTAGACCTCATCCCCTTTCCACACAAGCTCCCACCAAAAAGTTCCTTAGCACTTTCTTGCCACARTGATTATCACTTTTTTCTTCTGCCTGGAAAAGCAGGTTCCATTCTGTACATCTCTATGCAGCAAAAATGTGATTCTTGTTAGACCAACTTCCTTGATTTTGCGAACTCAAGTAACAGTACTAATAAGAATTGACACTCTCTCAATCTAGCATATGTGGATTCTTTTTCCATAATTAATTAGTGGTTCTCGATGTTGCTTTTCAATGAGAACCACAAATAAGCAAAAATATGTCTGTTTCAGTCAAGAAATACCCATATAAATTGCCACAACTGTGTCCTGTTACTTCTGCTAGAACTATTTGCTGCAGGAGTCCAAGTGAGGTACAGATGAACCTGAGGAGTTTCAAGAGAATATCTGAAAATAAAAGAATAAGTGTGGATGCATTTGAAAGATGTTTTCTATCCATCATGTTCCATTTGCCTCAGATATTCAGTCACGTAGAAAGCAAATTTGCTGATCAGGCGTGTAGATTTTGCAGAACAACCCTGACTATAGGTCATTGTTTTAAGTATTTCTGCAGTGTGTAAGATGTTTGCTTTAATTCATGTAATCCATTGCACATGTCAGGATTCAAAATGGGGCATGGATGTGTCTGAATTGGGCAGTTTGTCAGTAACCTGTTCTTGAGGAGGAAGTTCAGCTCTGTGGGGTCAGGCAGTTTGACACCGGACTTATCACATCCAGATTCATCCGCAAACTCCAACTGCTGGGGCCTGGGAAGCCATTAAAGGTGTCTGGCCACAAGGAGAGGCAGATTTACCAAACCCTATAATTCTTTCAAGGGATAAAGAAAACTGTCAATGACCTAATATCCCCAGGGTCCCGTCTTATTTAAGAACAGCCCCTTGCCCCTCTTTTTCACTTGTTGTTAACTACAGAAGATCCCTAGCATAAGCACCTTCTTTGCCAGCAGGAAATGAGAGAAGAAAGAACTTACAGAAACATATGCACATCCAGAGACCTGCTTGTGACAGGGGCATGTTGTCTGCCAGCACCATAAGAACTGCCTAACATGGGCTGCATTGCATACTATAAATAAAGGAAGGCTGTGGGACTGTGTAGTTTTTCCAGGATGACTATTTCATGTATCCTCACAAGAGCTAGGTTAAAACTTGGAAATTCAGAGAGGTTTCTTGCTAGCACTCTGCAAATTCTCAGGGCTAGCCCTGAGTGTGCACAGAAAATGATGGAGAACTGGATCTGTGTACAKCTGGGAGGGAAAGGCTGATTAAAAAATAAAGCTTTTAGGCTCACCCAGATGAGATAATGATAATTAAAGAAATAAAAAACTCACATCAAAAAACTCACGTGTGCTAACAGTCAGATCAGATATTAATTCTAATCATAATGAGTTAACAGTGAGAAAATCACTTACCTTGACACTTCCTGAAGTTTTACAGACATATTTGTTTCACTGAGAATTTTAAATTTTCATCAATCTAAAGTCTGAGATATCAGACTCACCTCGGTACCCACAAACTTGGATAACGGGGTGACATTAAACTAGAGGAAAGACTTTCAGTGATCGTGGAAATGCTGCCCCTACAGCAAGGCCCTTGTGGCCCTGAAGGGACAGGCTGCACCTCAGCAGGGAGGTTTCTCTAACTGGTGTCAGGCTGTGAGGCAAGAAGAGCGACTTTAGCTTCCAGAAAAATAATTGAGGATAGGGAGCTACAGGCAGCTATGTGCCATTTTTTCAGATCTAGTGAAAATTCAGGTATAACAGTGCACTTATTCATACCAATAAGAGCCATTCTCCTATGGATCAAATTAATGATTAAATTATGTGGTTTTTAAAAACACTTTTTACAAAAAAAATCTTAAAATTTATCTAAGAAAATACTGATATATCCTCAGTGTGAGACTACTTCATATACCACCACARAAGGTCCATTCTTTTGAATTGAATTAAAGTATATTCATGTAAAATACTACTTTTAACTTTACATTTAAAAATTATGGGKTTTTTTTTATGTTTTTCTTTTTTTCACTGAAAACTTATTTTCTTCCGAGTGTGGCCCCCTATAGAGGGAACAAGGGTACACTCACACTACACAAAAAATTCCTGTTGAGGAGCATTTAAGCTGACAATGCTGGAAAACACCAGCTGATAATCAAGATAATTGCACTGAATAAATATAGCATATGAAAGAAATGACTGAGCAGAAATAGAGTTTGAAAGTAACCTACGCGTGAACAGCGCTAATGTCTCCTACTTTGCTCTTTACCGCCGTGTTTCAGCTTCCTCGTTGACATCTCTTTCTGACAACTCCAGATAAGTCCCAAAATGTTTTATTGCTGAACAGTAACAACACCTTTCTCATATGTGAAATTCCAAATCTATTTTTTTCTATGGGATAGTCACAAGACAGTTGCTTAACTTCAAGTTGGATCAATGTGGCTTACACATCTGCAGGTTACAGGACTGCTCTTTTAAAACATTACTCCACTTTTTCACAAGATAACTCCATTAAAAGTGCTGGACTTAAGCAAGTGCATGCATAAGCAAGTGCATACATAGAGTAATATTATAGCAAAATATATCTTAGAAATATAGTGTAAGAGCTAGGAGCTGTAAGATACTGCTACTCCTCATCTTAGATACTGATCAAAGTGAAACTATGATGCTAAAATAACCAAAAAATACTATTTTGATTGTGACAGACTCCAGTGGACACTGTAGCCACTGACAGARAGCAGACTCAAAACACCCTTCTGTGTCTGCTTTCCTGCAGCAAGTGCTTGCACACTGAGAAGCAATTACCTAACAGTTGCTGACAGCTCTGCTCCTGGACGTGTGGTCTCCTATTTAACCAGCAGCTGCAATTAACGTGCGCACACAATCAGATTAGGAAGGAAGCAGAGCCAAGACAGGCAGCACAGGACTGCTGAGATTAGAAGTATTTTAAGTAGTGGCGTGTTTGCATGAGTGTGGGGTTTTTTGAGAGGTAGGATATTAGGATGAAGGGTTTGGGAGCTAAGAAACTGCGATCAGTGCCTGTGAGTGTGGATTATAAAACAGTAAAATGCAAACAAGTGAGAAGATGAGGCTGTGGGTCTTATTTGAGTGAAAGCTGCAGGCAAATGAGKGATGAACTAGAGGACGGGGACATCCTTCCTCCTGTGTGTGCATGACCAGAAACTCTACTCTTGCAGTCACCAGCTCACTCACACTTTAGATGTTCTTGGGTTTTGCTTTTCTGCAAGTATGGTGTTCAAGCATGTTATTCTGAGTTATCATGACAGCATAATTACCTCACATGCCTTTTACACAATACTCCTATTAACACACGATACCTTTGGGCAAAGATAATCTGTTGCTTCCTTTTTGATGTCTGATCCAGAGAGTTTAAGATTACTTTCTCCAACACTAATGCCCAATGAGTTATCCTCCATTGTGTATTTATGCATCTCTTTCCTTACTAGAAATTAATTTTTCTAGTTTTCTCTTTCCTTACTAGAAATTAATTTTTACTAGACATCTTCTGATGCTCAGTAGACCTCAGTTTTTCATTTATTCTGAACTCTAATTTTGCCCTTCAAAAAGTCTGCAACACGGTTAAGCTGAAATGTAAACACTGAGTATGTGTAAACACATATGAAGTTTTTAAAGAAACTCTAAATACAAACTTAATTAGTAGGACTTACAGAGCTATCAGTGCCATCCACCAAGTGAGCTGCAAGGATAAAATCAACCAAGACCAAAATCTTCATGCTTTAGAAACTGCAAAGTAGAGCAAAAAAAGAAAATTACTTAAACATTAAGTTTTTACATCTGACACCTTTAAAATATTATTTAAAAAAAATCTACTTAACTTATAGCTATGTTCCTGTATATTGTAAACATAGACTATTTTTTTTAATATGTCTGATCAAGCAGAATTCCAAACCTCTGTGAAACTAAAATCTATTTTTCTAGGCCACTTTGGATAGAAGGGTCCCCATGAACTTTAGAACTATCCTTAGAGGTTAAAAAATCACACGATCTATTATGAAACAAGGTAACGCCAAATACCTTTTCAAAATGCTCTGAAAAGCAGAACAATATTCCTCGTCAGTCCTTAAGATTAGACAGAAAGCTCTCTGTTACATTCAAGTAATTAAAATCTAAGTCTGCATAATTGTTTCTGTCGAATATCTTACGACTTCTGTGTGCCAGGAAAGCATGGAGATAATTTTTTTTCCTGTTAYAGAGAAGTTTGGGGAAAAAAATGCTTAATAGCTGTTGTGTGACATTTAACTTTTATTCTAATGGTGGCAAGGATGGCATCTGTCAATCGCTGGCAGTACAGCACAGCTGTACAATACAACCACTGCACACTGTAGCATCTGAAATCCTTTCACTTCAGTAAGCCAAATTTTTACTGATTAGCGAAACTGCTGCAAGCTGTCAAGGGAGGAATGTTTCTTTTTTTTTTTTTCTGAAAGTATTTTGATTTAGTATACATATGCTACCTTCTGTTGAAACCAAAATATGTGTCCACTCTGTTGTTTCTACTGATCGAACTAAATCATTTCATTGCATGTTAAACCCAAACACATTTCTGGTTACACAAAGCATAACACACATATAGATTAATGATTTCATTTCAGAAAAGCACTTCAGCATGTGCTTATTGAATCATCACCTCTATGGAAAATTCCATTCTGTCTCCAAAGGAATTAGCACAAATCTGCAGTGGAACTTTGGCAGACTGCACTTCTTACTGTTTAAAGATAACCAAGGTGCTGGTGTGAAGTGTGTTTTTTACATTCTTGTAAATTTAGGCAAATCAAACTTCATTTAAATCCTATCTCTGGGAAAAAAAAACCCTGCAAAAATAGAATTTACAGTCCTGACAAATTTCATTTTTTCATCAGCTAGCTGTAAAACACTTAGGATGATTTTTAAAAGTACAACTATTACATGTAAGGAAGCATCGACTGCTATTTTTAGTTCTGAGTTTTGCTGGTTTGAAAGCATTATATTTGTTTTCAGGGAACCTTTCACAAATGATTACTAGAGGCATTTTTGCCAAATGCTAAGCAAAATATAAACCTCTGGGAGGGCTCTGAGGTGAAAATATCCTTTAATTAAATTTCTTTAAYCTCTCTTAAAACCTATTTTGTTCTACACTATGCTCTTTAACAGAGATTTCTGAAGTTATCTAAAATATCTGGCAGTGCAATTTGTGTGCACTCCGACCAATACAAAGCACGCAGTTCTCATGTGGAAGGTTTGTAGGTCAGTCACGTCACCAAACATTGCTCACTTGTGAACTCCAACGATCCATGGAAACAAGCAAAGCTGAAGAGGCAACYACACACACTTTCGCAGAAACAGAAAATTCAGTAAAGAAAGTCAGTGGCAGAGGAAATGACTTGGCAGCAGAGCCCAAGTTCAGCAGGGCCGCCCCAAGACCCAGCTGCACCGCAAGGCCAGCGGCTGCAATTCCATGAGAACCTGGGAAGCTCTTGTCATTKCTCTCCCATGAGCAGCTCCCAGAATTTTTCCTCTCTCGACTCTGTGAAGTCTGTGCCTCGTGGTTCCCCCATACTTGATTATTTCCTTGTATGTTTCAAAGGATCAAGAAGATTCGCCAGCTTTGCTTAAAGCTTCTCCACACTTGGTATTTTGAGCAGCTCTGACCAACCCTATTCTATGCCCAGAAATCTCATCTGTTTCTACAGTGCATGTGAAATTCTACTGCACAGTAATTGTGAAATAAAATGGAAATAAAATGGAAACTTCCAGGAAGCATCAGGCTTTTGTGCACATTGCTATTTTGTGTGCATTAACACACTGTACAGCCCCATAGAAATRCCTTGAGCACAAACAAGTATTCGGGCAAGCAGTCTTTGTGCTGCTGTTCCAAAATGGGGYAAAAGGGGCAGAGCACTAGGAAGCTGCATGGAAACAGACTATGAAAGAAAAACGGCTGCACTAACCAGCAGACAGCAAGAACTTGAGTGTTGCCACATGGGAGTGTGCTGAGATCAGTGGGCTTAGTGACATCCGGTTAATAATATTAAGAATTAAGAATATTAAGTAAAATTAAAAATTAATAATATGAAATAGTAATTGTGGCCAAAGTGTGACTGTCCAAACATCATTCTGCTGAAAAAGAAGAAAGTCACTGGTCTTGCATCCCTAGTACAGGACCCATCCTCGTCTTCCAACTTGTATAATTACCTCTAACTCCAAGCCAGTTTCTCAGCAGGTGCAGATTCCTGTAGTTTATCTGATCCTCTAATTCCAGTCACATCAGATTTGGCAACTGCTTGTTCACTGAGCAATCAAAACTCGCAGGGATTTAATAAGTGGCAAATTTTCATATGATAGGATCAGGCCCATATACGTACAAAGTGCTTCGTATACACTGACTAAATCCRCAGATTCAGTCTTGGAAATAACATTGAAAACTGATGGCTTAGTTTTCCACACTTTTACACAAAGTTTTCAAAAAGTTTGTTTTAGTGATAGCTCTCTGGTAACATGTGAAGTTACAGGTGTGTGCTCAAGCAAAGCTCAAAAGTCTCACTCTTGGAGGACTGCTTTGAATGTCATTTCTCAAACTGATTTCTCCAACCATTTCAGCATTTAACCTGACTGTTATATAGCTATTTAAATGCATTATTCTGAAAGGCACTTGCAGGCAAAATAAGTAAAAGTGAAAGGAGAGATCACAACTCTTGATAATCATTCACACATTATGAAGTAAAAACATTCGCATTTAAAATCTTACAAATGACAAATCTTAGTCCATGTCACAGAGGAAAACAATCACCTAAATTAGCAAACATTTTTGAGTTGCTGATACCAGTAGATCCAAAGGGATAATATGTGCTGAGGCACTTTCAGGACTTTTCTCATAATACCAGTGCTAGCTAGTAAAGCAAGTAAACTTGTGCAGGGAGTTCCCCTCCCCAGAGAAACCTTAATCTCATTTAATGGACATGTAATTGATTATAACACATCATTTTAGAATGATAAAACCACTGTAGCACTTTCAAGTTGAAGGTGCAAGTTCTTAACAGATAAAAAAAAAAGGATCATCCTTTATTTTAGTAATACTGAAGGCAATTTATAGGCAATTCCTGTGAAATTTGGAAACTTTATCCATATGATATGCTATTATAGTCATATATCATTCCAAGACTGCACTTGGAATGTGCACTTGTATTGCTGTGCAGAAAAGACTTCTCCTATAGCTACTTAATTGAACCTAGAGAAGTAACTTTGAGCACTTTTGTACTCTGTTCGTGCCTGGGCTTTCTTTATAGGCTAGTCAGGCAATCCACTGTTCCAATTTCTCCTAATCGTCATGTTTTTTGAGTCCATCAATAACAAGCTACTAAACAGACTTGACAATATTAGAAAAACTCTATGCTACAAACATATTGAGCTCTCAGCATGTTTTCTTGTTCTTGAATTCCGGGGACGACAAACTAGATGGAATTCAGATGTTGATTTCTGCTTGCACAGTGCAGTAAGAACTGCAGTCCTTACATATATAATAAGAGAGAAGTTGTCTGCCAAAAGGCCAGCTAATTACTTGAAAAGATTTTTTCTCCTACATACCTTCTTAAAATTTAAGCAGGTTTTAAAGATCACATTCATGCACAAATTTTGCCTCATTTTAGTCTGATGATATTACATAAATCAACACCCAGTTTCCTCTTCTGAATAGGTCATTTAAGATTTGATCCACTCTCAAGCCTCGAGAACAGCTTTTTTCATATGGCCACACAGTTTTATAGATTTAGAAACTGCAGATTTGAGTTTGAAGTTTATTAACAGACTAACACAGTATCATAGCAAAACAGCTAGATCCTTCTGAAGCAACATTCATAGATCTTAGAGTAACATTGTACCAGCTCTGTGGTCTTCAAATAAACATTACTTTTAACCCAGTACTTTAGAAATTACCCCAAATTCCTTCTTCCTCCCTCACAGGTACCTTCAATGTTTACCTTTACCCTCTGGACAGAACTCAAAGTAGTTAAATCTTCTTAAGCTGATGCAAAGAATTCCAGAGCCCTTCCCAGACTGTGATTGTTTTTGCTATTAAATCCTGTAGCGTTGAGGTTACATCTGCTCTGAGTCACCGGGCAGGAATGTTACAAAGGAGCTGCAGTTATCGAGACTCTACATTGCAACGTAAGACGGAGAAGATGGTAACACCGTGTCCAACACAGCACTTCGGAAACAAAAACAGAAAAAAGTAATAGGGGATCAGCCCTTCTTTTTCATTGCTGTGATCCAGGAAACTGCCTTCAGCATCTCATTCAGCTGTACATTTCAGTACTTTCTAGAATCAGAGACTAATTCTCTCAGGCTTCAGAGGTAAACAGAGATTTGACTTGATTTAGAAATTAAACACATTCACCTAATACATGAGAAGTTATACACTAGAGATGATAGAGTAAAAAGAAAAAAACACAAAATAACAAATATAAATGTGCAGACAAAGTCAAAAGGAATATAAAAAAGAGCAAAGAATCCTGTTTGATGTAAGCCAGTACATTTTAGCCAAATTGGAAGGCACCCAGAAGCACATATTCTCAGTGACTAGGTTAGACGAATTTACTTTATTTGCAAGTTTTTTAGAGTCAGATGAAATGCATCAAAGATTTATTTAATATGTAATGTTTAGATTGCTTGCCCTCTTCAAACAGTTCAAAAAAATGAGCTCACTTACAGGAATGCTTCTGCGAGAAGTGAACTCTAAGGAAACACCAACCAAAAACCCTAAAAGAAGTATTATATACCACAAATATAAATACTGACACTGTCCACACATTTTAAAGACAAACACTTGATGAACACTTCATTTGATTACTTTTGGGGTGTTATTTGATATCTTTTGCATGGCAGTCTTTCTCTATGCTAAACACTCCAAACCAACTAAAAGACTTCAAATGCTGAATTTCAAATACTCGATAAATGCAATAATTTACTCATAAAATAGCCTACACCACAAATCATTCAAAGGCATATTCAAAAGGCCATTTTTAGAGAGAAATGTGCAATGGTCGTTATCGTTCACAAGGAAAGAGATAATCTGTTCATAATATGGCTCTTAATTCATGCAGGTAAAATGTGACCCAGTGGGTGTACTCTGAAGCTAAGAAGTGGGAAAAAAAGCCAGCATTTTAAACTCAGATTAATTAAACAATTAATTAAAGGTTACAAGTGGATTTTCTATCATTTGAAGCATTTAAAGGAAGACTAGATGGCTAATCAAATAAAGATTACTAACCTCAGAGCAACAATTATGGAGACCTGTTATGCAGGATGTCTATAGGTTACATATCATCACAATGATTTTGCAAGAATAAACATATTAAATATAAAATGCTCAAAAAGCATACAAAAGAAAGCCACATAAGCACAAAAGGAAAAGAAAAAAGCTTTTCCTCAWACCTACTGGATGCAGCAAACACTGAAAATGGGCAAATACCATAGACATTAATGTGGCCAGCTAAAGACCTGTCTGGTCACATGCATCTTGTTCCTACCTGCTATTCCTGAAAACATTTGTGCAGAAGTGAAGCAAATATGGCAAGGATCATGAATTACTCTCATCATTTTTGACAAAACTATGTGTAAAGAATAAGATCCTGTTCCTCACTTCTACACTAGACCAAAAACCTGTTTACATCCATTCCATAAGCAAGGCATTGTATGAAGCATGAAATACATCTTATATCTCCTGTGGATGTTGAAAGGAAGCATTGAGCAATAAAAAGCAATGGTCTTTGTTCTCATTACTGGTACTTTCAGCTGAGTGCCTCCTAGGGGCTTTTTATCGCACAGACATTTCAGAACTTTTAAAATTAGTAAACACAAGTTAATGTGTTCCTAATACCCTTTCATCATTAACATGCAAAAGAAGTTGCAAGCACAAAAAAAGCTTTAGTAAGACACTGAACCATCAAGAATTTTTCTCTGGTAAGCTGCAATGCAGGTATCAAGCACCACTTATAAAATGTGAAGCTCTATATTTTCACTTGTGTGTGGTTCTTGTCCAGGAAAGTTTTAAATCATATTTTGTTTCTGTGTAGAAATATGGAGGGGTCAAAGATTGTATAACCACAAAATGGTAACTCCGTGCTTGCCAAAATGTATTTTGAATCCATCTGTTATGAATTAATTTGTTTACACTCTTCTCTGCATTGTTTTAATTTATGGAATGCTAACGATAAATAGAAAACAAGTAATGGACTCTATTTTTTTAGGACTGTCAGAAATAGCATTTTTGAAAGTATTCTTTCAGCACATGGGAACATTAATTAGTCTTCCACATATTCTAACAAGTAACTATAATAAAAGACCTTATCTTTAAAGGAAAATATTTCTTGGTTTCATAACTTAGTCACCAAGTCTATTTCCAAGTATGAAACCTGACAGAACACAGCTGTGTTATATAACCAACCTCAGATTTGCGCTTTCCTCTCTGTTATGTCCACAGTTTTAAAGGGAGCTTCCTTTCCAAAATGATGTGTAGATTTTTTTACAGACTGACTTAAAGATGACTGGGTATGTTTACAGGAAAGTCTTGTTAAGTAGTTATCATAATTGACAATGTGCCAGGTACCAGAATAATACTATATCTTCACGTTGTAAGCGCATTCCACAAACAATTGCCTAAGAGGTTCACACACACATGCTAGGGGTGTTTGCATAGCTAACTGACACATTAAAAAGCTTCCAACTTTACAGGGGAGACTGCTGGTGAAAGTGAGTAGCTCTGCCAGCTTGAGTGGAGATRGTTTAGGTTGTTCAACAGTTTGCCTGTATTTGTTAAGAGGCAGTCTACACATTAAAGAGAGTAAGCTGATCAAAAAATGACGTGGGATTTGGCTAGCAACTTGTATTGCTGTAAAAAATTCTCTCCGCAAAGTATTTGAAAGTTAAATATAGGTAATAATTTAGAGTCACACATAAGAAAACAGAGTATGTTGGACCTACTTTGGTATTAATAGGTTCTCAAAGCGCTCTCTCTCTCTCTCTCTCTCTCTCTCTCTCTCTCTCTAAACCATTTGCCTTTTCAGGATTTATTTGGAATAATCTATACCAACTTAACAGGAGTACAATTTAATTAAACGACTACACCACAGGTAAGATCCCGGACTGTCTGCTTTGTATATGAGGCTTGCATCAAAGTACTGAAATAGCTACTGAACAAGCTCAAGCTCACGTCAAGTGAAACACTCTTGATGGCACAAATTCCAAGAGTTAATGAGATGGTGATGATAGACCTCCTTGAGGCGATTCTGGTTATTCTGGTTATTCACAGGAAAGCACAGGAACACCTGTTTCACCAAGGGTAAGGAAAATCCACACACGCTAGCAGTACTGTTGTTCACTGCTGCAACTCTGCTTACTCTGCAATCTACCCAAAACTCTCTTAATTTTCTCAGGGTTACTTCAGACAATAAGGGTAATTCCCTGATGATCCCAAATGACTAGCAGAGAGACTTCCTATTTATGCTGGAAGGACAGGATAAAGGAGCTTCATCTCTTTAACATATTGTTCTAAGATGTATTACTCTAAGATATAAAGGAGTAACACTAAAATTCAGGCTTTAAATAAATCACTTCTGCTTTACTTGGTATTCTAAGACCAGATATATCATTAAGGCATATGATAGAGAAATCAGTAAGAAGCATTAATTAAAATGGGTGAAAAGATCAGCAAATTCAACATTCTTAGACTGCTTTATCACATTCCAAATATCATATTTGGTAATATCAAATTTCTACTGTCATCCTTTTGTCATCAGCAAAAACAGAATTACCAAAGTAATCTCATTRGAAACGTGACAGAAAGATTTAGATGATAAAATTATTAAAAACACTTCAAAGTTACTCTAATTTAAATCCTTGTTTGGTCAGAGGACGTATCGGGTCATAATACTTTGACTCAAAGTACATATACGACCTAGCTAAGAAAAGCMAACATCTACTTTGAAACCAGAAGTTGTATTGTCATGCTTGCCTCCAGCTGGTTACACCCAAAATCTGTCTTCTTGTCCAAGAAATGTAACTGACTAATTTTGCAAATATCCTATGTTTGGAGTTCTTCAAGCAACATGCATAATTTCATCTGATGCTTATTTAAAAAAAGTGAATTTTAGTGAACTGTTTGCATAGTATTATTAGACTTCATGTTACATTAGTATAATTACAATGAACTCAGTACAACATYCTTTATTGCCAGAGGATGAAATATAGTATCACATCATAAAATTAATTAACTGCGTTACTACAGAACTTGTCACAAGGACTTTTGCTACAGCAAGTCAGCACGTACAGGAATGTGACAATAAGATCACGTAATTTTTAGGAAAGTTCAGTTTTTCTGGATGCTGGCAATCAGAGTCTACAGTGCATATAAAATGATCTACAATTTCAGCAGATTGCTTCAATTTTAGAAGTATGAACACATATGGAAAAATAATGAGGTGGTTTTGAAGACTTCACTGTAGCTTTTATGTGCTAACTATTCTAATGCTTACATTTTGAACAAAATTGAAGCCATAAGGTGAAGAGAAAGCAGTGTTACAAATGTGCAGAAATGATTGCTATCAYGTACTTTTTCATTTTCCAGTCACAGGAGAAAGAAGTACAAAGAACCTACAGCCTCTTCCTCTTAGYATGGAATCTCAAATGGTGGCACAATCTTTTCTTTTCTAGATTCACAACAATGGAAAAAAAAATCTATTTATGAAATGGAGAGAAAATAAAAAGGGAAATAAAGGCTGATACTACTCACTTTTCTGAGGACTCTGCAAACTCGCTTGTTTAACTCAAATTTGTCATTTCAGAAGAACCAAAGTATTTTGTTTCTTCTTGGAAACAAAAGAACTATAGTGAAGATGATACTGGACTGAAATGAAAAGTAAATAAGCAGATGAGACTAGATAGCTAACAGTACAGTGTATCAAATATAATGCTGAACTAAGCAACAAACAAGCATCATTTAAGTACCAGGTTTTCTAGTTCTTTTGTGAAAATGGATATGATATTAAAAATGAACTAGTATTTGTGACCTCACTAACCTTTTTGCTACAGAGGTCTCCTTTAAAATGGTTTTCAAAATAACCTCTAATGGAGCCTAACTTAGAAGGGCACAGTGAGAATATTAGGGCCTAGGGAGATACAGAGCTTTTAGGCAGAACARTGGTGGAGTTCCCAAAGTTTTGATTTTGAGAAATGAGCATACTTAATAAACTCAAACTGCCTAAACCTTACAGTTGATGGGGATTTCATTTCCTGATAAAATTATTTTGATTACTTCATGGAGAGTATTTCACTTCCTCCATCCACCTCATTATTTACCACTAGAGAGTTTGATACGACCCACTACTTTTTTATTAGAATRTGCTTATTGCTTGATTTAGGGTTGTTAAATGCCTGTGCTTCAGCATTACACATGTACTTTATTATTAGRTGAAACATGGCTAGGCAGACATTTATCTTGCTGAACAAATCAACTCAAAGCTCCTTGCTATGGCCTTGAGAAGRAGATATCTTTTCAATCTAATGCTACAATAAGGAATAAATACTACCCTTAAAATCATAGCCTATCAGGCACTGCATGGCCTTATTTTGGTAAACTAAACATTTTTAGACAGATTCAATTTTTTTCAGAAAAAAAAAATGCTTATATGGGATTAAATCATAAAAAAAAAAAAAAAGAACAATGGCTATTTGAACTGAATGTCCTGTACAACAGTGGCTTTGTTTCAGGACCTTTAAAGTATCCCTCCCATGAACTCCTCCTTTGGCCTTTTCATTCTCAGTTAAACTTTTATCCTTTATTTCTTCTTTTTTACAGTTCTCATGTTCCTGTACTTTGTTTCCTTCCCCTTGCCTTTTATTATTCCCTGGAATAATAAAATAAGATTAACTTCTGATTAGCAGATGTACAAGGAAAAGAATATGACATGTCTCTGACATAGCTTTCAGTCTAATTAAATTTGGCTCCCTCCAAGGTTTCAGTTTAGTTTCTGTAAGCGTGCATCCATCAGCATGTCTGCTGAGGCAGCACTTAGAGCTATTTGTAGTAGGAATTATCCAATAAAACACCGACAAACACCAAAGCTTGTTCGATTGCTGTGGATAATATAGAGGCTCCTTAGTGTCGATCTAGAACTTCCCTTCCAAATGTGTTTATTTTTTTAACTAACAAGGCATTCTCTAACCCATATTTAGTTTGGCTCACAGAGTCGTTCCGAAATCCGGGTCTATGTAACAACAGTTCAGAAGCATCTTCAGGAAAACAACGCTTCTTGCGGTGAACTCTAAAGTTCTTTCACGCTTATGGTACCCTTGTGGAGTTCCCTACTTCAAAATGAAAATAGAAACAGCTTTGAGGAGCTACTAGTGCTTCTTTCGTTTTTTTGTTTTGTTTTGTTTTGTTTTGTTTTGTTTTTTTTTTAAGTATTAATTTATCCTTTTCTTCTTTTTCTTTTTTTTTTTTTTTTTTTTTTTTTTCCAAGACAATTCTGGAAGGGATAGAAAAATGAAAAGAAGAAAAAAATAGTCACACTGAAAATACCAAGAATCAGAATAAGGATGATTCAGACTACAAGGAGAGAGTTACATAAGGCACCTTGTTGTAAGGATGAGAAAATACACAATTATGATACATAAGAGACCACAGTTAAGAAATGGTTCCTAATTCATTATACTGGAATCTATTTAACTTGTAGCTTTTCCTTAACAGTGTTCTGATCCACAATTTTTTTGCATAAGGAAACCCTTTTTTTTTTGTATGCAATGGTATTAAGGCATTAATTTTCTTGAATTCTGCCTCCACCTGCTGGGCAGTGGGCAATATGGCACTATGATAATACAAAGCAACTTTCCAACACTATAAATACACTGCTGGATAGGGCAGGTATCTAAGGGGAAGAGAAAAGGATATTAGTTAAAAATAAAGTTTTTTTTTTTTTAATAGGCTAATAAACTATTAGCTCTAGAATCATACTGACTCACTACATATAGAGTGTCCATACAGATCTTGCAGATTCTTTTCAAAACAGTTTCAGCTATGGTARTATATGAACTCATGTAGCCCATGGTAGAAAGAGGAGAAAAATGTCACTCTGACAGGCAGTCTCTAACTCAGTCCTTCCACATGGTGAACAGCACCCAGAACGACTCCCTTGTTGTTGGGGCATCTGCTGGAGAAAACAAAGACACTTTTAGTGAAACCTTCGTATTTCACAGGTTTTCTGAACATTTTGTCCCGTCCTCTTCTAAAATAGAGATGGGTGCGTGTGTTGTTGAAAACAACTTTTTTTTTTTTCTCTCTTGAAAGAAAGAAATGGGCATCAACAACAGTGCAGGAGATTTGGACTATATTTTTGTGTAGAAGTACCCAACAAAATATGAACAATATGTATAATATGGAAATATTATATGTATACAAATATGTAAATATTTAATGCCTACACCTTAGAAGCTCAGTGTATTTTAAATCTTTAAAATACTAACTTGTTCTTCCCATTCCTACAATGGGACCTCCTAATAAGTGAAATAGAAGCTACATGGGCTTTATTGAGGAAAGACACTGGAAATGGTGAGTGGACTGTGCCAGTCGGGCCACGTGAGGTCTAAGCAGCACGTTTATGGGCCTGAACAGGGTGATGGGGCTGTAAATCACAGCCTGACTGCCACCCACAAAGAAGTAACTGCTCTGCTTTAAAATGTCTAGACTTTTTCAAAAACAAATACGTAAATACATAAAAATCTCAGGTCCYGGAAGGACCCAAGCCTGCGCTCACTCTCCACTCCGGTATTTTTGGCTGAGAGCAGTAGTTAAAATAACTGCAACCGGATACGSCTTTAAATAAAGACGGGCTCTGATCCCCATCCGGCGCTCGTGGCTCTGACCCCATGCTTTTACCAGCGTTGCTCTGCGGTGTAAGGTCGTTTTTAGGGTTTATCAGGTAGGGCCCCTTTCATGTTTATTTTAGGTGCACGACCAGCGCGGCGCCTCGGACCCGCGGGCCTCCACGGGTAGCACGGTCCCTCTTCCTCGGGGGGGCTGACTAGAAAACTACAAGTCCCAGCATGCACTTCTCCCAGGCAGACTAGGAGTCCAACCGACTTCTCGCGCATTGCAAGCTGGGACATGTATTTCCGGCCGCCTTCCGACCCTCTGCGGCGGCGCATAGTCTTCCCGCCCCCGCCTCGCGGAGAAGCGCGGCAAGCGCCGCCGCCACCGCGTCACGTGGCGCAGCGCGTTGTGCGCCTGCGCGGTAGGGCACGGCGGGCAGAGGTTACTAGGTAACGGTGCGTGTCCCCCCACCTCCCCCTCCTCCGGCGGAGCGGCCCCAAGATGGCGGCGGCGATGGCGGCCGTTGCGGCGCGGGGCTGAGCGCCGCCTAGGCCGCCGCTCTGAGGTGAGGCTCGAGGGGAGGACAGSGAGGCAGGCGGGCTCGGTGACCTCCGCGGACGGCGGAGCGGGGCGAGCCGAAGGGCCTGCGCGCCCCTGCCCAGGGAGAGGCCCGGTGGCGGCGGCGGGAAGGGGCTCCAATGCGGCGGCCCTGTGGTGGGCAGGCCCTTCCTCCGGTGCCTTGCAGCGCGGGTCCAGAAACCTTCGGGTTTTATTTTGAAGTGCCTCGTCCAAGTGCTTTGTGGCTGCCCCACGGCTTCGTCTTCCCGCTTAGCCTGTCGTTTTCGAAAGTGTCCGCAGGCGCCGTGTGCGAGCTGGGGTGCTTCTCCTGAGGTCTTGCTCTTGGAGTGAATGCCAGAGGAAAATGAACGACGGAAACATAGCTCCGCTATAACAGAGCCATTAACAAAAGCATGTGTGTCTTAGGCTTGTGGGTGTGTTTGCTGTTTGTGTTCCTGAGCAGTTTGTATGTGGCAGCTGCGTGCCCTGATGGATGTAACCATAATCATACATGTTTTTAGTATAATCGTGGCTACTATCCTTGGTTGTAGTTACCTTATTAAATATACTTAAAAGGCTTTCCCAGTTGCTTATTATTATTATTTTTTTAAAGTTCTTGTTCCAAGCTCCTAGGTAGTCTAATGACTAAAGAAGCTGAGATTGCTGATGCACTGGCAGGAGCAAAGCAGTGCAATAGAATGATMCTAAAGCTGCTGTAAAAGTTTTTCYGCTGAAAACAGCTGGTAAAATGGAAAGTAAGAAAAAAATGCAGGTAAATAGGAGTGAAAAACTTGATTCAGATTCTTAAAGATTGTAATATGAGTGTCGCTATGCCAGTTGCTGTGTGAGAAGGACTTGCTGCTGTTAGAATAGCTTCCCCAAGATGTGTATGAAGGACTTGCTTTTACCCTAATAACGTTGCAGGAAGCAATCGGGATACTTATGTTTTTGGGCTGTGTTTGATAGGCTGCATTGGAACATGCCTGGTGACTGTTTGRGACTGTTATTGAGAATATTAGCTCTATGGTGGTGAATTTGCCTTGGAGTTAACTAGAGACTCCTAAAACAAACAATGTTGAATTTAATTCTTCTTTGCATGCATTTTGTTTAAAACCCGCACAAAAACTATTTGTATAGCAGATGTAACAATAAATGTCACCCCCATTTTTTCAGTGGAAACAGAAAAAAATATTTTCCCTCAGTTTTAGTCCAATTATGTAACATGATGATGGAGGAAACAGCTTACTGAGTTCCACTGCAAACCCAGATGGTCTTTAATCTGGTCAAGATGAAGCCGATGCGCTTAGTGGCGCAGGTCGGGGCGTCACACCAGTCGAAATGCAGTATCTTGCACATCTGCACTGTGGAACAGTTCATCTGCTCTCAGAAAATATTTATAGCTGCTTGCTAAAGTAAGCTAAATAGATATCTATCCATTTATTTTGAAAGGTTGTGCAATTTGAGTTGGTAGAAAAGCTTCTGTGTGAATTTTTTACAGGATTCTTGTGCATAAAATCAGAATGTGAAAAGACTTAGTGTTACATGGGAGTTGTATTTGTTTTTATACTCTGAACCAATCACACAGCTCATCCTAGTGAGTATTGCATGAAAGGTGCCTTTTTTTTTTTTTTTTTTTTTACAGTTACCCCAATCAAGGCTGCGTGGGTGTTGCTGCCTCCTCGTTTATTCATTTCATTTATTCACCTTCCTTGAACCTGCAGTCAGGCTTATGCAGTTGGACAGAGAGCCAGATCAAGGAGGAGATCCAGTTAAAAACTCACCTCACCTTTTTATTTTGCTTTTTTGTTGGCTTTACTAGGTTGTGTGGTACCTCTCATCACGAGGCCTGGCAGAGCTGGTGCTGGGGTAGAGAAGGGGGCAATGAAGAGGCAAGAGCACTAGGACGCAGGTCTGCCTGCTCCTTTCATCTTGCTGTGGGGCAGTTTTGGTTGTTAGGTGCAGCAGCTGAAGTGCTCCATCTCTGTTGACATAAACTAGATCTGTGCCAAATGTAGGCGCAGCTACAACAGAATTGGCCTACCTGCTGGCTCCCATTTCCCTAATGTTACATTAATAGGTGGTGCTTAGAGTATTTTAATACTTTAAAGTACTTTAATACTCTAATACTTTACTCTTTAGACTCTTTAGACTCTTTAGACATTAAAATACTCTTTAGAGTATTTTAATGGTTGAATGGGTTGAATGGGTTAATGGTTGAATGCTGAATGGGTTGTATTGTGTGACTTGAATGAAATCATATTCTTAAATAAGGCAGTTAAGTTTCAAGGATATACTAATTCATTTTGGGCTTTTCTTTTTCTTCTTCCCTGGAATAGATTATAAAAATCCTGACTAGATCTAGGCCAAATCTTAAGTATTAGATTGTTTCTTCACCTGCACTGTTTGAAATGTTGGTGCAAAAATCATTAGTAGACTAATTGCAATAAAGTGTTCAGAAATAAATGGTTAGACATGTCTGCTTTATTTATTTTTATTAAAAAGTAGGTTRATGTCTTAACACCACAGCTAAAGCTATTTGGAAAAGTAATTCTCTTAAGACTATGTTGTTTATTTTTTGTACCACAGCTTTAYAGCTGTTAAAAGGAACGAGTTTGTAGCTTTGTACAGTGTACCTGTGCCAGCAGCAGTTAGGGTGCTTAGCTTTTCATGCAATCTAATTGTATATGCAGCTATGTATCTATATATATATAAATATATGTAGTTATGTATATTATTGAATGAGCTAAGCTATTTGTACTACTTGAAAGGAATACTTATTACTTATTTTTCATCTCTCACAACATTCTTAATGATACTTATGCCAAACTAGAAATAAAAGTGAACATTTTTTAAAAAAAAAAATTTATAGTATGCATTATTTTTATAGTGTGTGATGTTTGTGGAGTACAGAGTAGCAAAGTTAAAGAAAGGCTAAACTCTTTTTTTTTCCCAGAGACTGTRGTGTATGGCATGTTATTCTTGCGTAATATTTTAACTTTTAGTGAAGTAAGTAAAAATACTTACTGAGGTCTCTTCCTGTATTGTATCTGCAAATATGCCCCATTGTCATCATCTTAATACTGAAATAAATGTGACTTTTTTGGCATATGGTGTGTAGCTTTGGATCTCTAGTATCGCAGAGAAAATGCCATGGGCCTGCAGTGACTTAAAAAAAAAAAAAATCTGTATTCTTACTGTTAGATTTGGGGCTTAATTTCTTTCCCAAAATAGACTTGTAGTTTTATTTCATAAGGAGTGTGTCATGATTATCTCAGATTAGAGCTCGTGTACGCAAACTGATTTTCATGTACCCTATATTTTTTAACCTGTTTCTTTTAGATTCCCTTTACTGACGAGTTGTCATGGCTGCAGGAGGTGGCCCCTTTGAGGAAGGCATGAATGATCAGGACTTGCCTAGCTGGAGCAATGAGAGCCTCGATGACCGGCTGAACAACACGGTACAACCCTTAACTTCCAGTTGTCATGTTGTGCTGTAGTCTGCTGTGTGTGCTGTATACTGAATTGACAGGTGGTTTGTGTTAGTGGTAGGCAGCAGTGTGAAAATCAGGCTATTGTCAGTACAGCTTTGCATGGTAGTGTCCAAAAAGACAAAATAATTAGAGGTGAACAAGCAATGTGTGTAACTTAGAGGTTATTAAGTCTGCAGGTGTGTTTATGGAGAAGGGTTTTGGGGTGAATTAAAGTAGATGTAGAGGCACTGCAGGTGTCATARAATTGAAAACAAATTTATTTAAAATCAGCTTTGTATTTTAAAAGTTCTAAACTACTTAGCCTTCTGCAAGGCAGAAAAATACAATTTTAGCTTAATTAGAAATTAATGAAATAGTTCWTAAGATAAAATGAGTTAAATGTTCCCTGACTAGCTATTTTTAATGGGTACAGTGGAAAATGGTATCCTGTAATGTGATGTTTGCTCTAGATAACTTTGGTCATCGTTTTAGCTCATGTTTTGATATGTCTTTACTTAGAAAACAGAAATGAATTCCCTTTCACTGAATTGAATATCTAAGGTTTATTTTGTTTGTTTGTTTTTTAAATCTSTATATGGTTAACAAATGTGAATTTTTCTTCCCTCTCCTTGTGCATAAGGACTGGGGAAGTCAACAGAAGAAAGCAAACAGGCCTTCAGAAAAAAATAAGAAGAAACTTAGTTGTGAAGCGGAAACAAGGCTTACTAATGATATATCTCCAGAGTCCTCGCTTGGAATGGGTCGACGAAAGACCAGGACTCCGCATAGTTTTCCTCACACTAGATATATGACCCAGATGTCTGTTCCAGAGCAGGCTGAACTAGAAAGGCTGAAGCAAAGAATAAACTTCAGTGATCTTGATCAGGTTTGTGTGAATACTAGCTCAGTGTTATAAATGCCCATCTCTTAATAATTATACAACCCACTAAAGAAAGCTTAAGCTGTTAAGATAAAAAGCCTAGAAGCATGGTGGGAACCAGATCATTCTTTTGGTTCTTAACATGAGAAAAATTGTGTAAAGTGCAGAACCCCGAGTTCTTGCACTTTCCCTGGAGATAAAACTTGTTCCGTCTTACCTTGTCCATATCAATGGAAAGTGCGAGGAACTAATTCTGATAACAAGCAGTGAGCTTTTGCTAACCAGTTCAGAATGGACGCTTGTTAATCACTGGCAAACTTTTATGGCCCAAAACAGTTTTAACAGAAAGGTATTTCAAATATGACCCATTGCTTTGGCATGAAGTGTAAAGACTGAACTTTTACTGATACTCCTGAAGGATAAACATCCTTCAGGAACGTGTATCCTGAAGGATAAACATCCTTCAGGAACGTGTATTATGGCAAAAGTATGGCTACTCACAACGTTTAAAAAAGAGAAACAAGTGAAGTGAGAGATGTATGTCAAAGGTGACCAGTGCTAAGTTTAGCCAGCATTTGGCTAGTCAGTGAATAGTCAAATAACTTTGTGATCAGTCCAAGAGTACAGCAGAACAGGTAATTCTAGTAGGGGAGTTAATCAAAGTTGAGAATATATTGAGTGAAAAAACATTGTAACGGTTGTTTTTGTCTTCGTTTGTTTATAGAGAAGCATTGGAAGTGATTCTCAAGGCAGGGCAACGGCTGCTAACAACAAACGTCAACTTAATGAAAACAGAAAGCCATTTAACTTCCTGTCGCTGCAAATAAACACRAACAACAGCAAAGATCCCTCCTCAGGTTCCCAAAAGAAGGAGTCTGGGGGATYGCTGCAATGTAAAGAGTTATTTGGAGCCGCTCTAAGCAAGGATTTCTTGCAAAATTGTCAGGTCTCTAATCAAGAAGATGGAAGAGGGGAGCCAGCCATGGATAGCAGTCAGGTATTTATGTAGCCTGTTCGTCTATGGATTGAGGCCTTGACTGTTGCTTGTCAATGCATCTTTCTATATTTTCAGGAAACGTGACTGTTGTAATTCTTGTTTGCAAATACATAAATTCCCACTGTTCTAAAAAGGCATCTTTTACCTGAGGAAAACACAAAACTGGAGTTAGGAATGTGTTGTTCTTGGTCTAATAATATTGGATGTCTATCTCCTTTGGTCATACTTCAACTGGAAGGTGATTCTATTATATAGTTCCAGAAAATATTTTTCTATTTAAGTATTTTGTATGTTGACAATGTGAACTCCATTCTRTTTTAGCATATATGGACAAGACCCCCCCCCCCCCCATACACACACACTTCAGCCTAGCAGCTTTATGCATGCACAAATCTAGCCTTATAAAACTTGTTTTTGAATGGCTCGCTGAAGTAAGACTGTAGGATTGAAGGTACTAGCATGTCATCCTTTTATGAATCGTTTGCTATTGCTCTCGCCATATTTTGTGCCTAAGTTAATGCTGGAGCTGAATGCATTCAGTAATTTCGGTGTCTTTACAGATTGTGAGCAGACTAGTTCAGATTCGCGACTATATTGCTAAGGCCAGCTCCATGCGGGATGATCTTGTAGAGAAAAATGAAAGATCGGCCAATGTTGAGCGTTTATCACATCTTATAGATCACCTTAAAGAGCAGGAGAAATCCTATCTGAAATTTTTGCAAAAGATGCTTGTAAGTTTGGGAATATAATACATTTGTTTCTCACTATGAATTTTTCTTTTTTTTTTTTTTTTGAAGGAGTTGACTATTGATGTGTTGGTGGTGTTACTGGGGATGTTGGTTGTTCAGATATAGTACCTTCCATGATTCATTTTTGCTGCCCCATTTACACAGCGTTTGATTTATGCCCCTGAAATATTTCAGGCTAGAGAAAATGAGCAGGAGGATGTGTGGACTGTAGATTCAGCTGTGGGATCTGATTCTATAGCTGAGAGCACATTGCCAAACGTTGATGTGCGGTCTGAGGTTTCAGATACGGTAAGCTGCCTTTTGGTAATTAAGGTGCTGAAACAAAGACTTGTTGGTTTCTTATTCCCTCCTGTGACACTGATGTAATCTGCAGTTCAGTTCATAAAAAGCAAGTTTCTGTGCCTTCTCTCYTACTATGCTAAGTGCAGGCACTTGTTTTTAAGTAGGGAGAAAAAGCTCCCATAGCAACAAAATTTCTTGATTTTTTTTAAATTTCTTTTTCATTTTTCTTCTAAACAAAATGGAGGATTACACATGTATTTTCCCAGGGGAACACACTGGGTTGATGTAGGAAGGAATAGTTTTMTATATACTTTTCTGATTTATTGGGTTGTTTCTGTTAGTGGGAAAATTTGCTGCATAAGGTACTGCATAAGGAAAGGATTAGAAATGAGTTGCTGGTGGCCAGTGATTAGGCATTGATCTAGTGATTTGGCAGATGCATTGCTGGTGGATTATTGATCAAGTATTGATCTAATGTTATGTTGAGAGGGTGACCTAACACAAAAGTTGCTGTTCTCCTTTGGTGCTATTCAGAACATAAGTTCTGAATCTGATTAGATGCACAGACTTGTTTGCTCTCTGTGCAGAACTTTACACTAATATTGTAAACAATTAGTGTAGAATATGTAGAAGCATAACTTGCTCTTTAGAACTTGCAATACTGCTTTTACCCTGAGAAGAATACTAGTGAGCCAGTACTCTTGATCTCCGTTAGTGCTGTGAGTGTTTTACAGATCATAAGTACTTTGGTGCTTGGAAGTGAAATAGTATTTAAAATAAAGTCATCATAAATATATTTCCTTTTCTAAAAAATTGTTCTTCCTGTAAAGAAACCACACTGGTAGACATGGAAGATGTAATTTTTTCAAATTTTTGTAAAGACTGTTATGGAGTTGAAGGTTCACCCTTGTGAACTTAAACTTGCTTTTATTTTTTTTATTTAATTTCTCCCAAATGTTTCTTTCCTCTCTCTTTTTAGGATGCTTTAATGTATTAAATTTAATGTATTAAATACAGAATCACAGAATGGTTAAGGTTGGAAGGGACCTCTGGTGATAATCTAGTCCAACCTTCCTGCTTCCTGAATGTAAACTACTCTAAAGAAGTTGATGGCTATTTGAGCCTCATTGTTWCAAAAATTCTAAGAATAAATGCCAAAAATAACCTTTACTCATGTAGGTTTTATTTGATAAAACTAGTACTTTACAGTGTATGATGAGATATTGGTGGTTAGGTTGGTACCTTGAAAATACACACTGAATTGGGGCACACATTCAAAGCTCACATACTAAGCTACTGAATAAAGGCAGTAGCTTTTAGTTTGAGCATGCAGCCTGTCATTGAGGACAAACTAGGAAATTCAGCATCACAAGAACATTAATGTTAGAGCAAGCGCTAAGAAGGAAAGTGACAGAGCTGCTGTGAATGACAGGGAAATCTGGCCTAGTAGGACAAATGGCCAAGAGCACGAGTTGCCTTCAAAGATGCACTTCAAAATATTATTTTGGCCTCAAAACTAGGTTTTATGCATTCTGAGTTCCTTTTTTTGCTTTTCTGGAATAATCTGCTTAAAACATATTTGTTAAAATGAATGTTTCCTTCAGACCTGCTTATCTGTGTCCGACTCTTTCTATTGAATGAATCTTCTCTAATTAGTTGTTTTGAAGTATGCAGATAACTTCTACATGAGGTGCAGTTGATGATTCAGAAGAGTAGGTTTATAATTGACAGAGAAAGTTTTACATCTGATTCTGTGCAGCAATTTGACTTGATGTAATGGCAGATGACCTTTCTGTTTTTTGCTATCCTTTTTTTTGAAAAAAAGTCTTTTAAATTTGTTTTTCAGACCCTTAGCAGGTTCACACTAGTAGTTTGTTAAAGCAAATTTATGCTGCTATGGTATGGAGAAAATAAATTAGGAAACCGATGGATTGCTTTGACTTGTTCTGCATTTTTGTATGTAGAATTGATTGAAGAAAAAAAAAATCCCTGTTCAGAAGTGAGGAGACTATGAGGCTGGCAAATACAAAACTTGTTATCTGTATCTAGCTTTTCCATGGCCTTGTTTTTTATTCTGACAAAAAATGTCAGTGTTTTTTTTTGTAAAACAAGATCAAATGTTTAAATCTTTTGTTGAGCTTATTAGGTTAAAGTAGAAGTAGCCCTGAAAAATTTAGTGTTTGATGAATTTAAGTAAATCTGTTATTGAGATAAAGATTTGATTCTTAACAATGTGAGAGACTCAGGGATGCATCCCTCTGTCTTTCCTCCCCTCACTACTTCCTGTGGTAATTTCATTGTGTGTAGTATTTTGCATCTGCTCTGCTTTCTATATGCAAAATGAAATATTTAACCAGAATATGTAGTGCCAGTTACAGTGCATATTTTAAAGCCCTGTCTCTGAGAAGTTTAAAATTCTGCTGGAAAGCTGAGAGTTCTCTAATATCCAGCTAGATGATAAGGTGTCTGCTGCTTTTCTGGTGTTCAGTGTGGAATGTGGTTTGCCTTGAAAAAATTTTGTACCTCATGAGCTCAACACCTTATGGAGGAGTGATGATACTTTTTTAAAGTTAGTGCTCTATCTGTTAGGAATTGTTAATTATTTACACACAYAAGGCTTTTTTCCATGTTTTTTTTTCTGCAGAATATTGTAAATCAAACTGGATCAGGATCCTGAATATTTCTGTGAAATATCTGTAATTCGTTTGTTGCCCATACCTGAATAATTTTTTGAGGCAACTCTACAGCCRTTAATTGTGAAGGGAAACGATGTGGAAGAGAGCTTCTGTTCTGATATATTTTAACCATACAATGTATTTTAATTCCTTCAGATTTATTCTTGTATGCTTGMCAATATTGTGTAGTGAGATTCTGTGGCTGATTTTGTTTTGAGTCGGATTTGTTAGTCTAAGGAGTTAGTTCTAGCATACATGGCAAAAATATACATTTGCATCTACACACTACATGGTAGGTAAGACAAGAATAGCTGCCCAAAAGTTTGTTGAAAAGCTAGAGATTTGATTTTGGTTAGTAAATCAGTCTAAAGCTTGTCTAATATGTAGCGCCATGATACCATGTGTAATGTTGTTTAGCTATAGCGCTGTTGTAGCTTACTGTGCCCTTCTGTGAATATGCAATTGCGGGGACAGAGGGATGCATGAGGGATCATTTTTATAAGTTAGGGTAGCTGACTGGAATTCTGCCTAATTCCCAGGTGTGGTAAGCATGGCTTAGTGGTAACAGAACAGAACATATCAGACCATATAACAGACCATATTTTCACCTTTTCACTCTTACAACCTATGCTTTTTTAAATCCTGCTTTTTTTGACACACTAGTACTTATTAAATAAAATGCAATGATTATGATGATCATCTTGCATCTCTTTCAGGCCAGAGATCCTCAGCAGGAAGCAAAAGAGGAGTTGGAGAACTTGAAGAAGCAACATGATCTATTAAAAAGGATGCTACAACAGCAGGAGCAATTGAAGGCTCTTCAAGGAAGACAGGCAGCTCTTCTTGCTCTCCAACACAAAGCAGAACAAGCAATTGCTGTCATGGATGATTCTGGTAGGTAGTATGACAATATATTTTGTTGGCTTAGAGTGCCGAGTAAATGGAATTGTCCATTAAAAAAGTCATTGCACTTTTACTTACAAGACTTCTATTTATGTAAATAATTGACAACATAACATGGCAAAATGACTTGCAGTGGATTAAAACAGTACTGTTTATGCTACATTGCAAAGTTTAAAAAAAAAGGCAAAAACAAACAAACAAACACCTCGGGTTCCTTTCTCCAGTGAATTTYGGCTTCTCCCTTTTCCCACCATGTTTCAACTCAAAAATGGGAAAGAATATGGAACTAGTTAACAGCATGGTTACCTTTTGTTAACTAGTTCCATACAACACAGAATTGAGTGTGGGGAAAAAAGCAGAGGAGTTGGCAGAGAACCTGTACAAGACTTTAATGGATGCAAAGGAAGCAGGTGCCTTTCAGCAGTGCACTTCTGTGCTGCCTTCTCAGCTGACTTCCAGTAACTGCTTTCCTCTTATGTTCTTTGTAGTAGTAAACCTGTGATGAAATCTTCTTTATCCTTGTTTCTCAAATATATAAAATACGTCCCTGTCTTGATAAAGAAAATGTCCTCATTTATTGTAAACTAGGACTTCATTTTAATTTTCTTTAATGTTCTTTTGTCACAATTTCATGGATGTTGCTCTTGGTAGGAGRGTAGGAAATGTACAAAAATAAATTCAGCAAATTTGAATAAATGCAGAGCAGAATATTTCATAAGCTTTCTTGTTTTAGTGTGTTTTTTTTAAAGTAAAATTACTCGCTGTTCATAGCTTGTCTCTAGTGAGGAAGAGTGTATCATTTTGAGGGCAATTTAATCTAGTAGTCTCAAGTTGGTGGGAAGGACACAACATTACAAAATAATTGCTGTTGTGTTACAGATTGTAATTTATTTATATTTTTAAACCAGATATTTTCATCTAATAACCTTCTTGTCCATGCCATAAACAAGTATTTCCATCATTTTTTTCTCCTTTTTTCAATCCCCAGTTGTAACAGAGACTACTGGCAGTGTTTCTGGAGTGAGTCTTACATCAGAACTGAATGAAGAATTAAATGACTTAATACAGCGCTTTCACAACCAGCTTCATGATTCTCAGGTCAGTCGTTGTACTGTACAAGTTTCTTCCACAACCTTTCCCCAGTGTTCTGTTCTTTCTCTTGTTTTTATTCTCTTGAACAGTTCAGTTAAATGTTGGTATCTTCCAATTTAACTGAATTTTCTATTTACTGTTGGAATAATTAGGGCTCTTTAAAACTTACCTTAGCATGTTTGTGTTCCTAGAGATGATTGTTGTAATTGGGATACCCTCAGAATACTTTCAACATCTGTTTCACTTTATAAAAGTTCTTTGTTCTTCTTCTGAGCCTAGCAGATCCAGAAGAGGATTTATTTTTCTTTACACTTCCTTTAGCTTTCAGGAGAAGGTAACTAAGAAAATTTTTACAGTACTCTGAATAAAAATGAAATTTTCTTTTATGTTTAGACACAGTCTGTGCCAGACAATAGAAGGCAAGCAGAAAGTCTTTCACTTACCAGGGAGATCTCACAAAGTAGGAATTCTTCAACGTCAGAGCATCTGTCAGATGAGAAGGTGCAGCTTTTTAACAAGATGCGGATGTTGCAGGGTAAAAGACAAGAACTGGACAAATTGTTAGGAGAACTTCATACACTTCGTGACCAGCATCTAAATAACTCCTCCTGTAAGTAAATATAGGCAGAATTGTATRTTGCTAAGAATATAATTTGCAACCAGTTAATGATTTATTGATAGCTACGTAGCAGGTGAAAAAGCTGTGCTAAGGCAATATTTAACTGTTTTATACAATGCAGTATAGATTTTCTCTATAATGGATACATTTTTATATATATATATATGTGTGTGTGTGTGTGTCTATTTTATTTTCCTCTTCAACAAATACAAGTAACAAGTGTTTTCTCTAATAGCACTTGAATTGATAACATTAGTCAAGTTGAGTGTGAGCTTATGAGACTAGAATTTTTGGTTTGCCTTCACAGCTTGTCTATGACAAAGTGTACTTGTAGGATCATACCATAAACTTTTTTGAGAACTTTCTGTATTTTATCCTAATACATTCATATCTGAGTACTCCGAATTTCAGGTGTTAATGGTCTCAAGTAGGGTGAGGCCAGTTTTTTTTTTCTTTTGTCAGAGCCCTTTTCCCTCTGTTAACCACCTGGATTTGGATTGTAGGCTAGACCTGAAGAATTTAGGTGTRTGGACTAGATTTTTGGCCTGCTCTTAGATGCCTGACTCAAAACCACTGTGTTAGGACCATTGACTGTTCTTGTTTTCTGTTTCTGAAAATGTATCTGTACAGGTGAAACTTTCTCCCCTACTGCTAGAAATTGCCTGGGAGCTGATAGCAGCATTCTTAGCATTAAGAAATAAAACACTCAAAGCATGCTCCTTGTGATAGGTCTGCTGTTCTACCATCAATTATGTTAGCATACCCYGTGCTTACTACCTCTTGTTAAGACGTGTGTGTACTGTGCTTCCCTCTCTTGTAGCTGGAAAAAGGAGTCTTAAGACTAATCTCAAGCCTGTGTTGTAAAACATGTAGATGCAAGAGCTWAGCACTGGAAAAGTCACTAAGATCTCATTTTTCTTAGCGTGTGGAAATGTTAAATTTGAACAAAAGCAATTCAGCCATAAATAARCTCTAAAACAGCTCTTCAGGCAGATTCGCAGCATGAAAATTTCAATTAATGTATTTTTATGAGACCCGGTCTTACAGATATTTTGGTTTTGGAAGCTGGCTGTTGTCTGCATTTTGGCATTACATGTTACATGTCACAAAACTTGAACAGAAGTGTATTATTGTTTTTTAATGAAAAAAGACATTACCTGCTGATTTATATGGCCATATTTTCTGTAACTACATTATACTAAAGTTCATTTCAGTGAGTTTCTTTCTGCCAGCTGCCCTTAATCAGATATATTTCCGGTCTGTAGTTTTTCCTGCATCAGGTTCTCCTCAGAGAAGCATTGACCAACGAAGTACAACTTCAGCCGCATCTGCTCCTGCGGGGATAGTGACCGTTGTCAATGGCGAATCCAACAGCCAGGCATCGTCGGCGCCCTATCCTCCCGATGGCCTCACTTCGCAGAATGACAGTGAAGAAGAGGAAAATCTAAACCCAACAGAAAAGCTCCAGTAAAGTTCTTTATTTTATCTCTTTTTCTTTTTTAAAGCAAGCTCTTTGTCATAAGGACCTGTTTTGCATTTTAATCTATTTTATTTAGTATCGTGTTCTATTAAATTGGTTCAAACGGTAGAATGGATTCAGAGTTTAAAGCATAACATTTTTGCATGGAAAATAACAATTTTAAAGGGTTATAGATGAAATATCCTTTCCAATTTATAGAGATGCCATTAATAGAACAAAGCCTATYGCATGTTCTCTTTCCCCTTCAGGAAACTAAATGAAGTTCGGAAGAGGCTGAACGAGCTGCGCGAGTTAGTTCACTACTATGAACAGACATCTGATATGATGACAGATGCTGTGAATGAAAACACCAAGGAAGAGGAAGAAACAGAAGAATCTGAAAGTGATTCTGAACATGAGGATCAGCAGCCTGTTACAAATATTAGGTTATCATATTACTTTTGTCATCTTAAATTTTGATAGCTAAGTTGTCACGGGGTTTTCTAAAGCAAAAATGTCATTTCATTGAACCAGTTGTAAATTAATATGATTATTATATTAACATTCTGAAATTTTAAAGTAACGCTTTTATACAGATCATTGTTTCTTGTTCTTGCTAGCTTGCCCAACAAATATAGATTAACTTGAACACACAGAAAATCATTGCAAAGGTCTTTGAAGTCTGTAACTGCTTCATATGTAAACAGTGAACTGTGTATAGAACTTCATTACAAGGGTTAACAGGTTTAGACTAGAGAACTACAATGAAAGAACTTCAGTTAGAGCAGCTTGCTGAGGTGTATTTTTGTAAGACCAATCTGTGCATTCATGATCTTCACTGCATGGAAATAAGTTATGATTTTGCTGTGACTGTTGTGGAACTYGTCACAGACGTGCCCTTTGTAAACTGATACTGTTCGTAGAGCTACCAGGGAAATACTCCACAGAAATGAAAAGAATACTGGAGTAATGCATATTGAGAAATTTAGAATGCCTTAACCCATTTTCAAGAGAATTTTTGAAGTTTTTTTTTWAAGTATTCTAAAGACATTTCCATAGCAGCCAAAGAAATGATTTTTTTTAAATRAATTATTTAAAAATAAAGGAAGAAAAGTTATTGGTGTCAGTTCTTTAAAGGTTAACGTCAGTTATATGTTGTACCCTAGAAACCCTCAAGGAATCAGTAGCTGGAGTGAAATGAATAGCAACTCGAACATACAGTGTGGAGCTAATAACAGAGATGGAAGGCATCTTAATACTGACTGCGAAATAAATAACCGATCTGCTGCTAATATAAGGACTCTCAAAGTGTCTTCAGCTCTAGGTATGGTCTGAAATCTTAATTTCAAATATTTATATGTTTCGTAATAATTGTGATAGCTACACAGTCTGAGAGAATCTTCTCTGACARGCAAAATGTTCGAATGTTCAATAGTCCACACATGAATCTGATAATTCTCTAGAGTCTGGCAATTGCAGATGYGATGTTTAATTCATGTTTAGCCAGGTGTGCTGTGTGACATGGGTAATATTTGTTTTCTTGTGTTTTTTTTTTTCTTTCCTTTAGACTGTCATAATAGGGAGGATGACAAAGATGTTGACCTCCCCCAAGAAGAAGATGAAGAAGTTGAGGAAGATAGAGCTAGTGACGATTCTGTATCTAGCCACAGAAGCAGCCTGGGGGATGCTGCTGGCGATGCTGAGTTTGAGCAGAAGATCAGTAGACTTATGGCTGCGAAACAGAAACTTAGACAGCTCCAAAACCTGGCTGCCATGGTGCAGGTATTCTCCAAAGAGAASTCTGGGCACAAAAGTATAACATTTATTCTTTATTACATGTATAATTTTTAATGCATATAATAAATTTACATGAGAAAATATAAAATTACCTTTTAATAATTTGAWTAGGGAAGGGGAAATAGTTTTATTTGTCTGAAGTCGAGGTTAATATTTTTCAAACTCAAATCTTGACTTCTCATAAAGGTTACTGGCTTAAGGTAAGAATAATYTTAATGCTAAAAGACAACGCCGAATTACCTAAACTTTCCCAGTAAGTCTTTAATATTTTTCAAATATTCTTGATCTGTGTTTTTTAAGCTTATAATAAGTACCCGTGTTTTTTCTGTTGGTGAGGAAGAGTTATGTTTTCCTTAAGTTTCTTGAGAATGAGCTGTGTTTTCATGATGTCTCACAGTAGTTCTCATGGTGTTTCTAAATAATAGCTTTTCTTGAATTTGACTTGCTCACAGAAAGTATCTCTGTAATTTAGTCTTTGTTATATTTAGTTCATATGGACCCTGCAGAAATGACAAGTTGTATGCAATAGCTCTAAATCAATCTCAATTAAAATATTTGCTTTGGTGCTAGGACCCTGAATAGTTAGTTATATAGTGTATATACTATTAAAATATTTCTTGGCATTTGGGTCAGACTTGGTAGGTAGGATCACTGTGAAAACGTTATCTATACAATAGTGAAGAAAAAAAGAAATGATGCAAATGTTTTTTTTTTTCTTTAATTCATGCTGTGCCTTCAATCTTCTGTTCACATTTACTAAGTTAATGGCTTTATGTAATATTATGGCGGGTGTATGTATAGCTTTTTATATACATCTTCACCGATGATCCTTCCCATTAGTGCATTCTATAGTAAGAAAGATTATTTTAGAAAACAAAACAAGCAGCCCTACAACTTTAATGCCTTCAGATGAAACAGAGAATTTAAAATACAAAACTAGCARAACTAAGAAAAAATATAGAACCATGTCTTAGTCTTAATTTGCTTCTAAAAGCAGTCTTAGTTTATATTTCTAGCTGTGTTTGTGGGTTTTTTTCTCTCTCCCCATGAATGAGGTAACAAAACAGTCTTGTTGCACACCGTATCTTTTCTTCTATTCTTCTTTTCTCCTGTTTTTTTGTCATGTCTCCATTCAGTAAAGATGTTAATTACGGTTTACAGTTTAAGTGCTTCATGCTCTCAGAATCAGTGAGAACTTAATTKTATACTGGAATTTTCATAGTGTGAACTCTGTAACTTCAAGTTATGAATTTAGAAGTCATCATGAGATTAATCTGAAGTTAAGATATTCAGATTCAGATAAATCTTCATGAAAAATACTTTAATTTGAGAAACTAAACTGGTGAACTTCTGTGTGCCAATTGGAGAATATTCTGACTGCTGCTCTCTTCAGGATGATGATCTGGAACCTCAAGCAGCAGTTGCCAATGCAGCTAATAGGAGTGACTTGTTTTCGGGTGACCCAGAGGAGACAAAGCAACAACCAAACAATATCCGGGCAGGTGCCAAGAAGCTACAAAAAGATGTAGGACTGAATGAAAAAGCAAGGTATGCTTTTAACCAACAAAATTTAAATCGTGACTTTATGAAATTTCTTGCTAAGTGATATGCAATGTCTTTTTTTACAGAGAGAAATTTTATGAAGCTAAGCTACAGCAGCAGCAACGGGAGCTTAAACAGTTACAAGAGGAAAGAAAACGACTGATTGAAATTCAGGAAAAAATTCAAACATTACAGAAAGCTTGTCCTGACCTTCAAGTAAGTAGAATTTCTTTGCTGCCTTAACCTGATGAGCAGTACCACGTCAAGTATCTTTCATAATAGGATTATTATTATTATTATTTCTAAGTATTAAAACTGATGGTCAAAATACATCATTGGTAATTCTTATTTTACATACTCTRAGATGATGGATTTCGAAACCTGGACAAGAACTCTGGTTATTTAGTCTGTCTTCCCCTCTTAAGGCTTTGCTCAGGTTTCTGTAGCAGCTCATAGTTCTAATGCAGCATGTCCTCAAAAGTTGCATGGTCCTGATTTAAACTCCTGAAAGACAGAGAACTGTCCGTCTTATTTTCTAGCTTGAAATTTTTCTGTCCATATCTCATTGTTTCATTCTCATTTGGATTAATCATTGTGTGTCTGGATTTCTTTCCAAAAATGTGTGAGGATCATGCTGARTAACATCTTAGCTTGAAAGGTCCTGGTTATTTGCCTTATGGCTATATAGATATATTGCTTAGAATGTCCTCTCATGCAAAGACTGTTTCATCAAAATTATACTCATAGATGATTATGGAATATGTCATTTTAAAACATAGATATGTATTTACAAAATATATAAGTAGTTTAAATTACGTTCACACACATTTTTATGCTTTTGTGCTGCTCTTGATGCACTACTGTTTCTTGAATAGTTGTTTGCTTTATGAGACAAAATAATACTTTTTGTTCTCAGTGTTACTGGTCAACCTTGTGTTATCAGTGGCTTATCCGAAAAAAAATTCGGGGTCTGTTCCTTTACAAGAATATCATATTCAAAATGACAGTGCAATATTGTTCTTTGCAGACAAACTTATATCATGAGGTAAACTATAAATGGTCAGGAGTGCGCATCTGTAGCGTTCTATGATACTAGCTTATAAGAATATAAGCTCTGAAATAAGTATCGGATATTCATTTTAAGTTCCTTCTTGCTGAATGCCAGYTCTGCTGTCTCAAGGAGCCTCAAATATGTTGGACATTAACAGTGTTTAGGTTTTAGGAGTTACTCTGTTTTTCTCTCCTCTCTTTCAGTTGTCAGCTAGTTTTGGTAACTGCCCAGGAAACAGACAGATTTCCCCAACAACGTCAACTCCAGCCACCAACGAGTGTAACGCAGCTGCCAAGCCCTTACTTGAGTTCGATGATTCTGTGCCAGTTGGCAATGAGGTATTTGATACTGCTTCGTGCTAGAGATTTTCTGTGGCTTAGGAAAAGCTTATAGGGAAAAGTTCTAGATATCTTAAACTTAATTTAATTTAGTAGTCTGTACTTCTTAGGGGTAGTGGAAGCCATTTTTGTGATGTGTGTAMTTTTTGTTTTGTTTCTGGGAAGAAATAAATACTGAGTTGAAATGACAAGAATGCCAGTCCCAAAATTACATGTACTGCTCCATACTGATGAGCATTTAAAAAAAAAMCAGCCTACTTCATACCTAACTTCACGCTTCAGTGCATAGTCTGTTTTCTTAACATGTGTATTTTCCTGTCTGGCACATTTCCTGTTGAATCTTATGTCACTATTTTACACCTTTGATGTTTTCATAGAAATTGTCTTAATATTTGTGCTTTCACTGTGTTTAAAGTAGATAACAAGTCTCCTTGCCTATCTCTTTACCTTTAGATGCTCTATTTTGTAACCCATGACTTCATTAGGTCTGTTGAAAAATATACTACCACCTGAAGTTTTTGCCAGTTGCACAAATACTTGATTATTTTTTCTTGTATCCTATACTTGCTTATCAGTGAAGCAGTTTGCAATATTTCCAGATTTCTTCAGAGRATAATTTTATCATGCTACTACGAGCTAACTAATTTTAAGGTGTTTGTTAAGTGTGAATGAAACATTCATTGCTTTTCAAGTAAAAACTTCTATAATGGCTTTCTTAGATTTTGTTTATTTTATATATATACACACATACACACACACACATATATATATATATATATATGTATTTGGAATAAATACCAAATACTGCTGCATATTATGTCTTGCTGCAATGTGTCTTCAATTACAATACGATACCAATGCCCAAACAAAAATTTATCAATATAGTATGAAATGTTGAAAACTTAGTGGGTGTTAGTCCAGCTGCTTGGTTARCGCTCTAATACTCCCCGTTCTTTTGCGCAGCTGTGGTCTGAGATGAGGAGGCATGAGATTTTAAGGGAAGAGCTGCGCCAGAGGAGRAAGCAGCTGGAAGCACTGATGGCCGAGCACCAGAGGAGGAGAGAGCTGGCMGAAACAATATCTACTGTGGCCGCTTCTGTTAAGAGCGAGGGGTCGGAAGCTCGGTGCACTCCGCAGCAGAGTAGGACAGAGAAGTAAGAGCATGGCTCCCGGGGCACAGAGGGTGCTTCTGTGTTCAGTAAAATGYTGGTCTGGGAGCGTTTCTGGTTTTCATAGGAGCACTGAATGAGATGATATATAATACAACAGTAAATTAGTTTCTCAACTTGTAAAGTGCTGTGCAGCATTTATAACAATAATAAGGTAATAAAGACGAGACTTACTGTGAATTAACCTTCCTGCTGTTAGAAATATAGCGTTTTCATGTTGCATTGGTGAGAGGATGTGTTATTTAACTTGATTAATTGAAGATAGACTTAATGTTTTAGTGGTCTRATATAAAAATAAAAACAACTGCTCCACCCTTTTAAACACATGTTTTAAATGTAACTAGGACAATGGCGACCTGGGGAGGTTCTACCCAATGTGCCCTGGATGAGGAGGATGGGGATGAAGATGGTTATCTCTCTGATGGACTTGGTCATGCAGAAGAAGAGGAAGAAGATGAAGAATCAAGTTCTAATGACACTTTCTCTGTTTATCCCAATAACAACATACCAGAAAGTACCTTTTGTGCTAAAGAAAACAAGGATAGGTAAGTTGCTCTACTTCAGTGATACGAGTCAGGGTGGATTTGGAGGAGCAGAGGGGAGGAAGAAGCTTCATGGTGAAGTAGAAAAATCTGTTACAGCCAAGTGAGATGTTTCTGCTATGTAGTGAGCTGTGTCCAGTGGCACTTTGTTGCCAGTCTCCTTACTTGTCACATGTAGCTAACCTAGATTATTTATTCTGTTTTCAGCCACATGAAATCTTCTTTGCCGTTGAGCTCTCTGGTTATGTTACTGCAACTCTTTTTGTTCCCATGCTGTTTTAGTCAGCTTAACAGAAGATGAATTGTCGAAAGATTTTTGCCATGATATTGATTAGTTTTTTGATGTTGTTAATCAGTAATTCAGCAAATATAAAAACTAACGATGAAATTTTTGCTTTGCATTTGTTGGCGTTTGCACCAGGTAAAAGTACTTTAGAGTTAATTTTTGATTAGCGTTAATATTTCACTCTTGCTTACCTGATCGATTTTTTTATCGATGTTTATGACATAGCAAGGTGCCATGTTAATAATATATAGCATTTATTTGTGCATGTGGCCTTTTATTCTGTTGCTGTGTCCATTATTTTTTATTGTGTGGATGACTCTCATGGAATTCATGTCAAAAATCTTTATGGAGCCATCCTCAGGGCAAGAGCTAGAAGCTCTTTTTTTTTATCTTTTTTGTCCTTTTTTGCTGTTTTTATCTTTTTTCTTTTTTTCTTTTTGCCTCTTCATTGAAATAAATGCATTTGTTGGTTTCTTTTTTTGAGATATGGTTGGGTTGACAAGCTCATGGTGGTTGCTTAGTACACTCAAATAGCCTGAGCCAAGTGAGTTGTTGGCCCTGAGCTGAAATGGCATTTAACTAACAGAAACATTCTAAGAGAAAGCTGAAAACGTTAGTTTTGATCCTTGTTCTTTTTCCCGCAGGTGGAAGAATTGCCGTCCAGTTTCAGCAGATGGGAATTATCGTCCAGGGACTAAGAGCCGGCAGCAGCAGCAGAACCTCAGCATGCGACGGCAGGAGAACCTGCGGTGGGTGTCTGAGCTCTCGTACGTGGAGGAAAAGGAACAATGGCAAGAGCAGATCAACCAGCTGAAGAAACAGCTCGAGTTTAGTGTCAGCATTTGTCAAACCTTGATGCAGGATCAGCAGGTAGATACATAAAGAAAAATATTTTTTTGTTTACTACATTTTTTTATTCTAAATCTTTCCAGCAATAACTTCTGTAGATTTTTTTTTCTGTAGTTGGTTCATCAGCATGTGTTTTCTTTTTACAGACCCTGTCTTGTCTACTGCAGACTCTGCTTACAGGCCCGTGCAGTATGATGCCCAATAGTGTTGCATCTCCACAAGTACATCTTATTATGCATCAGTTAAACCAGTGCTATACTCAGCTGACTTGGCAGCAGAATAACGTTCAAAGGTTTGTTGTCTATATTAAAATTAGACTCTGTAATTCCAATAACAGAACATAGTTGTGTGAATGATAGATGAGATAATGGTTAAATGTTCTGCTAAACCAATGAGCTGATTTTGAGCTTGAAATTCCATACAGCCTTGGGGAACTCCCCCACTTTTTTTGCCCTTCAATCACCATTTTGAAACCTCTCAAAAAATTTAAKTTTCTCAATTTGCTGCTTTTAAAAAGAGGTCAGTTCTGGGAAACCTACCTAAATACTAATCAGTTAGTTCCAGGTGACTTTTTTGGTATATATTTGCCTTCCTTGAAGGCTGCCATTGTGCCTCTATTTGCCAGACTACTTGGCAAGATTCCTGATTGTAATGATTATGGCAAGATGATAACATTTCTTGTATTTTCTCAGTCTTTTTAATAAGAGTTAACATTTACCCATCTGCCATTGAATATACTTTCTACCTTCTGAACTATTTATATGGATATATGTAGACTATAGTTCAGAAGGTAGAAAGTACATGAAATATTTTTTAAGTTGACCTTAAAACTGTCATTCAGAATTCCCTAAGAGTTGCTTCTATGTTAATGGGCTCTGTGTTAATGACTTTGTTTTTTAGCCTACTCTTGTCTTTTCATAGTAGCAATATTCTCCTGTCTTTCTTATTTCTGTCAGGTTGTTTTCTTTCCTCTTCCTTCCCATCTCTCCTCTTTCCCTTCCTCTCTCCCCCCTCCCTGGATGCTTATTTCTCTTTGTTTTCAAGGCTGAAGCAAATGCTGAATGATCTGATGCGCCAGCAAGAAGAGCAACAGTGTCAAGAGAAGCTGTCCAAGAAGGAGAGAGGCAGCAGTGCGCCACCACCTCCCTCTCCTACCGTCTTTTGTCCCTTCAGCTTTCCTCCACAACCTGTGAACCTGTTTAACRTACCTGCGTTCACTAATTTTAATTCCTTTTCTCCAGGTAAGTGTTGCTACAAATGTGAAAAGTGATACGAATTTCTAAAATTCCTGTAAAGAAGTGGTTTAATGGTTATGTGAGACTTAATTTTGTTTTTCCTCTACTTGRTTTTGTTGAGTTCAGCTCTTGTTTTGGTACAAGTAATACGTACAAGTAGCAGTGTATTCCAGTTCTTTGTTGATAGGCCTATGCAGTAACTCTTGTCTTGGATACAATGTTCCAATCTCGTATCCTGCCCARTGTACTGATGAATTTGAAATGGAGACAAATGTAGATGCTTCATTGTAGCCATAAGATAGTGTTTCCTTATTAAACTTGTTGTAAACAGTAATGGATTTCATCTTTTTCAGGGAAATCCATCTAGACTTAGTTTATAGCTTTCAGACTCTCAGGTCTTCTTCTGGAGAATATCTTTGAATTATGCAGAACCTGCACAAAGAGATACTTGCATTCAGTTCCTTGCTGCTGTCAAATATAAGTATTATGTATCGGTATGAATACTTGTTCTGCTGGAATTTTCTTGACAGATTCATTGTGTTGAAATATTGATAAAATCTTCATGCAGGTAAAATACATGTGTGTGTTTGGATTGGTAAGAGCTGCTCACTGGAATTGAAAGAAATATTTTTTGGGTCCTCTGAATTTTAGTGGCATGTAGAATAACCAGTGATTTAAAAAAAAAAAAAAAAAAAAAAAAAAAAAAAAAGGAATTTGAAATGTTTCAGATGATCTTTTTATTGTTGCAGCACTTTCAAGATGTCAGCTGTTTTTCTTAACTTTGCCTCCATGTCTTTTTTCTTTTTTCTCCTTTATCCAAAATCTGCAGTGTCAGTGAGTCAGTGAGGAGAATAAGGTAACACCTTGTGATTCTCTCATTCACTTTGTAGGTATAAACTACAACCCAGTGTTTCCTTCTGGTTTTGGAGATTTCGCACACAACACTTCCCCACAGGGTGAGCAGCAACATCCTATGGATTATAATGCTTCTGGGAAAACTGAGTACATGGCATTTCCCAAACCTTTTGAAAGCAGTTCCTCTAATGGCGCAGAAAAACAAAGGTATTTAATGTCACACTACAGCTTTTTCTAGTTGACTCCTTGCTGTTTTTTTTTCCTGTTTTTGGAGGAGGTTAGGGAATTAATCATTCTTGTAATGATTTTAATTGTTCCGTGGATTTTTTTAATCAGCTTGAGTGTACACTTTTCGGTATGCCAATTTCAATGACCTCTATAAAATTTTAAATGTTCTCTCTAATCACTGTAAAACTAGAGTGATTTTATGGTTGCATTTACAATTGAAGAAAGAGGTTTTTCACTCTTGAATATGTGTTGTCATGTCTTGAAGATAACTTCACAGTGAATATTTGTTTTTGGGTTACAGTAGATTCTGATGAATTAGGGTAGATAGCTTCATCCATAATGCAGGTTATTTACTTGCCTGSTAATGCTCACTGTCTCCACCCAAGAGACTAGGTCATATATTGTGTTGCTTTTGTATTTCTAACAGAAGGAATCACAGACAACCTGAAGAGGAAACAGAAAACAGAGCAGTTTGGCTTAATGACAACGAGGACACCAAAAGGGATGATCAGTCTTACCGGAAAGCAGGTTTTGGTGCTTCGACACAAAACACTCCTCCTAGCCATAAAAATCAGTCTGATGTGAACAGGAGAAGAGAGTTTGATGAGGAGTCTCTGGAGAGTTTTAGTAGCATGCCTGATCCAGTAGACCCAACTACTGTGACCAAAACATTTAAATCCAGAAAAGCATCAGCACAAGCGAGCTTGGCTTCAAGAGATAAAACACCCAAATCAAAGAATAAGAGGAAGAGTTCTTCTCAACTAAAAGGCAGAATTAAAAGTACTGGTAGGTTCTAAATTAACTTTAGATATTGGGGCAAACTCAACTTTAATTACAAATTTTGTTCTAGAGAACTTGCTCTCCATAAATGGTACCTTTGACGTTAAATTTAATTTCAAGAACTTTTCAGAAGTGTGAATTCATTTTACATAACCCAAGTAAATTTTTGAGTATTAGTATTATAAAAAAAATTGGAAGGGATTTGGGGATCATGACTGAACACATAGTGGATGCAGATATATTAAGACACGGAACAAGCTGCCAAGGGAGTCTTCCTTTTCATTTTGTCTTTATGTGGACATTGGCTGGCTAGCTGACGGATATGCTGCAGTCAAATAGGGAATCAGGATAATGTCATGGCCAAGTGGGGAGAAAGGGGCAGGACTGGCCAGCATGCATGACACTGCCGCAGGCGCTGAGAACTGAGTGATGCCACATGGTGCCAGTGCCCAGAGGGAGAATTGTGCCTTGGAAGCATCACTGGTGTTTGGGATCTTTGAGGTGGCCCCTGAAGCCTAACCCTTCCCTCTCCCATAAGGTTATGAAAGTGCAAGTGCTTCTAGTGTGGGCGAGCCCTGCAAAAGCAGTAAGAGCAGCAGACGCTCTGAAGAGGTGGTTCACGCAAAGGTGTTCAGCAAAAGAAATCGAGAACAGTTGGAAAAAATAATTAAATACAGTAGATCTACAGAAATGTCTTCAGGTATTTTTTTATGAATTTCAGTCGTTTTTGTTGTGTGTGGATTGCTTTGTGTGAAGGACCTCCATACTCAGTTGCCACTAGCACTTAAAAACACGTGTGTTTTGACAAGACAGAACGTGTTACTTMAGCATGCAGGGTTTGCTTTAGTTACTAAGGATGCTCTAACCATTGAAAACTAAAGATTGGCTGTTGATTACTCTAGGGTTTACAGTAGATTAGTTACTTGATTAAAATAATATAGAAACTGAACCTGTTACAATATAACAAAGAACAACCTAACCTACCAAAAATCTCACTTTTCCATCCTTCTACGAAAAAGGGTAGTTGAGCAACAAATCAAACTTTGTTTAGTATTTACCACTGTTTACTTCTAGCATTTGAACTGTGTCTGGCTGCATGCATGTTATCTTTCTGTTGGCACAGAGGGGCTCTTACCTGACATTCAAGTTAAGTCTTAAAACATCATGTAGCAAACTCTTACATCTACCATCTGCACTGCTTTACTTGCATCTGGATCATGAAAATAGCCTCGTGTGTCATGAGGTTTTGCCAGTAATTTTTTGTTGGGAACACGCAGATAATTTAGCCATTGTAGCATGATCAACAGCTTTATCAGTGCGGTTATGTCCACGCCAAGAGCTGCATTTACTGCTGTACCTACGAATTCCAGCAGCTAAGTTCTGCCGCTGAGCAGCTCTTGTCGTTTGGATGGTTGAGCAGTCTTCCTCCTGCTSTTTTGTATCGAGCCTGTCTTGATTTCTGGTGCGCGTTTTTGTGTTTATCACTGTCTATCCCCACTTTCCTACAGCGCATGCTAGGAGAATTCTGCAGCAGTCTAACAGAAATGCATGCATTGAAGCGCCAGGTAATGCAATCACTGCTGAGCTTCAACAGTGTCCTCTTACTTGCTTTCTTTTTCCTCTTTGCTTTGGTCCTAGAAGTCAGACTGTTTCTCAGGAGCCCAAGGGTTATCTTATCTTTCCACATACTAACTTTGCAGTACCTTCCCTATAAAGAAGGGGAGAAAAGATATTGGTAACTTGCATTATTTGCAACAGTGCCACTGCTTTGAACTGCAATTGGGGATCATGTTGATCACGTTCCTTGTTCATTACAGTAATAGAAAAGACAGACATGAGGCTGAACACCAAGTAAAACTTGGTGGTTTCAGAAGGCACTTTAAGGGGATATTTAGAAGCTCTTGGTACACTTTAGTCATTGTGACCTGGGGAGTGATTTTATGGTAGGTTTTTAGGGGTGGAAAAGACTTGCCTGTGCCTAAGAATTTTGATGGTTTAACTGCAGATAATCAAAATTGCAAAGCAGCAGTTGCTGTACTGCTTTACAACTTCCTCACCTTGAATACTAACAAATATGCTTGCATTAAGCTAAACCTGATTTTTCAAATTTAACTTTTGCCATTAATACTCTGTAATTGCAATTAATCTTCAAAGGGAAGGAGACTGTTACCAAACATCATGACTCCTTATAAAATGAATTTAAGGGTAACAGGCCTTGTGTGCCTCAGAAGTGATTTGTATTAGACACGTGCGAAAAGTCAGACTGGTGCTTGTGGAGGGTGTGTGAGGAGGAGCAGCTTGAATTCAGGCTAGAGCTCTCGTTCTGTGTCTCGCTTGTGTGGCAAAAGTCTGAGCTTTTTGTAGTGTAGACCTTTGGCCGTCCTGTGTGAAACATTCAGTGTTGATTAGTGCTGACCACCACTCTGAAAGCAACCTCCTCAAGTGGGCACTGTTCTCTTTAAATAATCCTTTTTCAAGATGTCATTGAGAACTGTAAGAAAAAATGACTCATATGAATGCTGGGTATTTTCTTTATTTGTATCCAGAATTACTTAAGTATGTTGAAGCCTTCAGGAAGTTAAGTGAGCTTTAAAACTGCAGCTGCATAATAGCTGATTGAGCTGCACTGATTGGGGGTCAGTTTGCTTATGCAGGTGCATGTTCAGCAAGGTGCATGTTACGGACTGAAGCACTCACTGCTTTCTTTCCTTTTCCTACAGAAACTGGTAGTGATCTTTCTATGTTTGAAGCTTTGCGGGACACAATTTATTCTGAAGTAGCTACTCTTATCTCTCAAAATGAGTCTCGGCCTCATTTTCTGATTGAACTTTTTCATGAGCTCCAACTGCTAAATACAGATTACTTGAGGCAAAGGGCACTGTATGCTTTACAGGTATGCACGAAAATCAGTATCTTTTGTATGAATGAAACCAGTCTTAGCTCCTTATTTACAATGTAGACTTGCTGTCTTTTCCAGGATATTGTGACCAGGCATTTATCTGAGACCCGTGAAAARCGGAAGTGTGCAAAATCACTGAATTCTGCCACATGGATGGCATCCAATTCTGAACTCACTCCCAGTGAAAGCCTTGCTTCTACAGATGATGTAAGTTTTTACTTCAAGTTCAGAAACTAGTTTGCTGTGTCAGCTCTGTGTCAAGTCTTTYGGCTTGTATGTATTCTTTTGCACTGAACTAGTCACTCTAGTGATGGAATTTTTCAGAAATCCTGAATAGCTTGTGGTGGCTGCTGAAAGTGTGTAAAAGCATCTTGGTTCCAAAATAATTGAACATTACCAGATTCTTTTCATTGGAAATCTGGGACATGTTAAGAACTGAACATGGAAAACACTAGGATGGGTATAAATCTGAATCTGCCATTGAGAAATAGCCAGAATCTTCCTGTGAGTAAGATCAGCACATGTACTCATCACCAGATTTCCAAGAGCGCTCTCTCTCTTTAATTTAAGAGATCACTGATGCCTCTGCAGGGTTTGCCTGTCATTATTTTTGAAGTAWATGGGAGGAAAAATAGAACCATCTATTTGSTTTCTATCTCMAAAGTAATRTTGTTCTGCAGTCAGGCAGCMTGGGGACAAGACTGGAAATCAGAGTATGTGGCTGAACAGACCTACCTTGTTGACCTATCCATCTCTGAGAGGATGACGCATTCTTGCATTGCATGCAGTAGTTTGTTCTTTTTCTAGGAAACTTTTGAGAAAAACCTACCTATAGGAGCATGTCAAGATTGTGAGCAAAATGATGCAGATAATGGGAGCATGTCAACATCTTCAAATTTCGAACCTTTTGCCACTGATGACCTTGGTAAGAAGACCATGTGTTGTGATGTAAAGCTTGGGGCAATTAGCCACTTTGGCAACACTTTGACTTGGTCAAAGTATGTAATAAACAATTCTAGTTGAGTTATTATGTTTTAAAATTGAACTCTGTGGTTATAGTTTCATTGTTGTTATTGTTATTTTTGTCTTGCTCACTTAAAAATTTTTATTTAGATTAAAAGATGTTTTTATCCTAAATATAGGCAACACAGTGATTCACTTAGATCAAGCTTTGGCTAGGATGAGGGAATATGAGCGTATGAAAATTGAAGCTGAAAGTACTCTTGACTCTGAGGGCTGCTCTAGTAATTTTCAGGGTGCTTCTGCTGCTAAATTAGAAGGTATGCACATATATACGTATTTTGCCTAGTTTTAGAAAATAGTCTAAATATTAAGAATCGTTTAAATGGCTGACTTGTTATCCACTTCATTTATGTGGAAAACGTAGCAAAGTTTTCATAGGATCTTTAGACAATGAAGTAAATATTTTATATTTTTTTTAAAAAATGAGATTGATATTTCTTTAATAGTCATATTAAATGACTTGGCTGTTTTTTCCTGAACCCTCCTCTAACAAGAGCCAAATTCCAGTGAAAGTCCCTGTGGGCCACAGTCAAGTGAAGCTTCTGCTGTTCCATGTCCTCGTATAGATACTCAGCAGCTCGACCGGCAGATTAAAGCAATTATGAAAGAGGTCATTCCTTTCCTGAAGGTAAAAGCTCTTTTCAATAATGAAAACTATCACCCTGGCAGCGTTCARGAAACGTGTTACACCACGTCCCTAAGCTCCTCATCTACAAGCAGGGTGTTGAAGGGCTGATGGTGGGACTCGATCTTGAGGGTCTTTGCCAACCATAATGATTCTATTGATTCTGTTGCTGAGGGTGTAACAAGAGTTAAATTCTTCAGCAGAAAGCRGCAGTAATAGGAGGAAGTCATAGCAAATCTAGGTTGCACAGGGTTAATGAATGTAGGTTTCCTGAAGCACAGAGGCATCTTTGTTTAGAGCTGGCCAAATCTAGAAGGAGTGCTTGAAGTTAATGAATGCACTTCTGAAATATTTGCTTCCTTTTAGCAAGGACAACTGAGAATTTTAATGTAAACTGTTACATAATGTGTAGCTTGAGGTGTTTTTGAAGAATAGCTCAGTAAGTTGTTGATTTYTAGCATTTTTTTCCTRTTTACAAATCCTTTTATTGCAGAGCTGAGCTTCTGAATTTCTATGAATGAGTGGGAATTTTTTTWTAGGAGGGTGAAAATTCACACCCCATTCTGTGCATAGTTAAAGGAAAAAAAAAAAAGGTCAAGTTGTGCCATGTTTAGACCCACTGTGTTAGCTTAGCCTGGTATAACAGGGTATTTGGTTGGCACTCCCAAGTGCTGTGTATATATTGTTGGTATAACACAGTTTTGTCTGAAGACGTGCTGCTGGCTTGCCCTTTTAAAAGACTTTAAAACTAGGTAACATAACTTATTTGATCRCACTGGAAGGCACAGCTAACATGCATGAAGATTCTTAGTTTGTCCAACCTTTAAAAGATGTCACGTACTAACAGTTTAGAAAAGTAAGACGAGGCTTTGTGTGCCTTGGCGGCTCAGTAGCTAACTGCCCCCTGTAATCAGGCTCTGCTTAGTCTGGTTTGTGAGGTGGATTAGAACCTGRGCAAGTTTTTCATGAACTTTTCCTTCAGTGTTGGGAGGTGAGTTTTTAATAAATACATTGCAATATTTGAGATARTGGACAATATGACTCTTCAAAGTGATAACTAATTGAATGTGTTCTGTAATATCCGTTTAGGAACACATGGATGAAATATGCTCGTCGCAGTTGCTGACGTCAGTAAGACGTATGGTCCTGACTCTCACACAGCAGAACGATGAAAGTAAAGAATTTGTCAAGTTCTTTCATAAACAGCTTGGCAGCATACTGCAGGTTAGTAGGTTTTTTGGTGCTATTACTGTATTACAGTTTGGGTTATTGACAACAAACAAGCTATCTTCCTTCAAGGTGCATTTTACTCTATCAGTGTCATAGCTGCTTTTCTGCTTGGCGCTGAGTAACGAGCTAAACAGAGCTCGTTTCCCAAAGTTAGAGCTTTGCCATGAACAGGACTCTTCCGTTGCTGCCAAATAATGAAGTGCACTTCAGAAATACTGGGGTCCTCATACTGTGTGAGAGTTGTTCCCTGGAAGTGGATGTGTTTGCACGTGTTAGATGTGAATAGTTTATCTAGAAGCTTGAGGTCTCCTGTGTTTTTCTTCAAGCAGACCTCTGGGGATGGACTTGGTGGACATCTTGTGCAAGTTGCTAAAAAAGGTTACTGTTTTGGGGTGCAAATGTGGAGTTTGAATCATTAGTCTAAGTTTTTTATGAATATGGTTTCTATTTAAAATGTTTAAGACACTAACCTGAAATATATTTTTTAAATGAACAGCTATTTTTATATACTTTAATCTTTACTAGGAATATGTCAAATATTTGGTCTTTGAACTTCTAGAGCCTTTTCCAAAAGCTAAAGAATTGCTTCTCTTCACAGGATTCACTGGCAAAATTTGCTGGTAGAAAATTAAAAGATTGTGGGGAGGACCTCCTTGTGGAAATCTCTGAAGTTTTATTTAATGAATTAGCTTTCTTCAAACTGATGCAGGACTTGGACAACAACAGTATTTCTGTAAARCAGAGATGTAAAAGAAAAACAGCACCAACTGAAGTGATACAGTCTAATGCTAAAGAGGTTTGCTGAATTCCACTTCTTAAAAGAATAATAGTTTTACTGAGTTTACTAAAAATCCTATGTCATGTTGTACATTGTATACACATTTTTCATGTTTTTTACCATCTACAATTAGCAATTAGTGATAAACYGATGTTCTTTCAGTGTTCTGATTATGTAGAAACATGAACTGGTTAGTTTTTCTCAATAGCTGCTGTCCTTTCTTTTTCAAGATACTTAATTGCTTAGTTGTTATTCCGGTATTGCAGAAGAGTGTTTAATGATTTTATGGGTGTACAGAAGGGAGTAGTCRATTGACAAAACAATATGCTAATGTGTGAGGCTATTGTGTAATCCAAATATTTCAATGGATATATGGAGTGCCTTCTGCTGTCACGGCAAGTACATCATCACCAGTTAGTTGTTCCTGCATCTCCTTTCCTAGTCAGGCTCATCCTTTTCTTAAGATTTCTTTTTAACTGGTTATCGTCGGCTGGTTGGTGTGTGTGGAGAGTGGGACCTGCAAGAATTCAAGTGTAAAATACCTCAGCTCTTAAGCAGGACTTGAGGCTGTAGTGCCTGTTCTGCTCCTAGAACAGATGTGGGTTTTTGTTTGTCTTCTTTGGTGATGCAACATCTTTAAAATGGAAAATGCTCTCTTTAATTGTAGTCCTGCAATATTCTAGGACCTCTTAGGAAGTTTTAGGCTTTTCTTATCCTCAGTGATGATCTTATCCTAGATCATGCAGAGTCATGAAGTATCTACATAGATATTTCTTCTTGTGTAGTGTGTGATCTTAATATTTTATCAACATTTCATTACCATTTTTTGAGATACAAATACATGAAAATATCTCAGCTTCATTCATTTGGCACAGCACGAAAATCTATGTACTTAAGTCTATTGTCAGCTGAACTTCAGGATGTTTCGACTTAACTATAGCAACAATATGAAGAGTATGAGAACACTCAAGAGTGCCTCGTAAAGAGACCAGAGTRGTAGTCTGAGCCTGGAAGGGCTTGAGCTTAACTTCATTCCTGTTGGAATCCTTAGACCTCAGTTTCATKTACATTACCCTGAGGATGCCTGGAGCCAGCTTGGGTCTGGCACTTCCTCTCCTTGCCTGAGAGTTGGGGTCCAGCTCAGGGTTTGCCTTGCTGCAGTGCAGCCTGCTCAGACTCAGTGAGCAGAGAGGAGCCAGAGCTCTGGTGGGTCCTGCTGCTTTKGTACAGACTCATCCAAATGTCTGTCCTGGATCTTCTCACAGCTTTCAGATGGGTGATCCTGATCCAGGCACATCCAWTCTTGCTGTATTTGGCAACTGTTTTGAGGCCAGTGAGCAAACTAGTTGTGGGTTCCCGCTCTCTCTGTGCTGGACAAAGCTGGAGTTTGTAATTCAGTGTGTTGAACATGGTTCATCTGCAGGCTGGAGAAACAGCCCCTGCAAACACGACTTTTTCACCCAGAAAAGGCTAGCAGTTTTTCTTAACTGTTTTGCAACACTGAAGTTGTAAAAACATCTGCATAAAGACCTCTCATCATATCAAAATTTGCTGTAGCTTACTGCAGTTTTGAGATAACAATTCTAATTAAATTATGTGTTTCAGGCATCGTTTCTTAAGTGTCAGTTTAGTTTAGTGGCTCAAAGTTATTTGAGTTTAGAATTGAAGACAATTTGTGTTTCTTATAGGCAAAAAGTGGTCTCCAGCTGGATGCATGTTCATCTGCTGAAGATGTCGATGAGGACAAAGTATGTTTATGCTTCTTAACTGTCTCTGTTCCTCAAATAATTTCACAAATCTGTTATTCTTACTGTTTTTTTTATCATATAAATTTGGTATTTCTAAACAGCCCATTTCTTAGTAGTGTGTTGTTGTTGCTGTTAACTCTTGTTAACACTTGAAAGCTGCTACTAGCAAAAAGACCAAGGCTGCATTTCGCAAAGCCTAGGCCATCCTCCTCCGAGAAGCATGTTCAGATCAGCGTAGACAGTATCGAATTAAATAAACACTTTTCTGCTTGTTGTGGATGACCTGAATGTGAAATGAGCCTTTTTCTTAGGAAGAGTGAATTAAAAAGCTAAAAAGAACCAAGTTTATGTTGAAAGACATTTAACTGGAGTGGAGTACTTCTTTCTTTTGAATATTTTTTAATAGTGAGGTTGCTCTCATATTCTCTTAATTCTCAGCTCAGAGTACTGAAAATGGAGTGATCCTTGAGGAGTAAGGACAGGAAGTTCTCTAAGYAGAGCTGAAGTGCCCTTTGCTGCAAATATATTTTTTGGTGTTGTTGCTGTGTTTTTTTTTTTTTTTAATGTTATCTGTAAGTTATTTCCCTTAAAAAGGAGTTAGATGTTCTGAGTAGGGTARTTGAGTTGCAGAGCAACAGACACTTGTATTCTGAATAATACATGTTAGGAACTAACCTATCTTCCTTTTCTCTTTATATTCATTTTAAAAGTCATCTAGATGACATTGTCTGGAAGGAGCAGAGTTGTGCTCCAAGTCATGTGTTTTGTTTTGTTTTGCTGCTCAGCTTTCCCTTACTAAGGGAAGGGTCCAGCTGGTGTTTTAACTAGTGCATTGAATCCCTTTCTCAATGGACATAGCAGGAGTCAATGATTTCTTGTTGGGCCCCTGTCCCTCCCTTTGGAAAGAAAGGAAACACAGATGTGCATATCCCTTGCTCTGATCACTTTAGTATAGAAGAGTCCTTGAGCTTAGACCTTCACTGGGGCTTCCTATTGACTGAGCAGAATTTTTTTCTTTTACTGTGTTTAGCAGTGAAGTCAGAGAAACTGCTGAGAAAATTACAGGAAGCAGTTGGGAATATTCCTGGCTTGTATCGAAGGTCGTTTAGGAGGGGCAATAAAATCACCAGAAGGAAGTAAAACGAGYGCTGCTTATTTCCTCTTGGTAATGACGTGGCTGGCTTGAAGTTGTAGAGCTCACATGCTGGTGCTGCCTTTGCATAATGAAAACCTTTTCAGATRAAGAAATATCTGTTTCTGATGTACTTGATAGTTGTGTCTGGACACTCTTTGGTCTCTGATAGTTGGTCCTGATGCTCTGTTTTAGGAATAGTTTTATAGTATTCCTCTAACGGCCTTATGTCTCTTTCTTAAACATGAGTTGCTTGTATGTAGATTTCCCATTTTGAGAATGARAGGTGACTCTGAGGAAGGAGCTAAACTGAATCTTTAGAGAAACAAACACAAGATTGCCCTGTGTTCTTTCCTGCAGGACAAGGATGAGACTGAAACAATGAAACCAGTGCAGGACTCGGAAATGCACGGTGGCAGTGAGGTTCCTGAACATGCTAGATCCGACGCTTCTGATCAAGAGGAGGAKGAGGAAAGTGAGAGAGGTCCAGTGTCAATAAGTAAGCTCTCTTTCCAGCTTGTTATTTAATACTTACACTGCAGAGTTGAYCACCTAGTTTTATAACAGAATTTATTTAACTACAACTGGGTAAGAGTTTCTTACAAATTTTTATAGCTGATTCTTTCCCACTGTTAACTTACTACAAGTAACGTATCTACAAGTATCTTAAGGCTTAAACTTTACAGTTAGAGGAGCTTTTTGCTCTTAATCAGTAGATCTATAGGAAGTTGTGTTGGGACCAGAGTCATAATTTATTAGTAACTTATTTTATCTCAGATTTAGTTGGGTTTCTTAAGCTTTCAGCTGACTGATCTGAAAGCTGCTGAAATTTGTGCAGTTCTTCAGTTAAATGGTGCTCTATGAATAYGCTTTTACTTAGTCTCATGTACTTTTAGTAATTATTTTAATTCTATTTATTCTTTTATTCTATTGATCATCTTACAACAACTGTTCCTGGCTTAGTTTTTCTTCAATTTGTCTTCTTCAAACAGACTTRACTTAGCTATGTCATACCGCCACACAGTAATACAGTTCATATGGAGACAAGGATCCTTGAGAATAAGTGATCACCATCCCATTTKCAAAGAAAGCTCTCAAATAAGAATCATAATTGATCATGGCAATAACTTTGTAAATACATCATCTTCCAAAAGGGTTTTGGATTTGCAGTCTGACCCTTATTCTGCCAAGTGCCTCAGGAAGTGTTCTTAGAAAAATCCAACAAATTACATCAATAGGTAAATCTAATCTGAAGATTGTTTTTGCATTGTTTTGCATCAGGTTTATCAAAAGCAGAAACACAGGCTCTGACTAATTATGGAAGTGGAGAAGATGAGAATGAAGATGAAGAAATAGAATTTGAAGAAGGGCCTGTGGATGTGCAGACATCATTACAAGCCAGTAATGAAACTGCAACTGAAAACCAACAGGTATCATCAAGGTTTTAAAAACAAGAAGGAAAGAAGGCTGAGAGAGCTGGGYCTGTTCAGCCTGGAGAAGAGGAGGCTGAGGGGGGACCTGATCAGCGTGTATAAATACCTCAAGGGAGGCAGTGAGGAGGAGGGGGGCRGCCTCTTTTCAGTGGTGGGCAGGGATAGGACTAGAGGAAATGGCTTCAAACTGAAGCATCGGAAGTTCCACAGGAACTTAAGGAAGCATTTCTTCACTGTGAGGGTGACAAAGCACTGGAACAGGCTGCCCAGAGAGGTTGTGGAGTCTCCTTCTTTGGAGATCTTTAAAACCCRCTTGGATGCAGCCCTGTGCCACGTGCTCTAGGTGACCCTGCGTGAGCAGGGGGGTTGGACTCGATGACCTCTGAGGTCCCTTCCAACCTTCGGCATTCTATGATTCTATGAACACCCGTGCATAACTTGTATACAGCCATTTGTCTAAAAAACCCTGCAGTTTTACTTGTTGCACTGTTGTCAGACTAGTAAAAAATACAGGAATGATGAGAAATCATAGGAAAACTGCTTTTGTAGCTGCTACAAATAAAACTTCTGTTTGTTCCCCACCTCTATTTGTGATTGTTGTACTTAATGCTGAAATAGCTACATAATAAACGAATGTTGCTGTTGGACTACAATTATTGCTTTTTTTAGAAACTTTCTGTTACAACCTTTATTCACTAAAAATAAAATAATGACAGGTTCTTGACAAAAAAATTGAGGACGTAAAAGCCATCAAAAAAATGTGCAACTCATGTTTTTCTAAAMAATCTCTAATCTCTAAAAAGATATGTAGAGAAATTGTGATCAGAGAGGGAAATTTTTTAACAAGTGCAGCAGAAAAGATGAAATGAAAATGTTACTCACTATTGTCACTTCATTATTAATATCTTTAGAAACACTTGAAAGTATGAGACTGTCTCTTGGGGACTTACTAAGTGGAGAGCAAAGAATTAACACATTTGATTACAGGAGACTCTCGAAATTCTGATTCAAGTTATTATCTTTTAGACAAGATTGTAAATAGAATATTTCATGGCTCAAAGGAGAAAGCAATAGATGGCTTTTTCTTGTGGGATGAGAGTATATACGGAGGAGCTATTAGAGTACAAATGAAATCAAGTGTTCAAATAAAACACGCACATCATTATTAACAATTACTTATCTTAATACTACTCTATCTAATAAGTAAATATTAGAACTTGTTAATTTTATTTCAAGGTAATTAACAGACAAAAGCGTGGGACAAATGCACAGTGTACTCTGGCTACAGTCCGACACTGGGCTTGGGTTGTGAAACTAATCAGTAGAATTTGCTCTAATTGCTTTTCTTCTTCCCCTTTAGACTCTTAACCAAGAATTGAATAAGACAAAAGACACTGAGGTTTTGTCATCAGAACAAGAATCTGTTAAAGGTAAAACCCAATTAAAACCTGCACAGTAATTGAGAGACTAACTCTTCTTTAGAAGCTGACATACCGTGAGACTTTTATTGTACTGACTTAGATATTTTAATACATCAGTATTGATATGGAGATAGCAAATCTTTTAAGAGAACATAATGCTGTGCATTTGATGCTGGACAGTAGCGTGCATGCCAGTGGTGACTATTGCAGCCATCTGCACACAATTGTAGCTAGATAATTTATTTGAGACTATGTTTCAATGCTTGGATTAGTCTACTTTCAATTGCCTTTTGGCAGTTGATCTCTGAAAGGTATGTGAGCAACACCCCATTAAACCATGACTAATATCCACAGTGGGATAATTTAGCAATTTATTCTGTGAAGCTTGACTTGATTTTTTCTATACAAAGATTCATAACAAAAGATKAAGAAATGAGAAGTGGTTTCTTGTCTATAGTAAGAAACATTAACCAAGTGGTATGAATATTATTTCTAATCTAGCTGTTGTGACCTCCTTTTTCTGTGTGTATCTCTAGTATTTCATACCGCACCTCGAAAATTCCAGAATCTCAACTTCTTGGTTTATTTTAAAGTGTATTAAATCTGACATTTAAACAGATAGTGTCTAGTGATAATCACTGATACTTTAAAAGTCTGTAGAACTCTCTGTAAGCAGATGATGGATTTCTGTCAGTTATCTGAGTGACTTTCACTTATCTGAATATGCTTTTAATACTGATTTGCAACTTTCAATTATAAATTACAACAAAAGCTCTTCTGGCTTATGCTCAGAAGCTTGTTCTGCCTAATTAAAATGTTATTTTGGCTTTAGGTGAACAAGATGTGGCTACTGCTTTACCTCATTACCTCAATGTCTTGGAGAACACACCACCTTTAAAGGACTCAGGGCTGTTGACAGTTATAACAAACATGAAAACAGAAGAATCAAGCTCGTCTTTACCAGTAAACGAAGCTCAAACACCAAATCCAGCGTGTGTAGGAAGCAAGTCATCTACTGGAAGCTCTGAAAGCTCCATGGCTGGCAGCCCCGATACAGAGTCGCCGGTGTTAGTGAATGAATATGTGCGTACGATGGCAGCTAAGATGCGTTTGAGGGAGAGGAGGGMTTTTTTTTTTTCCTATGTCAATCTTATGCCTAGTTTCTGGATACGCTCAGTTTTCATCTGTTAATTTCAGCATTTTTAGTTAGGGTACTTAATGGTCAAAAACTTGKTTTTTAGGGTGGAAGATAAACTCGAGTAGTGCTAGTTTCTTATGTCACTAATTTTGTTAACAGGAGGCTGGTTCTGGAAATGTAAGTCAAAAATCCGATGAAGATGACTTTGTGAAAGTTGAAGACTTGCCCCTTAAGCTGACGGTGTATTCAGAGGTATTTTGCTYGTTGTTTGTGGGGTTGTTGATTGGAAGGGCACACTGTAAGTGTCTTATCTAGACAATATAAGAATTATCTAGAGTTCTTAGTTTGGCTTTATCTGCTTATAAAGGCAGATCTAATGAAGAAAATGGCAACGGAATCTCACACCAGCAATTTGTGTGATGAGTTACTGGATGGCGGTGTAGCTCAAGATCAAGAATTAGTCGGAGATGCCCAGACTCTGAAAGAACCTGGTAAAGATTATTTTATTTTCTAACTCATGTGCATCTATTGGGAAAGTTACCTAAGATGGCTTCAAGTTTAAATATGCTGTTATTCTGACTAACAAAAGAAATTATAGCGATGTTGAAAGAGCTTTTTTCATTACCTTGTATTAGAAAATTGTGTATTGATATGATGGGATTTTGCATTTTGTGTCCCTTCCAGTTACTTCATATTTTCATTATTCCATATTTTAAATGTATGATTAATTTGCTCGCTTTGGAACTTGGAGTAGCTTTTATTTTATTTTATTTTATTTTATTTTATTTTATTTTATTTTATTTTATTTTTTATTTTATTTTATTTTTTATTTTATTTTATTTTATTTTATTTTATTTTTATTTTTATTTTTTATTTTATATTTTATTTTATTTTTATTTTTTATTTTATATTTTATTTTATATTTTATTTTATTTTTTATTTTATTTTATTTTTTATTTTATTTTATTTTTTATTTTATTTTTATTTTTTATTTTATTTTCAAGAGCTTGGCTTACATAGGAATATAAACTTCAGTTGCTAGTCCTGACTGATTTAATAACGTGCCATGCAACTTGCTGGCACCCCTCTCAGTGTTTAACTTGATGATTAAAAAATGTCAGGAAGCTTGAGAGTAGTAATGGAGAAATCTGCCTGGTGAATACAGATGCAGGTGCCTGGAGGGGGGAACAGTGTGCCCAAGAATGGCACACCATGCCAAATCCCAAGGTAATACTTGAATGAAATATTCCTTTCTGTGTCCCTGGAATGGCTGTACCTGTTCAAGTGAGCCACGGCTCAAAATCCTTGTGAAAGAAAGGTGAGGAGGAAGTATYTCAACAAGGTGTTTTCAGGGATGTTTATAAGCAGTTGGGATGTGGTTAGGAGCTGTATTTGATGCCTTGTGCTGTTGGACACTAATGCATATGCTTTTATTTTACAGACACTGTTGGAGCTCAAAGTGCATGAGAATAATCTGCAGATGTCTGCACACTTATACTCCATGTATACAAATGCATATAGAAGATCAGCACTAACTTACCAGAATTCTGAACGTGTATAAACATGTAAATTAGTTTTTGACACTCTGCCTCGTAGGATAGGTATGTTAACTTCTGCCTGTGGCAGTTTAAACGGCTGGAACTGAGTCCTCTTCTCAGTTTCACTGGTCTTCTGTCTTGATTTTTTTTTTTTTATTGTGACTTGTTTAGTAATTTTAAAACTGTTCAAAATTGTAGTTTTAAATAAAGTTTGGACTTGTCTGTAAATCTGTCTTCTGAAAAACGTTCCTCTGGCTTACAGTGCAGTACACAGAGCTAACGTGGAAGTTCACTCACTTTAGCTCTACCTTCTTAGCTGATTTTTAAGTGTTTAACTGTTTGCTATTCCAGTTCACAGAAATACTGTTAATTATTTTGGACAAGAAAAAACTTAGGAAAAAAAAGTTTATTCTTTTATAAATACAACTTGTACACCTAGTACCTACCTACACAGTGCCTGATAGCATAAGAATTACTGATATGTAAGAAATGTTGCTCTTGTTGCCTGTGGAATTTTGCTCAGATAAATGTGCTGATTGGAATGAAGCAAATTGACCTTTTTTGTAAAGGCCTTTAAAAACTCTTCTGTTTTTTCTGTATTTCTTTTATACTGAAAAGGCATACCATTTTGCTATTCTTCTGCATGTAACATTTAAAATTTCTGCAAATGAAAAACAAGAATTTGCTTTGAAATTATTTGACTTCGTGAAGGATTTTGTGTAGAAAATGAAGGTAGGGAAATCTGATAAAATTTTCTGTTTGACAAAGTCAAAGCTGATTAAAGTCAGAGCATAATGAGCTCAAGGCCAAGGCCTAATTAGGACTGTASAAAACTAATTAGGAGTCTTGAACTAGAATTAACATCTTTCTCCTCATAGTTTTTTTGTATTTTTGTTAGCATCAGAGTTCAAATGTTAAGTTGTAGAATTGATCTGGAAAATAGCTTATTCAGTGTATCTGCTGTAAGAYAGAACCCGTATTTACCCTCTAAGAAAACAAAATTTTTCTTCCAGAAGTTTTTAAAGTTAARCTTTTCTTCTTCAAGCTAAGATCTGTGATCTTAATTTCTGACTTGTCTTTGATAAGTAAGTAAGTGTGCTCCTCCAGCTCTAGGGTGTGAGGGGCGGTCTGGTGRCCCCGAGGGTGAATAAAATGATAGTGAGTTGGACTATTGTTGTTTATGCACATGTTTTTGAGGTGGTGTGGTGTACTACTATTTAGAGAATACAACAGTCCTTTTTAAGGGTTTAGGCTTGTGTGTTTTTAGTTTTGAGTTTACCTGAGTAACAAGTAAATTCTGAAAAGATGGATAGAAAATGAAAAGTCTGAGTGTAAGGGCAAATCTCTAAAGGTGTAAAGGTRAGTTCTCATTCAAGTTGTAAATACCATGATGATACTGCATGCAGAAAGAAAAAACACTGTGAGGGCAGAGAAACAAACCTTTGGACCAAGGTCAGCTTGTGAAGATGATGATGGGGGGGGATTAAAAAAACTTTTTACTACCTGTTTGGCTCTGTACCCAGTTGCTAGAGCAGCTGCATAAGCATYCCCAAGGCCAGAATCTGTGCATCCTCTAGATCAAAACCTACTTCCTAGGAACATCCTGAAACTGTAAGCTCAAGAAACAAGGCCATAAACCATAACCATGCAAGAGTTGAGCAGGCAAAGGCTGAGTTTAGTGCCTGCCTCCAGTGAAGGACTGGGCTTTGCCCTGTCAACTGTGTGGCTGATGCTGCACAGACCACAACTGCCTGCMCTGAGCCAAAGGGCTGGTGCTGGTGAACGGCTGGACTATGGTGCCATGTGCTCATGGTATGTAGGTGAAGAAACGTGCCTACACTCTGTCACAGCTCCTCAGCAGGGCTCTTGCTCTGGCCTCCTGGGCATGAATGAAGAAGCCTGATGTAACATGAAACACCTMAGTCCAGAACCTGCAAGCACAGAGTTGAGAAAAAACTGCCTTTCCAAATACTGTGGAAAGAACTGAAGAACTTGCCTTTGAAGAKTGGGGGAAGAGGGAAAATGCTAACAAGCTGAAGGGGAAGAGTGACAGCTGTAGCCTAGGAAGAGAGGGCAGGGGAACAGGTACCATAAATCAGGTATATTAATTTCAGACAAATAATTAATGAAAATGTTTATATCTTTAATTTATACTGATTACAGGGTATATARCTAACACCTCCCACAAGTCCTCTACACAGGGTAGCTTGGTAGCTGTTATAAGAAAGTCCTAGTTAGAAAAGGGCTATTTGAAACATTTAGTGAGTATGTAACTCCAAACCCTCACATCAGGACTTTCATGCAGAAATACCTTTCAACTGTCCTCATGKTTTTTATTAATAACCCCTACATTGGGGTGAGGGAGAAAAGGAAATCTCTCTCCTTCTGTCATTCTTTGGTTCACTCAGGTAGTAACGCAGAGGCTCTCCTTAGCTAACATCAACATTTAGCAAGTACTGAGGGGCATAGCAATAAAAGAACCATCATTCACTGTTTCCCAGTGGGTTTAGTAAACATGCCTACTTTGCATGAAAGCTCTTTCCTGCTGGGATGACTAAGGTGGGGCAAGGTGGCATTTTCTGACCTTCTCTTCTGCCACCAAAAAAGAAGTCTGCTTGAATTGCTCTTTCTCTGTTAATCTGTGTTTTTATCTCTTTAGTTGTGCTTTCTCTGCACCATCTTGTATTTTATTGCATTTTCCCCTGTGCACAGAGTAGATTTGTTAGGGAAGTTGTGCTCTGTGTGTTCTTATTCTAGCCCTTCTCCTCTGTGTACAGCTCAGTTCAAATATTACAGCCAGGGTCACTCCAAAGGGAAGGGCTCAGTGCTGTTGGGTCTTGCTTAAAACAACTACAAGAAAGCCTGGGCCATAACTACTTTCCAAATCTGTAYCAAGATAAGAGAATATCCATCAAGTTAGCCTTAATTTTTGATATGAGATAGTGTCATAAGGTTGGTTTTGTGCCAGCTAAATTGCTTGTCCAGTGCAGGATCAAGGGGCTGCCCAGTATGCACATACTAAAGCTGTGGGAAGCACCTGGTTGGRTGATTAAGCATTGGATGTATAAGGCATTTTTTGTATGCATCTTCACTGTAGAACAGTTATGTAGAGTATTAAATAAAAGGAATTTAGATACATTTTAAGRCAGAAATTTAGATGAAGCTGATGCACCTTAGAGCAAATTGATTTTTTAAGAGATCTTTCTTTAGAGGGAAATTCATGTACAACACATCTGTTGCAGGGTTAGCTCCTTACCCTAGAGTAAGTAGCAAAGTAGTAATCATAATGCAGTGGTACAGAATAAATCCAAATTATATTAGAAGCAAATTCATTTATGCTACCCAAAGAAATGGCTACTTTGAGGAAAAGGTGGAATTGATTYCTTGAAGAGATTGTGACATTGCTTTGGAAGCTTGATTGGGTTTATTGGATTGTTGCAGCTCTGTCATGGAATGATTCACACCTCAAAACTAATTAAAGCATTCCTATAAATCAAGCATTAAGACAATGGAAAGCCCATAGCTTTAGGGTGCCTTTGCTGCAGTACTAGTGTTTAGAACAGGAGTTACCAGCTAGAAGTAAAACTCAGGCAAAATAGCAAAACTAACAGCAAGGAGAACAAACAGAAGTTAATCCCTCCCTGGGAATTTTTGAAAAGCAAACTAAATAGTTAATTTTTTCCTCAAAAGGCAGGGTCACCCATCCTTTACAAGCTCGCATTAGTGCTTTATTCAAAGACAGACTGGAACATTTCTTGTCCCACTTTTATGTAAGCTTCTCTCTCCTCATTTGTCATGAGAGACACGAGCGCTGGATTTTCATTGACTTCACTGTAGGAGCGAGGCTGCCCAGCTACCATTAAAATGGGATCTTCTGTTTCCTGCTCCTCCTYGTGCTCCAAGTTGCTGCCAGCTTCTTCCATCACTGGTGCTCCTGCATTCTTGGCATCTTCCTCACCTTCACTGGTGTCGCTTCCCGAGGTGGGTAGCTTGGTTTTGCCTTTGACCAGGGACACGTGGTTGGGGCCCAGGGATGACTTGGATTCATGAATCAGAAGAGTCTGAATGATTTCACTGTCSGTGCCCATTTCTTTGGCATTTTCTTCAATTTCCTCAGAAGGATGCACTCCTAATACAGAACGTCAAGTGTTAGAGGTAGCGATGGGAACCACTTACATGAGCCATCCGCATGCCACCTCTTCCTGCTCTGCATCTTGCTCACCCCCATTGCTGCATTCCCTTCATGGCTGCATTTTGAGAATCCTGCAGTAACTTTGGGGTTGCTTTAGCTACGCTCTCAGAACAAGACCTGTTGAGAAGGTGCCTTAAGTGGGCCTTTAAGAATAGTATACCTAATACTAAGTACGCTATTACTGCTATTATTATTACACTTACAACCGTCGTCACCAACACTAGGGCTTGACAGGCACTGACTGCAGAACTGAAAGGTCCCAGTTCAGTAGGAAATCCCTTTTCATTAAGAAAAGGGATTTCCACCCCAACATATCTTACCAGCACTATTGGTAGTGGCTGCTGTTGCTCCTTCCACRGTGCTCCGTGACATCCAAACAGGTTGCTCTTTAGTGACTTTTTCTCTTGTTTTCTTCTTGGGCTCAGAGTCTTGGACATCTATAACTAACTTTTGAGTGTACATATTGCCAAAGGAGGAGCTCCTGCTGGCCCATTTTTCGGGTCGACTGCTGCATTCCAGCGTGCTTGAACACACCTTATCATCAAAGCTGAAGGAAACGTGACCCGTGTGAGAGATTCAACACAAGCCTCAGTTAAAGGAAATCTTAAAAAAAGTCTCCCCTCTGAGGCCTGTGATTCTGAACCGTTAGCTGTTGCCCATTCTCTTCTCTGGAGCATCCCTGGGTGAAGCGCACTGAGAAAGCGCCATTATTTTCTCACAGTGATCACTATTGGCYAAAGGAGGGAAAGTCTATAGGAGAACTACCTGCTCCTTGAAACAGAACAGGTACTAAAAATAAAACTTTTAGCACAAACCAGTAATTGAAAATGCCATAATACATTAAGGAGCTTGGAGTCCCATAAACTAGGCAGTACCAAACAAAACAGAAGAGAAAGTGGGCTGTAAATTAGGTATTTAACCAGGCTTTTACAACTGGAAGGTTTGGTGGAGTGGGAGTTGCATTGGTCAAGAGCTCTGGAGCCGCATTTGTACCTTTCTGATAATCCTGGGATTTCTGTAGGCTGGGGCTCTAGCAAGTYGTAGGGCAGGACGATATCCTCGGTCTCCTTGAGGAGCAGGAAGATGGGCTCGATCTGCTCGTTGAACCTGGCCAGCAGCGTGCGCGCGTCTCGCCTGGGCAGCGCCGACGCATCCTCCTCCACCTCCGCGTTGCAGTAGGTGCAGCGGAAGGTCTCTGCAGCATTGCCCACAGGGCACGTTTGCACACAAGGGAAGTAACTGGTGGGGAAATTCACAGCCTGGACAATACCAACCAAATCCAAGCAGCTTCTCTAGACTCAACATTAGTTTGCTCACAGCATTTGGAGGACCTCATGTTAAAGGCAAGCATGAGAAAACAGAAGACATTTGTGAGCATAGATGGCATCTGTTAAGGATTTATTTGAAGCTGAAAAAGAGATACCTTTAGTAAGGCCCACATTTGTCTCAAGGCAAGAGTTTTAAAGTATATACTTTACTGGAAAAAATATGAAAAAAATATTGTTAAATTACAGMGACCACTTTGCTAGCTGAGAGTTCAGTAGCTTCAGCTTGCAATTTCAGAATGATCACATGAAGTATTATTGATTCTTCCTAGCTCTAACATCCWTTCCAGATATCATAGCTCAAGCCTTAACATAATAACTGCACTTAGAATTATACATTGCCATAATGTGTGATGCCATCTTAACTCYTTTTTTACACCATACTCTCTATTTAGTTAGTTTAGTCTTTTAGAAGAGAAACTCCCAAGCTCTGGTGTCCTCTCTGCTGTGGATTGTTGGGGACCTCAGGAGGTGTCTGAACATTGCTTTTTCCAGACCAGCACAGGAGTTACAGCACCCCTCTGTTGCCAACTTGCATTGTTTTCATCACAGGAGGTAGGTACAGTTTTATTAAAGCTCCATCATGTCCTYTATCAGCGGTATTGCAGATTGACACAGATGAGCTAGCAAATTCAAGGCATGAGGTAAAATGCATACTGTGTTCTCATGCCTCTCATGAGGAAGCGCAACACAGGCTTGGTGAGTTATTTTACCTCAGCTTAGTTTTTACCTCACCTTGTTCATAGCAAAACTGAGGCCAGGATCTGAATCTCCATCCTAGGTCTTAAATTCCAGCTTATGCCTCTTGTTCAACCTATTTTACAAACACTGCTTTCTCTCTTACCCTCAATTCCCAGCTTTTTACCCTGGTCCATACCCACCAGCAAACAAGAGGTATGTTCTAACAAATGCAAACTCCACACAAATCACCACCATTCTAAGTTATTCTTCAATATGTAAGTAGTGAGCAGTATAACCAAACATACCTGTAAATACATCAAACAGCTGGTTGACCTCCAGGTCTGTGTAAGTGCTGGAGCAAGACGGGCACTTAAAAGATGACCTGGTAGTGGAGTCCCGCTCATCTGCCTCTATCTTCCGGCGCATGTGGTCCAGTTTGTACTTCACCACGTCCACCAGCACCTTGTAGTTGATGTAGTAGTAGTTGTGCCTCGTGCTCTTCCCGTTGGGCCCCGTTTCGACTCGCACGCGCAGCTTGACCAGCTTGTCCGCCTTGAGCGTGTTGAGGACGGCGCGGAGCTGCTTGYGCTCGTACTGCAGCAGCTGCAGCAGGGCGTCCTCCTTGACGCAGGGGTAGCAGAGCAGCACGTCCAGCGCCAGCGAATACTCCACGCCGTAGAAGCCACGCACCAGGTACTTGGCCAGGCGCTTCAGGGCCGCCGGCACCTCGGGGATGACCTGCGGGTCCTCCATCAGGAGCCGAAACGCTGGGTTTTCCAAGCAGCAGCCTTGGTGCCACGCACAGAACGGGCAGGCTGTGGTGAGGCTTTCTTAAAGCCTTTTTTTTTTTTTTTTTTTTAAACTTTGCTGCTCTTCTGGAATAATCTGCACTGAACAGATTAATATACAATCCTTAATCTGGACGTGGGAATGGGCTAGTACATGTAGATATCAAAGGTTATCTGATCCTCAGGTATAGTATTCAAAATATTGACCCACATACCCATGCAGGCATAAGGACCCACAAAAACAACTAAGGAAGATTAGGGTAGGACAAGCCATAGTGCTGTTCCTCACTGAAGGCAGCATAGTTACCTTTCACACCAAGGTCTACCTAAATTAGCTCTTTGCTTTCACAACCAGCCAAGRAAGATCTGACCTAAACACTACACGAGCTAGAAATTACAACACAGGGCAGAAATGAGGCACTGAATCCTTAGGTTAGTTCAAGCAGTGCAAAGCAGAGGAGACTCTTTCCTGTGTGTGATCATCTCTTGAGATTTTCCCTCCTGTTTGCTGCAGTCAGGCAGAGATCAAACTGCTGGAGCAGAGGGTGGGATCAGAGCACTGTGCCTTGTCCAGCACCGTGTGTTGGGGCCAAGCCTGCTCATCCCACCACACAAACCCCACAGGAGGAATTTGTAAAACTCTGCTCCTTGGCTCCCTTCCACCTTGCAGAAGCACAGCCTTTGACACTAACCAATGCCTAGGCTCGTTATCGGGGATATAATTATTCCAGTCTAACTCAACTGCCATGACCATTCCTTATCAGCAAGGGGTGGGAGGAGAACTAACTCCGCCGGTGAGTCTCAGGGAAGCTGATGCTGCCCCGCTCGCTGGGGTAACGTCCTTGGGTACCGTGTCCAGGCAGGTGGCTTTGCCAGGCAGCCCTGGGGCTGAGCAAGCCCAGCGGGGACAGCGGGGCCACCAGACGGGACGCCGGGTGGGCAGTTATGGGGCAGCTGCCCCGGCACCTGCGGGCACCTTGCCCACACCTGCCCCTCGTGTGTCGCAGCTGCACAGAGCCTCCCRGTGACCTTGAAGACAAGGCCCAAGTAAAACAGATAAGAAACCTTTGCAGCAGCACTGTAGCTAATTACTAGCTGCTGGTCACCTAAACCTGCTGGCCTGGGGCTAACAAAGTCAGCTGGAAAATGAGGAGGTAGCAGGACCACGTTGCCGTTTGGGGGAGATCTCGACAGGGCCTAAGAGAAGCTGCCCCACGGAGCAGGAAGGTGCCAGAGGCTTCCCCACTCCAGGGAAGCTGCTCCTGACCTTGCTCCYGAGGAAGCCTCGGCAGTAGCAGGGACACACTGCACACAGAAACCCAGTCCCAGCTTTCCCACGGGATGGCTCCAGGAGCGCTGGAATAGGCGTGGGTATCCTCTGGAGGGCTCCTTAACTGGGGTTTGTACTCAGTACTTCCATCTCTAAAGCAAACACTGCAAGCTTGGCTTGCGCAGAAGTGCTTCCAAACACCTTGATGTTAAAAAGCTTTTCTCAGGTCACTCTTTTAACCATTAAACTGGTCAGGAAAAAGGAAAAGGAGGAAGGAAGTAGCAGCAGCTGCTCCCCACAGAGACTAAGTGGCTTTAAGTGGGAATCTGCTCCACAGCTGAGTTGCAGTTTCCATTAAAGAGAAAGGTATTTTGCTACTGCTGTGGGGGTTTTTTTGTTGTTTGTTTTGGGAGGGTCAATTAATAGCTTTGACAAGGCACTTTACAAGTCATCAGGTGCTCTAAAAATAGGAGCAGATTCTGTTCTTTGGGGTAGGAGCAATATTTTCAGTACGCTGTCTATCTCTAAGATTACCCAGTGACTTAGCCACAAGAGAGGCCCTCCTGTTTGCAGGTAAGAGGGAAGGCCCCGGCGCCCTCATCAAGGAGGCCGTATCCAGCCCTTCCGCTGCCCCACACACCAGAGCCAGAGGCACCCTGGGGCCCCCTCGCTGCTCGGGAAGCCCACACAGTTGTTTGCCGTGCTGCTAGTCAGACTTTCCCATTGACTTTCACGTTAACCTGCGCGGCGGCGCCACACGGAGCAGGTTCTGCCAGGTCCTCCGGAGGSGGCTGCTTAATTAACATCCTACCTGAGCTGCCCAAGAAGACAAACCAGGCGCCTCGCTATGTTTTGATCAGCTCTTGCACATTAAAAGCATCAAAATAGAAGGATTTGTAAGAGTAGATATTGAAAAAAAAAGTCACAACTTGCAGCTAAATTACAAACATCATCATTACCTCCCTTGTAGATGCAGAAAACTTCAGGGTGATATTGTGGATACTCCTTTCCTAAGAGCCTAAAGTAAGTGCATGAAAACCTTAAGTATTGTCCAGCCTTTTCCTAGCCCTATCAGTGATAAGCCCTAATTAACTCCCAGCTGGAGCAAGCGAGCCCCCAAATRTCATTCATTAGCAGCTGAATGAATTCAGCTTTATGTAGGTTGCATCAGAGCACAGCTACAAATCTGATTGCTCAAGAGAATCCACCTAGAGCAGACAAGGACTGAAATTTTAAGTGACTGCAATTGCTGGTTAGTGCTTTCATTAGCATGACTTCAGAAGGCCAGAAGTATCATCACTAACTTTCTGATTGCAAAATCAAAATTTAGCTTAGATAATTTATATAATTAATGCTTAGAACTTTTTATAACTGAGCAAACCTGGAAACTTGCATGGCTTCTAGGGAAGAAATTTTTTAATTTCTACACTTCTGCTTATTCATCTCTTTTGGTGATTTTAGGTCATCAAATGTCTGAAATTGCTACACGTGTTCTTCTCTATGCATTTCTATAAAATTATGAATACTMTTATTTCTTTTTATTTATGAAACACTTGAATTTATAAACAGCATGAAAATAAGGGTACAAAACACTGCAGTTAAAATGCTATTTTTATTAGCACTACAGTCATTGTAGTGCTAATTCTACATTCCAAATTCTGCATTCTCAAATCCACATGTATTTTCCATACATTTTCTTAGATAARAGCACTGATGGCGAGTCAGGCTTTCGCAATGACGCACCTCAGGTGTTCTTGGCGGGCGTTGTGACTTACCTTGTGCTTTTGCTATTGCTGTTCATTACTGCAACTCTGATTTCCCAACATGTGGGGCGTCTCTGGAGGGTCCATGGATTTCCCCCAAAGGTGCARGGATTTGTCCGCATGGAGCAAATGGTGGGAGTGGAGTATGAAAACCTCCCTGCAGGGGCGAGAGACTGTCTGGTGGACACGCACGGCCGAGSAGTACAGGGGTAGAGACAAACTGCACATCTTCAGCTGGGATCTCACAGGGATAAAATTAAGTAGATGATGGAGTTTATTCCATAGAGGGGTTCTTGTCTRTAGTCCTCGGTTACTGCCTTGCACTGCAACATGCAAAGGAGCCAGGCCGCCTGCTGGTGCCTCTTGGCTTTAGTCTCAGGGAAACCCTGGTGGGTTTCCTTGTGTTTGGGATGGGGAATGTGTGGTGTCGCCTCCGGGTGCCCCTCGCGCGGCAGCTCCATGAGCAACATGGGGGAAGGCGTGAGGAGAAGGCACAAAATGGCCTCCCGTCATGGCCTGGCTGGCAAGGGGGCGCGCAGCGCCGTGGGAAAGGCGGCTCTCGCTCCCAGGTCCCTGCGGCATTGTGCAAGCCTGCCAGCCGGAGCTGCCGAGACGGGCAGGGATTCCCTGGCTCCGCTTCCAAGCCCTTGGGAGGGCGGGAGTGTTTACGCGGAGCGGCGTCGCCGCCATGCCGCGCTCGCTGGCTGCTGCGCCGGGAGCAGGCCCGGCCTCGCCTGAGCAGCGCTGCCGCGTGCGGAGACACGTGAAGAGATGCGTAACGGGAGGCAGACCAGAGGTCGGAGGAGAAAACGAGGGGGTCGCTTCTCTGGAAACAACAGTGTGATCCAAACCTGCACAAGCATGGACGTGGCGTGTTCTGCCCGAGTGTGGCAGAGCACAGGTTGGCGCAAATGACCTCGGGAGAGGCTCCGATGAGTATCATGAGAGCACGTGAGATGTTAGGTTGTTATTTTTGCCCCCTCTTTGCCCAATACTGGCAGTCCAACATCCTCCCAAAATGTGCACAGCAGCTGAATCCCACACCCTCCACAGCAACTTGTATCGAGGGAGCAACCCTCCCTCTGTGCAAAGGCCAGTCCTGGCACTCCAAGACGCGACGCGGCCTCTGCACACGCCGTTGGACACAGGGCTTCCTAACGATGTCATCACGTGTCTCTCCCTCYGGGCTGTCCCTTTCCCAAGGTCTCTGCCTTCTCTGCTGCTAATTTTCATCAGTTGGTGTGTGGCCCTGAGCCAAGTTTATCTTGTGAGCTGTGCAATCCTTGTGTTGAGGTGATTCATGTCTCTATCATTTTTTGATGGTGTTTTCACTGTGTTACCCAATTCCATGGTCCCTGAAGACATGCCGGCATCCGACTGAATCAGCCTGCGTGCTGTTGGACTTGTGTTTTCAAGTTAGTTTATGCTGTAGCTTTAACAATATCCAGGARGAGAAAGGACATTGAGCCTGTTTTGCCTTCGGAGCTCTGAGTACAGAGTTTGAAGGTGACACTGATGGATAATTTGAGAGGCAAAAACTCTGGGTGGATCTCAGCACTCCATGTGTTTCAGTATAGCTTYCTCGGTCCTCCATCATGACTGGTGTTCCCAAAATATGGCCATTGGGATCACAGACTGTGTCCTCACCAAATAGCTCAACCTGTTGGGTTGACTTGGTAGCACCATCAGAAACAGGGCGAGCTCAGTTCTCCTGATCAGTACTTAACTGGTGGGTCTAGGACACCCTCCTTCCTCTTGCAAAGCCTTATCTCATTCATGCCCTGAAAACTGAAATAAAGCCAAAGTCTTTCATCTTTCTGTTCTGTTTTACTTCTCTCTCTCCTCTGATATCCCCCCCCGGCTCCTTCTTCTGCCTCTTTTTCTGTTCTCCTCTCTCCATCCCAGCTACTTCTGTTCCTTTCTGCCATCTAGTTCACACAGATGGCCCATGGTACCTTCTGGAGGTCACCATGGATGTCCTGAGAGAATTAGTTTCCATCTCCCAGCTTCTTGCCGGAATGTCGATAGAGCATTTGCAGAACTGAAACTACTCAAGGCTTCATAAGCAGAGGCCAAACTGAGGTGGTGGGTGTATGCAGCTATGCCTAATCCTGGCAACTCCAGAACTAAGTTTGTAATTCCAAAAAGATGAAATTTCAGCACTTTGCAGTCTTAATAATTTGTTTTGCTATAGGTTAAAATTTATTTTTCTGTCTTCCTCAAAGAGAGGAACCATTTTTCAACCAAAATATGAAGAGGAAAAAGTCTTAGGCTAACTTTTTTTCCTGTGTTGGGTAAGTTCAGCAAGACTAAAGGCAAACTGAAGTGTAATGGTGAGAAACATGGAGCAAGCCGTGCTGACTGGAGCTGCCATGAACAGGTGACACCCAGCAGGGACAGCCTCACCACTGACATTCTTCTGTTCCTCAGAAGAAGAAACCTGGAGCTGGGAGGACATACTTTGCAAAACAAATTAGACCAAGATAAGTTGCCCCATACAGAATTCATGTCATTTGGAGCTGATTCACTGTAGTACAGAAAATCAGTTTATGTTCTCAGGGAGTAAACTGCTCAGTGTTAGTATAAAGAAGTCTAATCCCTTTATATGTAATGTCCTTTACTCTAAGACAGAATGTGGGAGCAGACTAAGCAACCAAAGACCTTAATCTTTGATACTTAAAGCTGGGATGCTCKGAGAAGCTGCAGGCAGACTTGCAGGAAACACCTGCACCACCTACCAGCTTCTTGAGCACAGTTTTGGCCACRTTGCAAGTCGTCTTACCAGGCTGTTCAGCAATCAAAGGCAGCTTCCTATATAATGCATAAAAATCTGCAGACTTTTTTTTCCAAGGCAAATTGTGTTTCTGTGGTTTTTGCCTCTGCTTTGATTAAGGTTTATTCCTTCTGGCTCATCCTGTTCTTCTGGCGCAACGGATGAAAGGCTGAGCTGCTTGGAAGAGCTTTGTTGTTGCTTCTCACCACCGCTTCTGGCCCTCCAAAATAGGCCAGGACAGGGACAAATGAATAATCGCAAGCAGATTATTTGCTTGGTGAATCCAGCAAGGTGAAATCCAGACGCGTGGGTTTGTTTTTTCCTCCTTCTACTGACAGCYCAGGAGGTTGGCTGCGAGGAGGTGTGTTGGGAACGAGGAGTGTTTCATCGTTAATCCCCATGCCTTCCTCAAGCTTAGTTGCTCCTTCAGAACAACAGTAAAAATCTGCAAGAAGCTGAAACACTGAGGCTGCCCCTCACAGAGCCAGGCTATGTAGTAACAAAGCAAAACAAAAGTGTGTTAGTCCCAACGGGCTGCTCTCTGCTGCAAGAAAAGCTGGTGACTCTCAGGGCRGAACTAGGAATTGCTTTGTGAACCTTGCCCTGTGTGAGTGAAACGCCTGCTTCTCACTGGATTGAAACGAAAGCTTTTTAAAAAGGGSCAGGTAAATTCAACTAACGAGCTCTAAGCAGAACCTTATTTCAAAATAAAATAGTTGCTTGCTGCTCTAGAGAAAAKCAGCCTTAGAAAATGAAGTCTAACTGTAAATCAGCCCGTATCTTCAAAACTTCTCGGACAACTCAACTGTGTTGTGTACAGCAACTAGGCATGAAAAAACATCCATTTTCTGTCTTTTAGGATTTGTAAGGACACTCTTAAATTACATCCCAAAGCTGCAAGTCAGCATCTGTCTTTCTTGTGGTGTAGCCTTTGGTTATGCTACACCATCTAGGGGAAGAGAAGCAGGAGACCCTAAAACCAGAAGGTTCCCTGATGTGCACCACTGGGAAATTAGCGTTTTTCTCCGTCCTGAGGAATCCCTCTGAACTCATCCTTTCAGCTCCGGCAGAGAAAGGCCAAACCCCCGTTGCTGCACACGTGTTCCTCACRCGGGTGCCTCGTTTTGCACGAGGGAGGCACCCAAAGCCCATTAGTTACAGCCTGCAAATCGCCYGCTCCAACACGGGACAGGACTAATTAAGCAAGGAAACTTACTGTTAAGTGGCAACCTGATTTGATTATGCCTTTCTTATGCAACTAGTTCCAGAGAAAGCTGAAGAAACCCCTACCTGATTAAGGTGTGAACCCAGCAGAAAATAATTTCCCTTCTACAGTGTGGGCAGGAACATCAGCCTKGGTTTGTTTTATAGGAATCCTCTGATCTGCAAATTGCATTTTATACATGTGTTTCCCYCAGTCTCAGCCTCAGTTCAGGTAGTGTGCTCATGCTGACCTGCTGCGTGCACGTTTCACATCAAAATAAAATAACCCCCAAGGTTGGGGGGTTAGGTAGGTCAGTGGCAGACAGCTTAAGAAACATATAACTACTTCAGACTTGGCTGAAATCAGTCTGTAAGGAAGTGAATGCCCTTTCTGCCATGTAACATGCACAGTGGCTTCCTGAGAGATACAAAATCGGTGCACAGAATGTCATCAAAGCATGAAATTCTTCAAGAATATTTATTGTATTAGTATTTATTGGGTTTGGAGCAACAGAAAAATCTGTTTTAAAAAAATTAATAGGGCAAGGAAGAACTTCAGCAAGAGATCTGCAAAATAGTGAATAGATATTTCCCCAAGAGCTTGTTTCTGTACTAAATATGCTGTTGTGGTAGGTTATTTTATACCAAGGCCTCTTAGACATATCACAGAATCATTACGGTTGGAAAAGACCTTCAAGATCACCGAGTCCGACCATATCCTTACACAGAATTAGAAGACTAGTTATTCTCCCCAGGTGTTTAGGAAAGGATACAGAAGCACCTCCTAGTACAATTTAGAATTCCTATTGTGCTTGSTAGGTGCTATTTTAGACCATCTGTGATTTTAAAGAATTCTGAATCTGAGCGCACAATCACACTGTAAATATTGAAGGCATCTAGAGCTACCCCCAAACTTTTTTTTGCAGAAATAGCTGAATTTGAGCCCCCCGCCCCCATTAGTGCACATTTCTGCCCGCAGTGCTGCTGCCAGGTGGGTGCCACGCAGGGCGAGCTCCTCGCGGGCACTCTGYGTCCCAAGGCGGTGGCGGCGGCTCCTTCCAGGAGCGGTGGTTTTCCCGGGAGAGCCTCCCATGCAGCGCAGCGGGGCGGGAGGCCCCTACCAGGGGCTGCAGGGGTCGGGGCACTGGCGCAGGTAGGTCTCGGTGTGGCCGCCGCGCACGTCCATCAGCGTGGTGCACACGGTGAGCTGCGGCGCCCAGGGCGAGAGCCGCGTCACGCGCCGCTGCTGCCGCCCACCCGCTCCCTGCTGCCCACCCGCCGCCGCTTCCACCCCAGGGAGCTGCTCAACCTTCCCTCAGAGAAACCCGGCTTTGCTTTTGAACCCCCAACCTCAAGCCCTTCAGACTGGAAGACCTTCTGTGGCAGCTAGAGAATCAGTCATGTAGCCAGAGGCAGCTGCAGTTGTCTCGCACACCATCTAAGGCACTGCTGAGCGCACCCTTCTAATCTGAATTATCCTCTGCACACCTGAAGGGCAACTGCCTCCTCCTCAAACCAGGAGGTTTGAGGCCAGACCAGGCTGCTCAGGGCTTCAAACCCTTTGTTCCAACACTTACTTTTTCCTTTTACAATGTTCTTGGAAGCTTTCGTTTTCACATGCTGGATTTTACCCAGCAACGCACTCAGCTTTCAAAAGCTGCCACCGGATATATTGTGAATATATTGGGAAATACTAACTCGGAGCGGGGCCTTCTCCCTGCTCYGTTCTCCCCTGGTGGGAGCTCAGTGCCTGTGGGGCACACAGGTGCCTGTAACCCTTCCTGCCCCATCCCTGCTCTTCCTCCCTTCTGCCTTTCGCCCTCTCCCTCTTTCCTGGGAGCTGCTGGGCGCTCCCTGGGGGGCAGCTCTGCTCGGTGGCCCTCTCTAAAATGAGCAGATCAAGGCTCCATGAGAGGCTGCCACGAGGGGCTCTTAGAACCCAGGCCAGGTTTTCGCTTCATGCTTAAGTTGTAGCCTCCCAGATCTAGAGCAAATATCTTGAACTTCACTTGCACTGTGAACTCATCCCTACAGTGCAACAGCGTGGTAAAAACTGAATGTACTTTGACCGTCTCTTTAGATATATGTTAGAGGTCTCCACCCTGCCACCAACCCTCCCACAAGAAATTTGGGGGAAAAAAAARRAAAAAAAAAAGCAGCGTTACCTTGTTGAGRACAGGCTTTGTGGAGAGAACATCATACATGGTTGGTAATGAGATATTCTGCAAGGAAACAATACACTGGTGTTAGTGGACATGAACTTGCTTACCTAGCTGTGTGTGTAAATGCTGAGAGAAAAAAGAAAAAAGCGATGGTATGGAATGGATGGTATGGTATGGAAAAGTATGGAATACATAAAACCCTGTAATCAGAAGAGCAGGGGTTGAAAAGCAGCCCGAGCCGGCTAGATCTCACTACAGCACAGGAAGCCAGACTTACAGTGCCTGCTGCCAGGCAGTGTTTGCTGAATTTTGCTAGCAATAAAAAACAGTTCAGGAAACACTGATATTTCTCAGAAAATCTTCAAGTTTATCCTATCCTATATCCACAGCAGGAAAAAAACAAAACACAAAAATACTGTAAAGCAGTGAAAAGCTTCGAGCTTGGGCAGCAGAAAGCCTGGCTGCAGCAAACACTGGTGTAAGGAGGAACAGAGCAGYGCAGACCAACTGTCCCCAAGGCACTAGGTGCTCCTGTCCTCGCAGCTCTGTGTGCAAAGGCCCTGCTGTTCCCCGCCACATGGGGCAGCCGCCTGGGGACAATGTGAGTGTTTTTGGGCAGGCCGAGCTGCTCGGCGCGCTCACCTCCTGCCTCGTCTGGTTGAGGCACTTCATGGCGGGCGTGCGGCGGTTGTCCAGCACCAGCGGCGGCTTCCAGCGGTCRTAGTTTGTTTCCAGCACATACCACGAGCCCTTCTTGAGATCAAGGCTGAAAGAGAGACGCAGGTCTGTGATTCACTTCTCTAAGTCAATGCTCTAGGAAACTAAGTGTGTTTTTTGGCCTGCTACAGGTGTGTTGCAGCAGTGATGTTAAAGAACTGAATTCTGGCACAGGAGCCGAGAGAAACAGGGCACAATTTTCAGTGYAGCCTGTCCTCTCATGGAAGAGTCAAACAACTCACTCCCAGATGTCCAGGGTCGCTGTCCTGGAACGAGTTATCACGCAGCCTTCTCCGGATTTTTTTCCGCCCAGTATGAAATAAGCTGGAGCCAACAGTCTTGTTTTTGTCAGTTTTTCTTTTGCATCCTCATAACTGCAGGGAACAAGGAAAGTTTTATGCTATTACCTGCCATAAATGGTTCAAATACTGAAGAACTAAGTTTCAGACCCAGGAAATATTTGGTATTTAACCCTTCTTCTCCCTTCAGCCATGTACACAAAGCCTGCGTCATTATGAAGATCACGTTTCAGCAACACTTTTCCACTTAAACTGTGCCTGGCACAAGGTGCTCCTTGCACACAGGGTTTTTTTTATCTTTACCTATTTATTTTTTTAAACACAAGAAAGAGGGATTCAATAATGATGCACTTTAGCAGTTTGACACTCCATCTAATTAATTTACTGCATCAGAGCTTTATTACTGGTTACTTCCTACCCTATACTAACTCTGGCATGTGTTTTGATGCAGAATACTGTTATGCATTCAGATGCTGATAAGTTCATTAGAAAAGAAAAAATAAAGAAGAAAAAAAGGAAAAAATTGAGGAGTTTTAAAGGCAATTGTATGCTCTGCTTTCTCTTCCCCACCACTCACACGAATTCTCAGMACAGACAGGACTTGTTTAATACAAGGTTACTAGGAAAATATCTATTATCAGTTGGTACTTAATGAGAGACAATTTACCTACAATATTCATGCCAGCCAGGAGCAAAACAAATTAAAACATGCAAATATTTAGAGGGCGGGAAAAATGTGTAATACCTTGTAGCATTCTCTAGGACTGATCTGGTCAGAAAGCCCATCCACATACCATCTCTTCTACCAAGAAACCAYTCAAATATTCCTGCAAAACATCACTGGTTACAATATATAAACAGCTTGTTTTCATAAGCCTCTGTCATGCTAGTCCAGCTTTCCCAGCCCTTAACCTGAGCTGTTTTATTTTACTCACCTGGAATCTTCTCATCTTTTGATCATCTCTCATCCTACACTTAAGGTACACTTAATGTCTAAAAAGCTTGTTAAAGTGCAGAAATGAGCATTACTCACCAATGTAACCACCATCAAGGCTGAAACGCTCATTCATGGTCAGGGTGAAAGTGTCCTGAAAAGCATTAAAGCAATAAGCCCTCGCCCAGGGGCRGCACGAGCAAGAAGCAAAGCCCACCCTGCAATGGACCCACCAGCTTTAGTGCCAGCTTTGCAGGCACTGCCTTGCATGAGGGCTGCAGGAACAAGCCCACACCAAGGACYGGCCCCTGTCTAATCCCTGAGTAGGCAGCAATGGCAGCTCCCAGGTTCTGTGTCTGTGCTTACGCTGCAACTAGCAGGCCAAGGTTTTGTGCGAGCAACTCAAGCCTACGGTGGTTTTTCTTTTCATCTTTTTGCCTTACTTGTTTCTCCTCTCCTGCTGTCTGTAACCTCCGTTTTAGATCTYCAAGTACTAGTCCAACTTGAAGGCAAATTCTTACCTTCTAGTGTAAGTAAATACACTGATATGTTAGTGTTGTTCRCACGGGCACAGCCATATATAATTTAATGTGCACTTCTTTCAACATCCAGTTCAAGCTGTGATCCCAATCCGCTCTAATCAGTGTTTGCCATGTCCTCCCCTGTGGCATGCAGTTACACTGGATCATTATAAAGATGGAGTCTTGTCCATTTATTGGGCAAAACAAGGATTTGTGCCAGAAATTGACTTTACTATGAAAAGGGTCAACCAGGATAGAGCTGAACATATGCAGAAGATGGAGCTGTGGTAAGCTGGAGCACCTGGGATAGTTCAGCATGTTTTAAAGACTAGATAAAATCCAGTCTTAAAATGGCTAAAACCAATTACATTATAATGCAGGCTTACAGTTCCAAGGGGGAGACATTTTCTACTCTGGAAACACAGCAATTCCTTTCTATTTGAGCCAACCACTTGGGAAAAGCTTTATTTTCTACACACTACTATTTACCCATTCGGAATGCTTGTTTAGAACTCCCTGTAAGAAAGGGTTATGTTTGAACAACTTCCTTCTACCAGAAAAGTGCAGTACTTTTTCCAACTACCTTTCCCTGGATATMTCTATTACGTCCTGGAAGAATTAAGAGTTCAGGGCAGATGATTACAGAACAACAGTTTATATCTGAAGGACTGAAGCGTTATTAGCTCAGCGACAAAAMGCCCTCGGTACTTACTGGCTTGACTCCAGACACCATGCCTATATATCCTGCAAAATTGGTAGACTTAAACACTGTTTTGTTGTTTCTCTGGAAGTCCAGGACTACCACTGTGGGCTTCAGTTCCCGCGTCACCGTCCAGGAATTGTTTTTAACATCCCACCTACAGAGATGACACAGCATTTGACACTCCCCCAGCCATGGATTTAACATCTCCAGCCACGAGCCGCCCATGTTCCGCGCGCGACACCCTCCCTGTCCCCTTGCTCGCCGGGGTCCTACAAGCCACCAAAGCCACCGGGCGGGGGCTGGCACTGAACACCTGCTGCTCCGTGAAAAGAGCCAGTTTTGTGCAAATCAACAGTCCCAATTAAAAGGTTGGCCTATTTTGCCCACAGCTTTATCCCATGGGCAGCTAGGGGTGCTGCTTCAGTCACCAAACCTGTTGACTCTTGAAAGCGTGAGCGCTTTGTGCTGGCACAGAACAATCACATTCTTGTTTTTCCAAGGGAGAAACCAGAAAGTTTTACCACTGTAGCTCTTTTTTCCCCTCAGTTGAAGGGACGACCCACTACTAGTTTGCACAATTATCCAGAGGAGATTTTTCTGCTGAGTGTCTATCTAAGGGGATGCTAAAGAAGACTTGGTACAATTCTCCGGAAACAAAGTTTTAGGAACAACTTGGAAAAGTGGTTTTGGTTTTCAGGAAATATGCACCAGTCTTTCTGCCAGAAGGGGGGCAGTTCAACACATGCTAATCAAGGAACAGATGGAGGGACAGCTGTTTACATTTGAGGTTTATTAGGCAAAGGAAAATGTTAATTAACACTTAAATTCCAACTGGGCCTCAAAAATCAGCTGGGTAAATGACACTACATAATATACAGGGAGAATAAAAGCAAACATGAAAAAACAAATGCATGGAATGACAACAACAAAAGAAAATCTAGTGCCAGTCACTAAACTGAAAAGCCTTTTTTTCCAAATATATATATATATGTGTGTATATATATATGCATATAATATATATATATGTATATAAAAATTAAAAAAATGACATTGTCTTAGGTACTTACCCAAGAAAGAGTCCAAAATCCAAGTTTCTGGCATGGTAAAGCCTCCCTGTATTAAAATACATAAACAAACTACATATACGTATTTACACACACAATTTGCTAAAGAAGGGGACATAAGTTTAAGCTTAGGAAAACAAACACATACGGGAAAGCAGTAAAATTGCCATTGTAGAGATCTCTATTGTATAAGGACAGAAAACACAAAAGCTTTGCATCCAATATTTTGCCATAATTGAAATCAAATATTTTTTAACKTGCTGTCCAGCTCAGCATTGGATGCTTTTCCTATTAACACTGCTAATAACTCTAAGTTTCTATTTTTTTTTTAAACCAGTTTTTTGTAAGCCCTCTGAGAATCTGAAGTTCCCTCCTTTGGTAGAGGGGCAGGCAGGGGCTGTTGAAGTGATTAGGAGAACAAAGAGTCTGTTTTAAGCAAGGAGAGCAGCTCCTTTTCTCTAGTATGGCACCTCTGTCACAGCTGGGTGCCAAATGGCTTGCACTGGAACCAGTGGCCAGAGCAAAATAAGGAAAAGAGCATTTCTTTTCCATAGAAAGCAAAAGCCATATCGTAAAAAGTCTTTTTCTTCTTAGTAGGTACTTTTCTTTTTCTTTAAACCTAGGACACTGACAATCCCCTAGTGACTCTCCGGGCATTCCTACACATTACCACTGCTTTCAGTTTCTTGCTCTGCACCTGCGTCCTGCAATTGAAGTTGAATTACAGAATTGCACTCTGCCATGGAAAGTGAGGGCCAGAATGCCCTTTCTGCATTCTGAGGGTCTACACACGACCAAACCAGGATGACCATGCAGATGTGCATTACCTGTTTTATCTTCCGCCACTATGGAAGTGCAGACAGTAAAAATTTCATAGAAGATGTTAAAAATAACAATTTCCCCTGGAACAAAAAGAAATAAAGTAAAATTTCCTTCTCCAGAAGCTTCAAAGGGTCTATATATAAACTTCAATAATTCACTTTACAGAAATGGTTAATGTAAATGAAGCACTGAAAAAAACATTACCCAAAGGAATTCCAGATGCATTTGCAATCCCTTGGAGCTCTTCATTGAAAGGATAAGGAAGTGTGGCAGTGAGATGTCCCTGAAAGGAAAAATTTTATATGCTGCCTGTGCAAATGGATACATTTAAAAAAGAAATCTAAAATAGACTGCTCCAATAGATGCATTATTAGTGATATAAACTGTGTTTTTAACTCCTCTACAAATTGTAGAGCTTGTAGAGTACTTGATATTTGTGCAGTACCTGAACGCACGTTATTTAGGGAAAGTAAAAACTACTGTTAATGAAAATATAGACATGTGAGCAAGGGAGACTGGCACAAAATCCAGTTGATGTTAGCAGCAACAGGCAGAAAAGAGTTAAATGAGACTCGCCATACAGAAGCTCACCTGGAACTGGGCTCGAGGCTCTCAGTGAGTACAAGAGCCCTTATCTCTGCCAAACTGGCCCGACTGCCTGTGCAGCTGCTCCGCGCTCGCTCGCTCGGCTCGGGKCGCCATCCCAGCCAGCTGACACGGGCAGGTCTGACCTTACAGTCCCTGCTGCAGTCTCTGGCACCCTCTGCTTCCCCCCGTGCTGACTGTATGCTCAAGCACATGAATTCTTCCCCAAATTCAAGCACACATCACCTCGATTCAGACATTTATTGTGGTTTTCAAAAGCTGACTTGGTTCTAGTAACTCGGCGGGGTTTGGCACAGCAAGCAGCAGCCGTTATGGAGAGACCAGGCACACCTGCTGCTGGAAATGGCTTAGCATGCCCAACCAAACATGAGGAATTCTTAGGAAAACTTAAGAGCAGAAGAGACGTAGGCATTCCAGGCTGCATGGTTTCACTAATACAACTCTGCAAAATCACTTTTTTTTTGCCCCTCAAGAATCTGAGAGGAAGAATTATCACAAGTAAAGTTACAATGAACCAAATTCAGTAACATCCTGGTAGCCAGAACAGGGAAAATAGCAAAATATCAAAGCTGACAATACTTACTATTTTGTTATCCACTAAGTCAACGACTTTGCCGCTAGGGAAGAAGGTATTTACTATGTTTTTAATGTTCTCGACTACCGTCTTCAACTAAAAAGAACAAAGACTTTATTGAGCTTAAGAATTATCAAAATATTTTCAAGCAACTTTTTCTTGAAAAATACATGTTTATGAGAAGGGCTAAGTGTGGTKTTAATGCTGAGAAACACTATGGAATAGCTGCTCTTCACTCTCTATCCAAATGACTCTATAGATCAGCTCTTGCATGTTCCTTCACTAATGAAATAAAGAATTACAGGAAAAGGCCACATTCATGTGGTCACATAAAAGGAAAGATGTTCATTCAAACTATTATCTTACTCTATATTGAAAAGCAAAAACAAACCAATAAACAACAACAAAAACCTAGAAATTCTAATCCTTTATTAATACAGTTTCATCTCAGGTTCTCCTTAGAGACCTCTCCATAATAAAAGCCTATGTGCTAGTTTTATATATGCTAAGCTTAAAAGTAACCCCTGTATTTCATACCTGTGTCTTTTTGTCACGCATCAGCTCATCCCATCTTTTGCTGGGAGGTAAATCAAGATTTATGACATACGTGGGAACATTCCCAAGRAACCTGGAAGATAAGCGCCAGAGTTCAAATTTTTTAAAAAAAGCATAAATTTAACAAAACCAGTGTTTTCAACTTTCAACTGTAATCAGTACTTTCCAGATCTGCAATATGAACAAATAAGATAAATCTTAGAAAGCCCAACCTTCCAGTTTACTACTTTTTGGTAAATGGTTAGAGAAGCCCAACCACACAACTTACGTTGGTCCTGAAGGAGGGTACRTTTCAGTTCTGCAGTCTTCTCCATACTGTGGAGACAGTTAAGCATTAGTTATTATTTAGTTTCTTTATTAAAACACACCTAATATTGTAGCAGATTTACCTGTAACCTGTAGTTCTGCTAACTCAACTCATGATAACTTGATGCTAAAGGGAAAGCCCAGCAGCCTGGAGGGGCCGAGGAAAACATGGGATGCAGGGGACAAACACCACCCACCCCACGCTGTCAGGCCAAGCCGCAGCCAGCGCATCCGCCCCGGTCCAGGAGAAGCCCCGATTTATCACAGCTGGACAAGCCTATTTTTATTCCACAGCACTCAGTCAAACACCAGGCTGATGCACGAGCAAGGAGCAGCGCTCGGAGAACACGGTCTTCAGAAAAGCTCAGCTCTCATTTAACCTTGGACCTCTTTGCAGCCTACGGGGGCTGTTTGTTTCACCATCTTGCCTGGTCACGCCGCTTGTATCTGCGCATGGTGGTGAGCGCTGCTGGCACAGGGGGAACAGGCGGAACGCGCATGGAGGCTGCGCCCGCCTCCGGCACCAGGGATGGAGGCTGCAGGCGTACACGCCTCCGGCACATGGATGGAGGCTGCACACGCCTCCGGCACCATGGATGGAGGCTGCAGGCGTACGCACCTATGGCACCAGGTCGCTTCCTGCTTGGCACAGAATGGTGTTTCCACGCTGGCCCCGAGCACGACTAGAGCCCCCTTTCAGAAGGCAACTAAAAGCCGCCCSGCTCAGCTCTTTAGAGACAACTGACTCCCAGAGGAAACTCAAGAACCGGGATGTCCTGGAGGTGCCGGGAGTGGGCGCCAGGCTGCTCCCCATGCCGTGCACGTGCACATCCATGCGCTGGCCCGTCACTGCAGCCTACTGTGCACAGGCAGTAGGAGYGCGTGCCGACCAGCGCCTCCTGCTCCCGGGCCGGCCGGGGTGAGCCGCTCGCCGCAGAGGCAGTTTTGGCCCGGGCCAGCTCCGTGTCTCGGCGCGCAGCAAAGGGAACACACATGGGCCCTGCTGCCAGAGCAGGCGGCTCCCCCAGCTCAGCGCGCGGGAGGCAGGAAAGAAGCAGAGCCCCAGAGGGAGGCCCTCCCGCCTCCCCACACTCATTCCCTGCTTACACTTGGCTGTGTGAATTCCCTTCCCTGTCTGATGCCTCCCTGCGGAGCATCCTGGCTCCCTAAGCAGGGAAAAGTCCTGGGAGCTGCGCCCCTGTGGTCTGGGTTTCCTATGCGTGAGATGGAAGTCTCGGGCTCTGCTGCTTCTTGCTAAGCACAAACGCGTTTCCTTGGCTTCCAACGCAGGGCAGCGACAGCCTCTGCAACGCTGAGCGGCAGCTCCAACCCGGGAGGCCTTTTCACTACCAGCACGAGGAGGTTTCAAAACGAGGAAGGTGGGCAAGGCCACCAGATGACTAAGTAGGCAACAAGAACCAGAAGCTGCATGTGCAGCCAAGAAAACCCTTAGCAGCATTACCACAAATGTTTGTGAAATCTGTCGTTTGCAACACTAAAATAAGTTAGAAAAAGTGCTATCGCATACCTGTCCTACTGCAGAGCCTGACGCAACACACTCAGACATTCTGATAGCAAAGCTTTCCAAAACAGGCTCTTTGACAGATAAAAACTACAACAGAAAATGATCCAAAATAGCCTCTTTTRCATTTGGAAGAGACTCTTTTTTAGAGAGGAAGTCTCAATAACCRGGCAACAAGCTGAACTGAGCAAGGGCTGCAGGAAGATACCAGTGCCATTAGTGGTACAAAGGCTGAGACCCTCACGCTGCCACAGCCACCTGTAGAAGCCTGGCCCTTGCTCCGGGCAGGGTTACAGGCAGGGTTTCCCTTCAAGCAGTTTGCACCAGACACTTCCACCCAGAAAACGATCCGTTAACTCGGCAGCGTCGCTGGGTGCGCACGGGGCAAATGGTATCAATCCAGCAGAGAGTGCTTTAAATGACGTTCCCAGCGCTAAACTTCAGCTCGCTTCTCTCTTTCTCTTCCTCTCTGCTCCCTTCTTCCACTCTCCCTTGAGATTCTCATCTTGCTTTCGAAACAACTTTTATCTTCCTTGTTCTCTGCAACCTCAGCCGCAAAAGAGGCAGGGAAAGGGAAGGGTCAAGGCAGAAATACAGAGAGCAGGGAGAATATCCCCTCCTTAGACACCAGCAACTTTAGACATCTCAACTGTTTATTTACAAAGCAAGCAAATTTAACTAATAACCCCCTAACGAACCTGTAGCTTTTCTCAGCATCAATTAGACTAAGTTGGCATTAAAAGACCTGAAGAAAGCCAAGATTACTAAGTTTCTTTAGAAATTCAATGATATGATGGGCACAGAAAGAACAACCTGAAAAGATGTTAAAATAACCAGAGAATATAATTTCTTTGTAAAAAACAACGTCATTCAGTGAGGGAGAAAAATCTTTTTACCTTTTACAACTGYTACAGACTAACTGCTAACTTTTCCAACGGGACAAAAAGGAAGAAGAAAGCCTTGGACCTGCCCTRGGCCCTCTTTAAACAGCTTGGCCTCAGGAAGCCAAGTGTCCTGCTCCGAGCACCAAGCRCCACCGAGCACACGCAGACGGAGGMGGTTGTTTTCCTGGGTCCTCTCGCAGATCACGTGCACTTGCCGCTGCTCTGGCTTCTCCCAGCTACTGCACAGAAACTGCTTTTGTTACTCCACGGCTTCTTGATGAACTAAACCATCCAAACAAAAAAAAAAAATGGGCTTTTGCTATCAACAGAATGAAATAAAGCAGCTGCCAAATCACTCCTGTGGCCACCAAGCTGCCCAGGGACCACCACCCTTGGTTTCAAACTGCGTAACTTCAAATGCTTCCCGAGGGGTCTCCCCAGAAACAGCCAACAGAACCTCTCTGACACACGGCAGCTGCCACAAATCCCCTTTCTGAAGGTGAGAATTGAGCCCCCTCTTACACAGCTACTCCCGAGCAATTAAGCAATTTCCCACCCCTTTTATTGGAATAACCTTCCACTAATCATCTGTGTATTTTGGTTACTTGATGCACAGCTGACTCTGGAAGTATCTGGATGTAACGATGCCAGAAGGGATGTGTGGCAGCGTGAGACCAAAACATCGAAAGAAGGAAAACCCCGCGGAGGAGAAAGACATCGTGCTATGTGGAAGGGCAAAACCAACAAGCAAGCCACACAGGTAACGCAGAAGAGCTACCCTGTGAATGTAAGTGGAGCWGGAGAGGCACAGGGCAGCTGAACAAGCTGTCAATTGCTACCTGGAAAAAAAACCCAACAACAGTCATKAYGCACCGCCTAATACCTGCACATTAGCATAACAGAGAACTAACGCACAACCCAGCGACTGCTCAGCAAGCATTTTAAAACTCGGCCTGAATCACCGGCCCAGGCCAGGCTGAGCCCCAGCAAATCCAGCCCCACTTTCCTTGCTGCTCCCCACGGCACTGCTGCTGGGCACGGTGTGGGGCGGCTTTCCCGAATACGCAGGGCACGCTCTCCACATCTCCACTTAAAGAACTGCATATATATATATATATACACGTACATATATATATACACACATATATGATATATATATAAACAGATACAGAGATACATATATAAAAACACATACATAAATAAATATTTATAAATAAATAAATAAATAAATAAATAAATAAATAAAGCGATCCCTTGGCGTTACTCGGCAGTGCTCCGGGGTCCGAGCACGCGGCACGGGCTCGTTTTTGGGGACCGGGTGCCCCTCCGTTTCGGGCACTTCCCCCCCACTCCTCCGCGCTCCGGGCGGCACCGCCACCTCTCCGCGCACCGCAGCGAGGAGGGAAGCGGGCGTTTAACGCCTTTAACGGCGCCTCCCTCCCGCGCGAGTTCCAACGGCCGCGGCYGCGGGCGCAGCCCCGCAACGCGCCTCGCGGGGAGGGCGGCAGCGCACCGCGAACCGAGGCCCACCCCAGGGCTGCGGGCGCCCGCCCGCGGCCCCCAGCGCCGCGTGCCGCCGCTCACCGGGTCCGGGGCGCGCACGAGGAGCGCGGCGGCCGCGAGGAGCGCGGCGGGCGGCAGCAGCGCCCGCTCCCTGCGCGCCATGGCCCGGCTGCGAGGCGGCGCCGCCGCCCGCCCACGAGGCGGCGCCGCCGCCCGCCCACGTGACGCGCCAGGGCGGGAAGGAGGGCGGGGCGCGAGGCGCTGCGGGGCTGAGCGGGGAGGGAGGTGTCGGAAGAGGGAAAAAGCTCCGAAATAACCGAGAATGGGCGAGGGGCAGAGCTGCCCCGCCGAGCGGCTGCCTCGGGCACGAGACGGGGGAAATAAAAACAACCCCATGAGACCTGCATGTGGTTTTCTTTCTTTCCTTCCTTTTTTTTTTTTTTCTCTCCCCCTCTCTTTTCCCCTCATTTTTCTCTCTCACAAGAAAATCCCACATGAAGATGTCCCTCTTGGACCACACTCAGCAAGTTTGCACCATGAGTTTCCTCCACGAAAGCTGGTGTGAACAAATGGGGCTGTAACCTGACAGGATGTTATCAACCATTCCGTCATGTTAAATATAAACCATGGCATTACATTAAATATAAAATACAAGACTCCAGTGCCTCTGTTTTTACTTTCCTTGCAGTCTGCAGCGAGTGCCAAGCGTGGCTGCCAGACCTGCCACGTGCTTTTAGCACAGGAAAAACAAGCAGAACCATCCCTAAGGTGGTGATTTAATGGGCCACGTCATGAGCTGAGCTCTCATAAAGCAGACGGGTGGGAAGGAGGAGAGGGAAGTCCTTGGCAAGGGGTGGTGGGAAAGTCCTACGGCATTGCGGAGATCCAGGCAGGAAAGGGAGAAGGAAAAGCGCYTCACCGCGCGAAAGCCGTGGGCAAGCGGAGCGAGCGCAGCCGCGTGTGGGAAGGAACCAGCTCAAAGATCAGGCTTGGGCTGGGGCAGAGCTTCCGCAACCAAGGCTGAACAAACACGAAAGCATTGGGCACGCGTGGAAGAAGATACAGAATTAATCAGGGGATTTAAGACGTGAGGAAAATTACACGGCAACCGGAGAGACTCAATGTTTTCCTGATAATGCCTTTGACAAAGAGGAAATAAGACAGTCTGATTTACAGTCTGAAGAATAGCCAGATTAAGTTGGTCCTGTTTTTTTTATCTAAACATCCTTAGCACTTTTTCTTCCCTTTTCTCTCTCTGAAAAGCTGACTAACCCCAGCTCTGTGTCCTGGAGCAGACAGTTGATGTAGCCATTTCTGGCACTCGTCTGTTCCCCTCAGTCTTCCCAACYTCCTCCTCCAACCTGGGCCCACACAAAGCCCCAACGCAGAACTCCATCTACTGAGCCACTGTGGGGAAGGCAGCACTGTCCCATGCTCAGAAAAAAACAAGGCAGAAAAACTAAGGACGGGCGTTGTGTTTTAAAGCCTCTAAGCAATGTAATATTGCTGTTCAAAAGCCTCTAAGCTACTAAGCTCACCTCACTGACCATTTCTGACAGTGGTAGAAAGATAGCCACGTGGTATGCCCATATGGTTGCCCATTACCTCTTCAGGTTTTGAGGTGCTCCCCTCTTAGAAATTTGATCACATCAGTGCTTATTTGAAAGCAATACAAAGCAATATAAACACAGAGTTCCTTGCAAGCTCATAAATATTCTCTAAGACTAGGCAGCCTCTAAGACGACTAATGCCACGTAGCTTTCTGTCAGCACTACCTCACTGCGCATTTTATCCCCCGAGGCTTGAGACGTATTGCAAGATCTTACCCTGTACTTGCTACTTCATGTACCTTTAGTTTCTCTTGGGAGTCACACCCTTGATGCAAGCCAAACGTGTTGCAGTTAATCCCATCTTATGACTGACTTTTTGATGAGTGAAGGAACTTTAATGCAGTTCTAGGAGATCTGCTACTTGCATTGAACAGTTGCAAAAAAACTGTAGACTCACCATAAAGAATGACCATAAATAATGAGTTTTCCTAGCAATTTGCTTTGAAATAATGTATAGTGAATAGAAATTAACATGGAGTATTAACAATTTTCCGTCATTCCTGATATGGGCTAAACTTGAACAGTAAGCTCAAATAAAGACTTGTAACAGAACTAGAAATAAAATTTACAAATCATGATCTTGCAAAACTTTAGGTACTAGAAATTAGTTGATAYTAATGAAAAAGACAAATTTCAGAGATGTCTAACAAAAAAAAAAGAGAAAACAGTATAAAAGTATAAAAGTGTTTACATATAGATGCATTGACATTCTCTACTGCTGCAGTCATTAATCAAAACAGCCCCTATACAACAACTGCATCATTCTAGAAATGCAATATCCAGGTTTGTTACTGCAGCACAGGGCAACACAGCTGAAGTTACCATTGCCCACAGCTAAAAGTCTAGGGCACAAGTGGAAACAAGAAGGATCCTGAACGATGCCGGTACAAAGGAGCGGAAGGAAACCAACAGCTTAGCATATATAGGATAAGTAATATGAAGGAGTGTGCAAGAATAAAGAGCACAGAAGTCTTTTCCCTGCTTTTCCCAGGGAAAGTTGCCTGCTTTCCCTTTTTGAATGTAAGAGAATGGATATTCTACCTGAAAAGCAGGAAAGTCAAAGCTTGTATTGCCAACTACACATTATAACCATAAGCTGTCTTTATTTATTTATTTTTTTTTTTAATTAAGTGAAGCAACTTAATACTGGTAAAAGAAGAAAAGTGTTTACCCAGTTTACCTTACCATCTGTTACTACTGCATTTTAACCAGAAAAAAAAAAAGTATGTCCTGAAATATAGTAATTAGATAAGTGACAGATGGGAGGGAAAGAATTCTCCAAAAAGTCACTGAGGTTCAAAAATAATTTACTGATGAGTGTCTTCTACTTAACYCTGAAAACTGAGGGAAAAAATCATTTGTGAATTTAATATTAAATACATTTTTCATACAAATTATGTATTTTTTCCTCCATTCAGCACAGCCTCAGACTTGGCCTTTATTGAATTTCTCAGTATTCTGTTATTACTTCTATCTGTTCTAAAATATAATGTCTCACGGAACAGYTGGAATGACAGAAACATCTCTAAGGCTTTGTCCATTTGAGAAAGCTAAAAGCATAACTACTCCACTCTGGTTCCACAGGCGAACTTGCCAGCGGGRATACTTTGATTTCCTGCTAAGTACGTTCTCCAGGAGCAAAAACTAAGTGGGAAGAAAAGGCACTTATTTCTGAATAGATACCTGCAAAACAAAGATTTTATCTATTCTTGTAGATAGTACAAAGGAATATGTAAGCAACCACCACCACCATTACCTTAGAGAGGCAGTATGTTTATAATGGATAGTACTCAGCAGGGAGAGCTCAAAAGCAATTCTGAAGAATGTCCAGAAAAGGCAAATGAAAAAAAAAAAATCTACAAACAACCTGAGTTAATAAGTTCTCTGTTGTAACTTGAATTTGACCAGAGTTCYTTCATTTCTCAGTTCCATAAATTTGTACGGGCTTTTCTAAATCCTTAGAACGATAAATACTTTTATGGCTACCCTCAACTAGCCTTCCATACATAGTTACAATTTAGTTTAATGTTCAAAATTCAATAGTGGGTTTAAACMATTATGAGGTATTTAAATTCTTTATGCTTTTTCTCCTAAAGACCAACTGCCTATGAAATTAGACCAATTTAAATTGTCATCACTGACTAGAATTTATTGGTCTGGTCTTGGGCTCTTGCAAGAGATCTCATTATCTTGCACTGGCTTCGAGCTTTGTATTATTTGTGCAGTTCATACTGACAGTCAGAAAGGGCCTTCATGGAGACAACTCAGGTTTCCATGACTCAGCGCTGGTCACAGATCCTTCACCTACTTCACAAAGGTTACTTGGTGACAAAGTAGTTCCTATAGAGAGGCTTTTATTGAAAATATTTCTGATAATCAGAACAGAAACAGAAGAAATACTATTTACAGGAGATATGAGGAATGCATACTATAATATGACCTTAAAAAAGGTCTCTGTTGTTTTCTTTAATATTAAACACGGACAAACCAGGAAAATTTCAGCTGAAACCAAATTCCTTGCCCTCTCATAAAATACGCACCTTGCTCACACAAAACAGTCCTCCTCTTTTCTTATGAAGCATCTGCATTTCCATTAGTTACAGGATTCTTGTGATTTGTCCATACTCTTGCCAGTACACAGATTACGCCATTTATTCACCTATACACTGGTCCTGTTACCAATGTTGTTTTATAGAACCTGAAAATCCCAGCCAATAACCTCAGCCAATGCAGAGGCTCCGTGAAAAGTTCTACCTGGATCTAACAGGATGTATTCAAAGACATTCATTTTCAAGTATTTCTTAGTTGTTCAATTACAGATTTCTTAATGGCTTAATGTATTAACAATACTCTGCTTTCAAAATTTGTGGTTGTTCTCTTCCTGCCCTTAGACACCACCTCTAACTTCAGGTTCCTTCCATCAACTTTGGGAAATTCAGTGGGTAAAATAATTTGTTTTCAGTTAAATAATAATTTCAACATCACGGGGTTTTAGGATAAGCATATTACTGAAAAATGACATTAGTGAACAAACTACTCTCAGATGATCCTTTAAAAATATCATAACAAAAGGCCTTCTGTAAAAAAATGCATCATTGTAAAACTTTTCACTCTTGTTTTTAGCTTGACCATGTCACCAAAGATACAGAAGATGGATCAGCTGGATGTCACTTGCAGTATCTATCAGCTTTCACTTTTGCTCTCCTATAGGAAGAGAGTAAATGAAGTAAAAGTTAGAGAAAATGATTATGTTYGAGTATTTTACCTACTTCAAAGTGTTATATGAGGCACTTTAAAGCATGTATTAAAACCTGGCAAGTCTGCCCTCCCCCAAATGTTCTGGTGCCATATATATTCAAAATGTTAAAAGACAACTTTTATGATTGAAATTATTTTCTGCATCCTTGGCAGTAAACAAACTGAACAGATCTAGCTAAAGATGTCAACAAGAACTCATTTCTGGCCAAATCCGAAGCTGGGAACTTCCAGAACAAAAAGCAAAACAGAATTAGTAGGACATAGAACAGAGAGGAAATTTACTAAAAATTCAACTTGCTGTAGTTTTTAATTAGCACATTGTTTTTTGTATTTTAAAATACCTGTCAAGCAGTGTTTCGTGAAAAGTGCCTTCCTTTCTGGCTTTTCTGAGGGCTTTTGTGTCTTCTTTGCTTATTTTGAGCTTTTTGTCTTGAAAACTTTGGAATTTCTTTCTATAATGGAAAAGAAGCATAAAAAGTAACTTCTCTGAGTTTTGCATTTCAGTTACACAACAGCTGTAATGAGAATCTTAACGTCTTAATGAGTTGCAGGAGGCAACTCACCTAATAAACTCCAACCATGATATCAAACATTGCCCTAAGATTTCTATAATACAAACTACATAAGCATTTCTGGTATTCTAAGTGGAAATGACATAATGAGCATGAAGTGATTAAAGGTTTTAAAGAATTCCTTCAGTTGTCAGCGTGACAAGTTAAGGAGTAAAGAAAAAAAAAAAAAAGGCACTTGAGCATAGGGAAGTCACAGGGATAACTGATTTTAGAATGCTGTACATTAATGGCTTTCAATCACATACACATAATTGATTTCACACTGTTTAACATTTCCTTTGTCCTCTTCTGGAAAGTCATCTTTCTTCTTAGCTTCTCTTTCAGCGCAACTGCGAATCTGATCATTGAAAGACAAAATATGAAATGTGAATTAAAAAACAAAAAAAACAGAAGGCACAAGTTAAAACGACAACACATTCTTCATAGAGAACAAAAGTTACAGTAGCCTCTAAAATTCTCAGATTTTCAATTTGTTAGTTTACAAATGAAGACAACTCTAAAAAAAGCAGTAGCTCTAGCCTGATGTAAGGTCTTAAGTCTAGTCCTTGATACCACTATAAGTCTCCTTTGCATCAAAGAAGGACCATTACTGTTGAAATCAAAAAGAGTAAAATACTTTCCCATAGCTACTGGAATTTTTATGTCATCTTGGTGCTCATTTACCTTTTTTGAATGTAAAACATTGGCTAATAGCTAATGGAATAGAATTACAACTGTATGCTGTAAAATGCAGTAAAGAGAGTAACTCTAGTAAATTGAATATTCCTATCAATCCTGCACTAATTGCATTATTTTTACATAAATTCTATTACCTTTATCATTTCTTCTTCTCCTGCAGTTTTACTTGTGGCTTCTATATCTCCTTCGTCATTACATCTAATAAAGCGGCTGTTGGCTGCYAGCAATGCCATCTTCTTCTGCATGAATAATATCACAGTGTTAACATAAAAAGTTCRTATATAAATCTTGATTCATAACGTTTATCCTCTACGATACAGCAGAAATCTCTGTAATAGTGTTCAGTTCTTTTCTGTATTGATGTTGTAACAGCTGGCTGGATATATTACTGTCTCTTCTATTTGTAAATAGGATATAACTCCCAAAATACAGTAAATTGAAATATTTTAAGTACCTTTAAAGAAAAATAGTAAATATGCGGTAGTTAGCAAAATAAAAAGTTAAGATTTCAAAAGGCTTTTACTGCATGAACAAATAATATTTTACAGCCTTGTGAAATAGACTTAACTGAAAATACAGCTAAATGTCAGGAATATCAAATGACTGATTCCAACTTACATCTTCGAAGACAGGTTCCCACTGCTCTCGTGAYCCTATAGCATCTGAACGTCCAACAACGAGTCCATCTGAATTTACACCAAGGTATTTGCCATAACCAGACTTCAGAGCAATCCTCAAAGAGAAAAATAGAGGAGATAGATAATGCATTGAATTAAATCAACCCCTAATACCCAACATACAATACACATGCTCTCATTATGCAGCAATTTTGAAGAAACCACTAAACATGTATTCACACTAGAAACAAAGATGCTACAAATCAAAACTCATAGCATTTTTTAAAAATAATGCTTACCTTGTTTCTGAAAGCTTTACTGCTGTAAACTGCTCAGGAGGACTAGGGCCTTCATCATCTGAGGGATGAATTTTCTATTACTTAGGTATGAAATATGAAAATTCCATATTGTAACCTGTCAGCAGGATGGAGTTTAAAACAACCTGGCAAATTATACAATAACTATTGCTACTTACTTACATACTATAGAACACTATGTTACTAGATATGTTTAAAAACTCTTTTGGAAGATACATGCTCAGAAATAGAAGAAAGAAAAAGTGCTTGAAAAAAAAAAATACAGGCCTTGCTTCCAGAAATTTACAAGTCAAGTCATGCTGTAATTCTCCAGACAACTAATAAAATCTTAATCTCCCTGCAATATTATATTTCCATAATAAAATACATTATGAGTTAGCTCAAATGACACAAATGACTATTCTCAAAACCACTAGGCTGAAAACCACAATGAGCTACCACTGCCATCCTTGTCTTGGCCTCACTTTGAGGAGCGCACCCCGAGGGTTTTGAACAGCTCTGGTTGGTCTGATGGCTCATTCAAAATGAGGAAAAGTTCACTTTTGGACACTCTTGCAACCCACGTGAGCAACATAAAAATAATTAGAGCATCATTTGACAGCAAGACTTGAAATTCATCTGAATTGACTTTCACTCTTCAACTAGCATCATAAAAACTTTATAAAATAAAATTGAAGCTATTATAAATAACTTAATAAATAAATAATAAGTGACATGGCTTTTAATGGGTGATCAGCTCTAGAGTACTTCAATTTACTGTACACATAGCAGAAAAATAAACTAGCCAGAGGAATCTGATTGGCAGTCACCAGTTTTAAGTCCTCTATGTGCTTTTGCTAAGATTCTGTTTATTATCAGTCTCTAAAACTGGCTGCCTTCAGGGCACGCTAATCTAATCAGAAGCTTTTACACCTTCCACTACAGACACCCCCTTTCTTTCCCTTCGAAGGGATTTCCCCAAACAAACCTTTATGCGGAGCTCCAAGCGTAAACAAGCCGTTGTCGAGAGCATGGATGTAAGCTCCCTTGCCCATTTCTATGGCGATAGTTCCCGTAATTTCACCGAAGTTACTGACGGCCCACCAGCTCCCTAGATGGCAGAAACAAGGCACGCAATGGGATAACCACAGGCTTTGGCCGACGCGAGGGGCCCGGTTCCCCCCCCCCCCCCAAAGCAACCCGCAGCGAAGGCGCTGCCGGCCGAGCTGCCGACGCCCGTTACGGTAACGCACGGGACGGACCCCAGGGGCGCAGAGGGCCCCGGCGCGGCCCTCACCGACCGCGTCGAGCTGCTCCTCCGCCTCCTCCTCGCGCCGCCTCTTCTTCTCCTTGTGCTTCTTCTTGCTAAGGGGGGGAGAGAGGGAGGGAGCCGTGGAGCGGAGCCCGGGCACCGCTCGCGCGGCGGGACCGRCCCCGCTCCCACCTTTTCTCCTTGGCGCCCTTGAGCACCAGCTTGGTGCGCTTCACGCACTGGTACTCCGCCATGGCGGCGCCGCTACGGAAGCCCCGCCGCGGCAAACTTGGCTCGCTCGCGCGCGCTCGCCGCGCCGGCGCCGCGGCCGCGCATGCGCCGTGCCCCCCCCCCGCCCGTGGCGCAGCTGCGTGGTGGGCACCGCCCGCGGGGCGGGGACGAGGCGGGCTGAGGAGCGCACTTAAAATAACGCTTAAAAGGACGCTTAAAATCGCATCCCGCTGAGCCCCTCTCCTCTCGAGACAGGTGTTGGCGTGTATCCACACGCAGGGTGTTGGGGCGCTGCGGCCTTGCCCGTGCGCACGCAACGAGGCTCCGAGCTGGGACGGCCGTTAGCAGTTTGCGTTGGGCCCGTGTTTTTATCCCCACGAGAGGGGAAGGGGCCTCGTGCCCAACGGCTTGTTGGCTTTTTGGGCTTATAGCAGCTTGCCAAGCGAGAGCTCCCAGTGCATTTCCCCCGTGTCTGTACGTGGAGCTGACATTCTCACCTRTGGGTATGGCCAGGGCTGTAAACCCACTGGAATCGCAGCCAGCGGATAAAAATTATCCAGCTTTCCTCAGTGAAGGAAACTAGAGCTGGTGGGTGATCCCAGGCCTTTCTGCACGTGCCTTATCAACCCAGGAGCCCTTTCTAACTCGGAGCAAAGTATTGGGTGAGATGCCTCTAATTCCCGCCTGTATCCCTACCCTGGCCAGCCCATGCTTAGGGGGCTGTGTTTGGGCGCAGGTATCTGCGGTGTAAAGTGAGGGGAACGGTGTGTTCCCAACGTTCCCGGGATGTTTGTGCCGCATGTCCCAGCTGTGCTGGGAATGCTGGGCCCTGKGGAGAAGGAGGCTGAGAGGAGCACGAAGCTCCTCAGGGAAAGAGCCCTTTGGGCTGCCACGTGGGGTGGCTCTACTGGCCAACCCACCGACCTCACAGTGCGCGGAACCTCTGCTTTGGGATTTGGGCTTCCGGGAGGCTGGGAAAGATGTGGAGAGCAGAAGGGTGCAGCTGTGAGGACCCCTTTGCTGAGCAGCCCCGGCTGCTGCGCGGAGCTGAAGTCAGGCAAGTGTCGTGCCTATGTGCATGTGTACATACATATCTATCTATCTGCCTATCTATCTCACATGGAAGTGTTTGGACTTGATGTTTTGCCCTTTGTCCACCAGATGTTGCTATATCCACAAAAATAAGGTCAGATCAAGCTATTGGGGAAAAAAAAAGAGTAGTAGTTTCATTTAATTACAGATCTTGATCCTGAAAGACACACGGATGCTTACATTCTTGCATGAGGAATGGCCCCAGTGAGTTCAGCTGAGCTGCTCACTCTGTGTAAAGTTAAGCAGCTTTGAAACATTTCTTATATCATTTATATTTGATATTTTATTTTCCCTATTATGACGAGAAAGAGGGACAGAGACACAGAAGGATAGAGAAACAGTAAATTTCTAATTTTAAAAGAAATGCAGCTTTTTTCAGGCTCCCATAATGTAAAATATCTTCTTGCTAATGAATATAATTTTATTTACAATTCACATTTAAAAGTTTATTTATTTATTTATATTTTAGACACACCAGCAGAAACCAGACATCAGTGCATTGTATGTGAAAGACTGGGAATTTTTTTTCCCCGCAGGCAAAGCGATGCCATCGATCAGAGCACTGTATCTAAAACGGTACCGTTTTAGAGAAGCCATTTACACTCTAATTTGCTAGTTAGTCTTTTTGAAATTAAAACATTTCCAAAATGTGCTAGCTGCGATTGTTTAAAAAAATATAATGACTCATTTTCTTTATAGCAATAGAAATAAATGGAGCTTTTGTGTTTGCAAATGTAGAAAACAAATCACTTTTTTAATGACTGGATTTTGTTGCCAGCTTGGAATTTGCCGTACGGGCATTTTGTTTTAAATGCCTAAAGAGTGAAATCATTTGCTGTCTCGTATGCAGATGGGGCAGATTGGCTAAGGTGTCATTTGCAAAATGTGCACTTTTAGCATTCAAGTTTGAAGCGGATCATTACAAACAATGCTTCCCACAGACACTTTGGGCTGATGGAATTGGAGAGCGGARGCTGAGTGTCCATGGGTATGGCCTGGTGTAATGAAAGCCCTGATCAAAATGCAGAAGTTCTGCAGTTTACTCTTGTTTATTTATATTAGAGAATACATAAATTTCTTCCAAACTAGAGAAACTTGAATTAGTTCTCCTGATAACAGAGTTGACAAATAGTTTATGTATATTTTTTTGCTTTCGTTTATGACTATGGGTCCCTGCTGCTGACTGATATAGCAGCCAAGATTGATATAGTTTTGTTTACTCATTTACTGAGAGAAATTTGGTGCGARTTAGAACCAGAGCAGCTACTCTTTAGTATTTCTCCAATGGGAAGAATACACATTCTGGAGCGTTGCAGTGGTTTCTTGTTCAACAGAGGCTGTGTGAGGATGTGGATACAYCCCTGGGATCTGATGGTATAGATTGCAATGACACAGCAGATGTAACTAAAAAGCTGATTTCGTCCTTGGCATTGAGATACTGCATGCTTAAAAAGATTTTATTATAACTTCTGAATTTTAAATGAGAGCCTGTATTAGCTCTAGCTTCTCAACTTCTTCCGCTTTGCCCGACTACTCCTTCCCTCGCCTTCTTCCACGGCCACTCACTGAAATTGCTGGGGCTGAACTTTTAGAATTGCAGAATCACAGAATCACTGTGGCTGAAAAGACCGTGTAGATCACAGAGTCTAAGCGTGGAGCTTGTGGGCAGCCAGGCCTTCTCTGCGCCCGGCTCTCTAGGCTGCTGCTCCTGCTGCAGTTTGGCAGTGCAGGATGCACAGGGCAGTTACCAAAATCCATTCTTGTTTTCCTTTGTATACAGTGGGAATGAAAAAAGAAAAAGAAATTAATAGGTAACCTTTACTTTACTCTGGTCTCACACAAAAGGAGACCAGAGTGTTTTCTTAGGCTCAACTCTCTGATTTCTCCTCGTCATTCAGAATACCTCGTCAGGTCTGCTTCTCCCAAGGTCCAATTCTGCTAAATTGCTCTGTTTTTTATCTTGATTTGGAAGAAACTTTATATATGGATATGAATGCRTTTATTTTTATCTCTTTACTAGCCTCTGCTTTCTTGTCATTATTTTTTGTAACTTCTGTCCAGTTTCATTCAGACTTGCAGATGGGCAGAGGTCRCACTGACAAGCTGCTATGAGGTCTGAAACTGTTGTTAGGTAGGTTGGAAAGAGAAACCTGCCGGTTCCCTGACTGCGGGGAGGGCTGCACTTTCAATTTCCATTTTATTAGAGACAGGAGAGGACCTCATGCAGAAAGGAATCTGTGAGGAAAAGCTCCTAGTAAATCATAGGACACTAATGAGTGAAAAATCCAACTGCATTACTTCTAGTGCCCAAGCAACAGTTTATTGTTATATACTGTAATTACATTTTTTACAGGATGGAAATTTGATTCTAGAAGTTTAGTATGTTTGATTTTTTTGACATTTTCTGACAACTAGCATGTTTGGTGCAAATTTAGGTGAAACCCCCTTACCGTATCTATTGGTACTGTATTGCAAATGTGAGCTTACATACAGATTTTAACAGAAGTGGAAGTGTGTTCATAAGCAGACATTTTCCTCTCTGGGTCACAGCTTTATCTTCCCTCCCGTGAGCCTCATTTGCCTTTTAGATGTGGTTGCGTTTGTTCTCATTAGGAAATCCGCTGGTTTCATGGAGGAAAAAAATTAAGCGAACAGTCTAAAATGAGCCCAGATTTACAGTTTCATGTATATGCATCAAGTTTAATTTATATCCGTTTTCTATCCAGTGATTACTTTTATCAAGTGTCTCACAAAAGGTTTCTTCTTTTTTATGTTCCTTCTGTGACTTACTCGGAAATAGGTGATTTTGCATGGCCTTGGAAACCTTCTCAGCCTTCCCTGCAGAAAAGGAGCCGTAGTTCCCCTTTCTGAAGCATTCCCGTCTGTTTCCAATGAGACTKCTTCTCTTCCTGAGATTTGACTAGGCCAAGATGGAACTGGGAAACAACCGTCCAGAGTTCCTGKTTTTTTTTCCTACTACTCACATTTTTTTTTATTATTATTATTTTTCCCCCCCAGAGCTTGTGACTATTCTCTGGACTCTGTATTTCTCTTTCCCTATGCCTTGTGAGACTATATGAATGTCCTTTATAATTTCACTGGGGATATGAATTGGCAGAGCTTAAAAGGAGGATGGATCCTTGGCAGTGTGTTCGTTTTCAGTGCTGCTGTCCTCCCTGGCCATAAAACTGTACTTCTTCTTTGTAAATKATGTTTGCTCTCCCTCAGGATTGCCATGTAATTTCCCTCTTTATATTTTTTTTTCTAGCAAGACTAGAACATTTACCTGCTATGATTGTTTTCATTGCTTCTCTGAATTTGAAGAGCTATTCCAAGTGATTTTCCTCTCTTATCCTGCTTAGCTGTTGATTCTGCATATTTTTTTTTYCTAAATGCAGTTGCTCTTTCCCCAAAAGACAGTTTTCACAAATGCAATAGAAATGAACATCTTTTTAAAAAATGCTTTTGTGTGGACTTAGCAGTTGTGGAGGTGGGAGGGAGACCTGTAGGTTATTGTTTATAGAATAGGTATAGCACAGGCAAAGGCACAAAAAGCTTTTGGCTCTGGAGGGAAGTTTCTGCTTTGCGTTCTCCCTGTCTGTGCACTTCCTAGTGAATGTGTAAGATGGTAGCAGCTGGCTCCAGTTCTCCTGTTTTTTTTTCTTCATATGCCAAATATGAAAGAGAAATTCAGACATTTGATTCATGCTTATTTGGGGAGCTCGGACTATTGTCCTTGCTGCTTTATCCAAAGAGCCTTCAGATGACAGTAGTTACTAGATTTCAARAGAGTGAAAGAGATGAAAGGCAGAGGTAGAAATTTCTGATCTTACCTCAGCAAGGACCATCATCAGTATCTTAATTCTGCATTTGCTATTGATTTTGCCTGTCACAAAACCAGTCAGTCTGTTCCTCCTCCCCCCCCGCCCTT